GGCGACAACTTCGATGCCGACACGCTGCTGGCCATAAACGCCATCTCGTACGCGACCCACTCCCAACCTGCTGCTGCTCCACCTCCCGCTTTGACGCTTGCAGCCCCAGACGCGGCGCTCGAACAACATCCACCTTTTGAGACTGCGCCGTCCCTGGCGCAGGATACCCAGCCCGCTCCGCCGCCAGACTCGCTTCGCGTCGACGCCCCCAACGCCAACCCCGCTGTGCGACTGTCGCAAATCCTCGCCGTCGCAGCCATGGACGGCCCCACGTCGCCGGCCGGCATCAACCCGCGACAGAGGTACAGCGACGAGACAAAGGAGAGCAAAGTCTTGAAAAAGAAGAGCGGTTTCTCGAGCCTGGTATCGAGCTTAGTAGGCACGCCGCGGAAACCCACCATATCAGCACCAGAAAACCCTGTGCACGTCACGCACGTTGGCTATGATCAAGAGACTGGAGAGTTCACGGTTTGTCTATATCACCTGCCTACCGCTGTGAGTACTGACATAGGCTTAGGGCCTTCCCAAAGAATGGCAGAGGACACTGCAGGCCAATGGCATCAGCGAACAGGAACAGAAGAAGAATCCCCAGGCCATCATTGATGTAGTCACCTTCTTCAACGAGAACAACGATAATGGCAGCGATGACTGGACATACCACAAGTTCGACCATGCAAAGCCGCAGGACAGTCCGCAGAGCTATCAGTCCAGCCTGAGTCCAGGAGGAGGGTATGTCACGAGCCCGCCCGCAAGCCCTAGGTTCCCCAAAAACGAAGGCGAGAGCTTCGAAAACCCCAGAGCACCACCACCCGTACCGCGCGGGACAAGTCAAGGCTATGGCATGAGCTCACCAATCAGTCCCCAGATGAACGGTAACCTGGTGCCCTTGCGGCCTGCACCTCGCCCGCCTGGCAGCCAGTCTACCACAATGGTTCCGCAAAGACCAGCACCTCCTGTTCCGAGCCCTCAACGAGAGCACCCCAGACTTGACGATGGCCTACCCGCGGTCAGATACGCGCCGCCCACCGTGACCGATATCTCGTCCAATACGCAACCCATGCAAAGTAGGAGTCGAGCCAATACGGGTCCGTCATACCACAGCCAATCTCAGCAGCCGTCTCCGATCTCTTCTCCGCAGCAATACCAACAGCAACAAGAACAAGCCATGAAGGCAGCACAACAAGCGCTCAAACAACAGACTCTGGAGCGTTCGCAATCGCAGCGTCACCCCACAAACAATGGCCTGCACCAGCAGCAGCAACAACACTCACAGCTAGCTGCGCCTTCCGACTCCCGACAAGTGCCCCATCCCGCCGCCGTGGACCCAAGGGTCGGACCTGCTCCTCGGCCGCGGCAGCGACCACGACAGTCCATCACGAACGCAGAAGTGCTCAGCAAGTTGCAGCAAATCTGCAATGCGGCAGATCCCACCAAAAGATACCGCAATCTGATCAAAATAGGTCAGGGAGCTTCTGGTGGCGTCTACACCGCGTTCGAGGTCGGCACCAATAAATGCGTCGCGATCAAACAGATGAACTTGGAACAACAGCCCAAAAAGGATCTGATCATTAACGAAATTCTGGTCATGAAGGACAGCAAGCACAAGAATATCGTGAACTTCATGGACAGCTTTCTGGTCAAAGGCGACCTCTGGGTTGTGATGGAATACATGGAGGGAGGCAGTCTGACTGATGTGGTGACGTTCAACATGATGTCGGAAGGCCAGATCTCGGCTGTGTGCCGCGAGACGCTGCACGGTCTGCAATTCCTGCACTCGAAAGGCGTGATTCACCGTGATATCAAGTCCGACAACATTTTGCTGTCACTGGAGGGCAGCATCAAACTCACAGATTTTGGTTTTTGCGCACAGATTAACGAATCGCACATGAAGCGAACAACGATGGTCGGCACCCCTTACTGGATGGCGCCTGAAGTCGTGACAAGAAAAGAGTACGGCCGCAAGATCGATATATGGTCGCTGGGCATCATGGCCATTGAAATGATCGAGGGCGAGCCCCCGTATTTGACGGAATCGCCACTGCGCGCTCTGTATCTCATCGCCACCAATGGCACGCCCACCATCAAGGAGGAGCACAACCTTACCCCCGTCTTCCGTGATTTCCTGCAGTTTGCGCTCAAGGTCGATCCCGAGAAGAGAGCGTCGGCGCATGATTTGCTCAAGGTACGTGCGAGGCAACTGTTGTGCAAGTGATGTCCACTAACAAACTGCTTTAGCATGCGTTCATCCAGACAGCTGAACCTTTGGCAACACTAGCACCGCTGGTCAAGGCTGCCAGGCTCGCCCGAGCAGAGGAGCGAAAGAACAAGGGAGGCTGAGCGAGCGACCATCAGCGGAACTATCGGATATGTGACGACTCGCACATACGAGTCGCCTACCACCAGGACACAGGGATTCTTATTTTCTTTCGCGCATCATGGGTACGAGCACTGGCCATTCACACGCGTGTACAGTACAAAGGCATTCTGGATGCAAGGCGTCGCCCAGGGAGCGGGCGGATCGTTTTCATACCACAAATGCGGCCTCACGAACGGTACTCGAGGAGGTTAGGTGGCCGTACGGCGTCCGGCAGCAACAAGGCGTTTCCGTGAGAGTGCGGGCGATAGAGGCAAGGGAGGATTACGGCGGCATGGGGCAGCGAGTGTGCCGACGACAGGAGGGCTCCAGAAGAAAAAAAGACTTGGGTACTGGTATATCTAGGCATCACTTCAGCCCGCCCAAATGGATGTAGCGTGAGGCTCTGGTGCACGCTCATGTGCACCAATGGCTGGACCACAATAACAACGAGGTCCCTCCATTTATGATTCTCCTTTTCCTTCACGTTGTTGCGAATTGTGTGAACCGCCCTTTGCTGTACCGCTGTGTGTGTGTGAACGTCGTTTCCATTCAAAGTGCTACAATCTATGCACAATTCTCGGCCTCTCGCTCTCGCCCCTTCTGTATCCCCCTATGCCTTGTTCTGACTCGACTGGAGCTGTTGATAAGCGAAGAAGGCAAGGGCAGCACCAACCAACACAATGGCGTAAACTCCGACACCGAGGCCCCCAGACTGGGAAGCGGATTTGCGAGCATCGGCAACTTGTTGGGCGGCAGTCTTTGGCTTTGGGTCTCCTTCCTGTGTAAAGAAAAAAAGTGTCCTCGTCAGCGCTGATTATTGTGGTACAGGCGGATGGGAAAGCTCACCTGTCGCTTCAACGTGCCGATCAAGAGGCCTTCCAGGATCTCTCGTGCCTCGTCACTGTGGCCAACATCTTCGAATGCTTCGGTGGCATCTTGCCCACCGACGTCTAGCAGAACTTCCTCACCACCTCTGTATGGCACAAAAAAGTTACAGTCAGCGCATTGCTCCATGTATGGTGCGGCTGGCAGGCAGCACAGCTGCAAGTGTCGTGGTCATTGGACGTTTGACCGACCTGCGCCTGCCTTCTTTGCTATACGCGAGAAACCTACGGGTGCTCATCGACGAAGCTCGAACTGTTGTAGACTTTGTCGTGAATGACGAGGTACAGGTCCTTCTTGGAGGTGTGCTCGCTGACATCCGAGTAGGTGAACTCCTTTTGCTCGGCCATGGTGGACAGTGCGGGGACGAGTGTGGGCGGGTTCGAGGTCGAGGAGCAGCGGTTCGGAGTTGCAATGGCAAGACAGCGGAGCGGGCGTCCAGATAGAGAGAGGTGGGTGGTGGTTGTGGTTGTCGGGTGTGGAAAGGTGGTGCAATAATGCGAGGGCTTCTATTGGAGATCGCGGATTTAACGCGCACGAGTGGGCAGTTCGGGACAGGGTCTCGTTTCTATGAGAAGGATAACTTTCCTGCATGCCGTATGCTCTTTCCGAGGGCACAGTTCGGACATATTCGTCGTGGACATGCTCACCACGGAGGGATACGCGCATCGCTCATCGCTTCCCCGCGCGTCGACTCGCTGTCTGCTGCGACAACGAGCTCCGAGTGCGCATGCCGATAGCGATGGCGAGAGAGCGGAAGCTTGCTGTCCGCCCCACCACTGCATAAGGATAAGGACGTTGAATGCGTCCTCGGCCGACTCTGTAATGCCTGAGGCAGCAGCCGGAGCCAGCAGTCAAGTGAAGCCGGTTCCCGCAGCGTCTCTGCTGTCAAGCGCTGAGCTGAGCTGAGCTTCGAAGCGATGGGCATCTTCAGGACGGCACTCGCAGCCACGGGCTGGACCTCTCTTGGTGCGACGGCGGGCTATGTGCTGTCAGTAAGCCCAAGCGACTCCCGCCTCTGTACCATCTGCTCACCACTTTCGCCTACACAGCTGGACACGCAAGACCTCGATCGTTGATGTGCCGCCTACCGACTACCTCTTCAATTCCACCTTGTTCGCCAGATACAACCCGAACAATGCCCCCGTGACGCAGGATCTCGCCATACGGCGCGTTCCCCTAACCCAAATCAAGCCGGAGCTGCTGGAGAAAGAGGGCAGATTGACAGAGGCATTCTGTGCAGGCGTGTGGAGCGGGCTGGGTACGTGTCGAAGCTATCTTCGCTGTCTAAGAGAATATATATTCACAAGTTTCCGCCGCAGGATTCGCATACCAGCGTCGCTTCCTCGAGAAAAAGTATCGATCCGACCCCGTTACCGCCGACCATCTGTGGGATACCAAAGACCTGCAATCCTCCACCTATGAGCCAGGAACCAAAATCACCGATCATTTCGAGGTTGTATCCAAGACCGCGAACTCAATCATTGTGCGCTGCGGAGACTCCCCGCGCTTGACGGACGTGAGGGAGAGCGATGGCCTCTTCGAGATGAGCGCCGAGATAAAGAAAGACGAGGGATTCGCAGAGTTTGGACTCAAGTCCATCTTCTACAACGGTCTCGCACAGCCTGACCAGACTGCAAACCCAGGTCAAGGTCCAATGTCGAACTGGATCCAGTGGCTGCACCAGCAGTATGACAAGGTGTTGATGGAGACTGCCTTGAACAATGTGACCAAATAGGTCTCGCATTCAATCGAGGAATCGAGCGTCATCGTCATATGGGAACGTATCTGCTGTCTCCTGCAGTACACTGCTCTCGGTGTGCTTGAGCACAGTCATGCAGGCGTGGCGGAGCTTGCTGGTGAAGGCGTTCGCTAGCGAGCAGGGGAAGTTCACGACAGCATTCTCCACGTGTTCCAGAATGACGTCCGCGACCGTCGCATCATCTTCGTCGTCGTGGCCTTCGCTCGATTCGAAGAGTTCCTGTGTTTTAGGAGCTTCGGTCGCTGTTGATGTAGCTTTATTCTGTGGGCAGGGTGAGCTGGATGCTGCTTGTTCTGCAGTCGCGTGCGAGCCACTGTCGATAATCATCGGCAGACTGCAAAAGTCTGTAGGCACAATATCCAGCATCGTTGCTACCTTTGCTGTTCGTGTATTGCAGATCATCTGTCTGTGCCAGAGAACTGATCGCGATATACTGCGCTCTAACCATTTCCGGCGACTTTCTGTCTTGTCAGCTGGACCAGCTCGTTCATGCTGCTGGAACAAAGCGCCTGCATGATTATTGAGAATCTGCACAAGCGTGAGAACGATTATGCAAGCCAGAGATTGTGAAGAAACACTGCATTGCAAATCTGCAGCACCAGCCACCAAATCGTGGAGAAGACGAAGGTTCGACGCTTGCGCAAGGGCAATCTTGATCGGATCTGCTGCCACAGCTGCTTGTCCCAAACGGTTCCTTCGCGCCAGGCACGCGAGCCGCACTTTCTCATGTCGTGATGTCACTTTGATGATTCCAGTTTATTTGTCGACTCGAGCAATGAAATCCATGACGAGCTGGCGGCGTGGTGTCGTCGCGATGCTTTTGTCTGTGACGCGCAAGAGCACTTAGCAGAACAATCAAAGGTGAGGTCGCTGCACTCTAGGTGTCTAGACGCCTTTCGATACATAGTCGCATTCTTCTCCATTTTCTCCCGGAAGCTTCACATTGAAGTTCAATCGCAAGTCGCTTGGCTTAGATCAGCCAACATGCCGCCCAAAGACAAGTACACGGATCCAGAGTTGAGAGATAAGGTCAAGGAGGAATTGAAGGCCAGCGACAAAGGAGGAGAGCCTGGGCAATGGAGCGCTCGCAAGGTATAGCTGCGTAGACGTGATCGAGCATTGGTGTCTAATATTCCTCGCAGGCTCAAATGATGGCGGCAGAATACAAGAAGAGAGGAGGAGGCTACACAACCGACAAGAAGGATAAAGATGAGTCTCAGCAGAACTTGACAAACTGGGGCGAGGAAGAATGGCAGACCAAGGTAATAGGATTATCATATCAAATCTTGGGATCTTGCTGACACTTTGATTTGTTTGACAGGACGGCGAGGGAAAAGCGAAGCAAGACGACGGTACTGAAAAGCGTTATTTGCCAAAGAAGGCCTGGGAGCAAATGACCGAGAAGGAGAAGGAAGAGACTGATCAGAAAGTATGTTCGAAAATGCCACATTGTATAGCCGTGCAGCTTTTCGTCAAGCAGAACGGTCACTTACGGTTACTCAGAAGCAAGAAGAATCGAAGCAAGGCAAACAGCACGTGGCGAATACTCCAAAAGCAAAAGACAGCCGCAAGAAAGCGCAATCGAATGGCTCCAAGAACGATGGAGACGACAAAGCGACCACGAGCAACCAAAGAGGCTCTAGAAGCCAGACGAAAAATGCGGAGGCAAAGAAGAACAGCCAAGGTGCTGCTCAGGGCAAGAGCAAGGACGAGAATGAAGATGATGATGACGATGATGACAGCCAGTCTCAAGAGGAGCCTGCCAAATCCGCCAAAACTGGACAGAAACGCAAGAACAACGAAGAGCACGACTCCGAACCAAAGTCAAAGACTAAGAAGAGCAACGGAACTATTGGCTCCAAGCACATGGTAAGTCCCGACACACTCAGATCTTGATCTCCCTGATGGCACTGTCTAACTTTGCACTTGTTACCAGGATGCCACTGAGCCCGCTCAGAAGGGCTCGAAAGATCGCTTGCCAAAGGAAGGACAGCAAATTCAATGGAAAGCGATGCCAGGTTGGATAGACGGGAAAGTTAAGGAGATCCTGAAGAAGGGCAAGAAGGTGGATGAGAAGCAGGTAAAAGCTTCTGAAGACGATCCGAAGATTGTGCTCATTTCGAACAAGAGTGGCAAGATCTGTGTTCACAAGCCGGAGGCTTGCTACTACGATGATGAGTGATGCTGATGACTTTTGCTTAATTGTAATATACCATTTGAAGCTAATTCAATTACCTCCACTTATACTTCGTATACCTTTGAGCAACTACGCCTTTCGACCTACAGCCACAAGCGCGACACCAGACAACTTGCCCGGCTCCTCAGGACAGACCTTCTTCAATCGTTCACTCATCAATGATCTCAACCGCTTAACCTCGCCTTCCGACCAACTGCTCAGAAGCTTCACCATATGAGGCATTTTCGCAGTCAGGATCTCCAGCAACGCTTCATGAGTCTCAAAAGCCATCTCAACATCAACCTCCACGGCTTCAACCTGCTGGAAACCTGCACCTTCCACTTCTGCAAGAAGTCCTTTGGCGGATCTCCATCCCTCCGGGATCTCGGGCACCGGAGCTTCAGGTCGGATCTCTTGGACCAAGTTCATCAATTGGAGCCATTCGGAATTTTGCCAGGATGAACATGATAGTACACCACCGGATTTGAGTACCCGCATGCTTTCTTCTAGGCATTTTTGAGGTGAGGGCGTCATGAAGTAGACCCAGCCTGGAGGAAACCGTTAGTTATTGCGTGTAGAGCAAGATAGGTATTGCAGTGTTCCACTTACCTGCCAATACGTGACTTTTCGATCCGTCGTTGATGCCTTGCAGATCCATTGCATCCAACAATGACACATCGACCCGTGCCCAAGGGCTGTCCGGATCTTTATCGATCTCTTCATTTTTTGTCTGCCGAACTTGAGCGATCATCGCTATTCATAGTCAGCAAGATAAAACGGTCGACGAATCCAACATTCTAGCAACATACCTTCTGCAAAGTCTGATGCACTCAAATCGCAATTCTTTGGAAGTACAGAACCATAATCAGCGATAATGCGCGAGATGACTGGACCTGGACCACAGCCATTGTCGTGAATCCCGGTGGCTTCGCTGAACGGTAGCAGAGCATTTGCCTTGTCGAGCATGACTCCAATCGGTCGCGAGCTGATTTCTACTGTCAGTTGCTTGTAGACTTTGGCCATCTCTTCCCAGTCGCCGCCTTTGGTGTCGCTTAGTTTAACCATGGTGGTTGTAAAGCTAGATGTCGAGTATTGGAAATTGAAATTCTGATGGTCTCTGTTGAGCTGTCAAATGGCTAGTAGGTGATTGTATGTCTCACAAAAGCTGACATTCCTATCTCTTTATATCTCAGCAATGTCAGTCACAATAAGAAGCCGATGATAGGATTCGGAGACATTTATGTCTCCATGCCACGTGACCGTTGTTGGAGTGAGCCTAGATTTTTGCAGGATTCTGAACCCTAATTTCCTACTCAGCACACTTGCAGGCAACTTCAGCAGAGCTGATGAGGTTGTTTCCAACAAGCGAGTCCGGTGACTTTCTCTCCACTCTGCGCGTGTTGGCCTGTCACACAACATGCCAGGTTGCCGGGTTGTTCTATATTCACCTTGGTGAACGTGCTCCACCATACGATGCTGTATCGTAACCCACATGTCCACGATGTGGAAGACACTAGACGCAACAAGTTTCCGATTATCATCGAGACTGTACGCGGAATTGTTGCTCGTGCTACACCTGAACAACGACGCTTGAACGACCTCTCCATGCGAACTCGCTGGACAGGGATTAGGCGTAGGTACGGAGAAGCTGGAAGGTAGAAATTGGGTGTTGAGTATTGCTTTCGAGCCTATTCCAGTGTTGTATTGAGGTTGCGGATGCTATACAGTAGCTCCAATAGCACTTTGAAAAAGTGACCCCAAATCATTAAGGCCATCATCGGAAGTCAGAATGCGTTTCGGGATATCCCACTCTACCACTGGCACCTTCTTCATCTCCTTTCCAAGTTCGGCATCGACCAAAGTAGCATAGGAGTAATCAAGGAAGTCCTCTAACTGGTAGTCCCTCTTGGTGAATTGCTCGCCGATGATCTTGGCCAGCGTGGCCACATTCGGATGAAAGTGATTGCTCAGAGTGTCCAGCTCCCATAAGCTGGAGTCGATAGCACGAGTGATCATGGGGTCCGGTTGCGACATATCAAATGGATCGTCCATCCCTTCTTCAGCGTACTTCGGATGTGAGGCGTAGATGGCATGTGCAGGGTGAAAGGGACGATGTAGCATGAAGGCACATGAGGGATGTTGCTTGACTTGGTTGTATATCCAGGGAACAACCCAGACGATGGCCCCGGGCGGAGCTTGGAGCGCCAATCTCGACAACCTTTTCATGAAGCTGGCCACCATCGCAACAGGCAAGTGGGTGGAGCTCATGAACGTCTCCAGGAGACGAAAGAAGCGGCTGCGGTGCTTGCTGTGTAAGACATCTTCATCCAACAGGCTGTAAAGGTTTTTGTAGAAGTCAGGGTAGTCCAGATTCTTCACAGTCATCAGATGGAAGATTCCGCTCAGCGCGAGAAGTGAAATTGCGCCACCTTGCTGGAAGGAATCTGTGAGAAAGTCTGCCAGCAATTCAATATGATTTGTGAACCATGGCAGGAGTTGTGCGGTCGTAATATTCAAAATGGACTTGCGCTGCTCCACAGATAGTGGCGTGCGAAAAACCGCTAGCCATGCCTCTCGAGCCGTTTTCCGATGTCCATTGAGCGATAAAAGAGGGCTCTTGTCCTCTGGAGCATCTCCATACCAGTCTTCGAGCTCTTCATCGGCCTCCGGTACTCCTTCAATCTGCGAGAGTAGCTCGATTGCGTTTCCCACGGCCTTTGCACCAGCAGCTTCGCCTAGGCATTGCTTCACCGCAACAAAGGTGTAGAAGCGGACATCGTCGTACTCTTCGGCATATTTCTCGACGAATTGTTGCCGCGCTCCTTCTGCGTCGTTTTCGCGCACCAGGGCTCTGACCAAGGATTGGAACGAGGCTCTTTCGTTTCGCCACGACTGGGCAGCGCTCCTGCTTCCGCCAGAAGCCTCTTCCTTCACAATCCTCATCAGCAAGGTCAGCGCTGTGCTTTCAGTGGTCGCGTCAGGGCTGCCAATCCAGTTGCAAAGATTTGAAACATATTCGCGCAGCGAGACTCTGAGTCGCTGCACCGACTGTGTGGATTCCTCTGAAGCACTCTTCTCTTTTACCAGCTGCTCTCCAGCGATCAACCGGCAAAAGACTCGACAGAGAGCGACAGCGGCCAACAAACGGCTGTCCTCCTCAGCCATCAATTTTTGCAGCTCTTCGATGTTGCCATAATGCGTAGGAGATTTCAGGATCTGTTGTTCCAAGAGCAAAATCTGGGCTTCGCGAGTATCGAGTGATTTCGTGGATTTTGGCGCCTTTCGTGATTTCACGCCGTTCGCTTCGCGCTTCCTCTTGCGCCCTTGGTCTGGGCCATCAGCCGAAGTAGCCATGGTGTAGTGTGGCAGCTGTGCACTGTTGCGACAGAATTCTGAACAGACTCGAAAAGTAAAGCATCGATCGTTGCTGCCGGAAGATGTCGGCCCGACGTTGAGCTTTGGCGGAGGAAGAAGACCTCGCTTCACGACCGTGAGAGACAGCGACATCATCCAACACCACCCACTCCGCTCCCATACCACGACAACATGGCGTCGCGCTTGGCTAAGGGCGCTCTGGGTACATCGCGTCCACTGTACGCTGCCATTGGCGATCGCTGACACCTTCTAGGCGCCATTCGAGCCCGTCCCACCCTCCCTGTCCGCACCGCATTCCCGGCCGTCACCACCACCTTTTCGACGTCGTCCGCGCGCTTCGAGGCTGCTCCCCCGGCCAAAGACCCAAAGAGCACCGCGAGCGCTATTGTCGATTCTCTCCCGGGCAACAGCCTTGCCTCAAAGACTGCCATTCTCTCTGCCGGAGCTGCGCTCTCGGTGGCTGCCATTAGCAATGAGCTCTACGTCGTGAACGAGGAGTCCATTGTCGCGCTTTCTCTGCTCACGATCTACTGGGCTGTGTACACATACGCTGGCCCTATGTATGGCGAATGGGCACAAGGACAGCATGATAAGATCAAGGGCATCTTGAACGCTGCTCGTGCTGACCACACGAATGCTGTGAAAGCACGCATCAGCAACGTGCAGGATCTTAGCAGTGTTATTGAGGTCACCAAGGACCTCTTCGCTGTTTCCAAGGTAAGTGGTCTTGCACATGTTCTTTGGACGGAAGCACGGTTCTGACCAGAGCTATAGGAAACTGCCCAGCTGGAAGCTCAGGCCTACGAGCTCGAGCAGAAGACTGCTCTCGCAGCGGAGGCAAAGACCGTTCTTGACTCTTGGGTCCGCTACGAAGGCCAAGTTAAGGCCAGACAGCAGAAGGAATTGGCAGACTCTGTTATTGCCAAGATTGAGAAGTCGCTCTCGGACCCAAAGGTGCTCGACCAAATTCTGAAGCAGAGTGTGGCCGATGTTGAGCGTACGTCCCGATCATTTCGCACCTGCTGCGCAAGTACTGACATTCTTCCAGGTATCCTCTCGCAGAAGCAATAGATGTCAGCAATGACAGAGCAGTTGCGCCCAGTCCAGCGTGCAAGTCCGAATGGGCTTCCTAATGCACGGACATGTAAATATCTAGATGCGAAATGCAGATGTTCCCTTTGTTGCATTGAGACTTCTACAGCTTGCACCCAGACGTCTGGATATCAGTCCAGAGACTAGCATGACTGGAAGAGTGAATACCGCGGGCGCAGTGTTAGATGGCTGGCAAATGTGACCACTAGATCCTTGACATTCGCGAGTGTTACATGCGTGACAACATTCGTCAGGACCTGCCAAGAAAAATCAACCGCCGCTTATCTTGCCCGACGCTAGCGATGACCTATATCTATCATGAAATTTGTAGCACGACTTATTCACTTGCTCAAGATATCAAGCTGAAAACTTCCCAAGCCTCAATCAGACCAATCGACAATGGCGGTGGCCTCAGATACAGCCGATGCGACGCAGAACGAAGCTCGTCAAGCAGCTCAAGCCTACCTGAACCAACGACTGGCGGATTCGAAAAAGACGGCCTCTACTGAGCCCTTCAAATTCCCCGTAATCGATATCGCAAAGTCGTTCTCTTCCGACATCGAAGATCGCAAAGCTGTAGCTTTGGAGATCCGAAATGCCTGTATGAACAGTGGGTTCTTCCACATCACAGGGCATGGTAAGCACTGATCAGAAGGCATTTCCTTTGCAAATATCTCCCTGCGAAATCCATCTGCAAAGCCACTCTGAGACGAAAGCTTGCTAACGATAAATTTCGGGTATTTCCGAGGACACACGAAGTACCGTCCTTGAAGCAGCCAAGCGATTCTATGCATTGCCACTCGAAAAGAAGGAAGCTCTCCATGTCAAGCACTCGCCCTACTTCAGGGGATATGAGCCTTCGGATTATACATATGTGAGCAAGCGTCTAAGGTCAAGAATCTCGAATGGGTTCGCAATGGTCGCACTTGATATAAACCCGTCAAGCCTCAGAGCTTTGTTCCAGTCACTGACCATCTGTCAATCGCTCCAGGTCAACCCAGACGACTGGAATGCAGCTGATGCACCGCAAGAGACAAAAGAGGCTTTCAACTGGGGTTACGAAGCAGGACTGGATCCGACAGGCGGAGATGGCAAGTATCGAGAACTTGATGGCAAAGCTGTGAACGGAAATGTTTGGCCATCTGAGGAAGACTTACCAGGCTTCTATGCACAAGTGAAGGAATACTATGGTGCAGTTCTCCAATTGGCGAGACACCTATTCCGCTTGTTCGCGCTTGCTCTTGAGCTGGAGGAGAACTATTTTGACGAGATGTGCACGCATCCTGGTGGCATTGCAAGAGTACTGCATTATTCACCATCCAAGGTCGCCAAGACTCAAGAAGACAAAGAGATTGGTCTGGGAGCTCATAGCGACTACGAGTGCTTTACGATACTTCTGACGTCTACTGTGAAAGGACTCGAAATCCTGAGTCCAGATAATCAGTGGATTTCAGCTCCTGCTGCAGAAGGCAGCTTTATTATAAGTGAGTCTCGATCAAGCATGTTGTATCGTAATGATCCGGGATGCTAATGTGCTCAGACGTCGCCGATTTTCTTATGCGATGGAGTAATGGGTTTGTAGTACATTGGTATACTTCGGCGCTCGGAATACTGACGCTGTAGCAGACTCTTCCGCTCTACGGTGCACCGCGTGGTTCCTATTCCAGAGACTCGCTGGAGTTGTCCATTTTTCTTCTCGTGAGTAGCCATGGCACTGAGATCTCACGCCAAGCATCGAGTACTGATGAACAGCCAGTATCAACTACGAGCAGCTGGTCGAGACTTTGCCGAGTTGCATCACACCTGACAACCCGTCCCAATACAAGCCTATCCGTGCTGGCGAATACGTGCTTGAGCGACTCAGAGCTACAGCGCGGGATGGATGAGCCGCCACCTCGATTTCCAGGTATCTGGCACCGTTTGATGCATGCTGAGGCGAAAAGATTCTCAAGTGTGGAGGGATTGTGCCAGCATGGTGCGGCGATCTCCTCTGTCTTCATGACGCCGGCAATCGCGTGTCTTCCAATTGAGCAGCTCGAACCTGATCAACCATTCGAATCTGAGGTTCGTCGTTAGCTGTGGCACTTTGCACTGGTATCTTCTGTGACTCCTGAGCTCTTTTATCATAACCCTGCGGCTTCGGCAGGCTCTCCAACACGCTGCCAGGATTATTGAACTCTTTTCGCGCGATTTCTAGCACTGCACGAAGCGTGAAGTGGGCATCGTTGCCAGCATTATGCAGATTATCTGCTGGAATACCGAGTGCAGTCAAGAGCTTTCCCAGACCTGGAGACAACTTCTTCGGCGTTGCGATCCTCTGGGTGTCCAATTGAAGGACAACGTTCGGTATTGCAAGCGCGTCGATGCCCAGTCTTCGCAGATACGCAAGGTCGTTCTTCAAAGCATGGCCTACCAACACCACCTCGCGGGTGCCTTCGACATCTTCGAGCATCGTACGCAGTACTTCGCGAGCCTCTTCTATACTGACCCAAGCAGTCTTGCCGTGCTGAAAATTCGTAGGGTTGCCTTTTGAGTAGCGCCGATTACCTAAAGTTGAGCGATGAGCAAACCTTGAGCTGGCGACGAGCCATTGTAGAACGTACGCAAGTGGCCATGTTCCTTGATGCGATAGTGTCTGTTGGCCCCTTGTTAGCTTGATCTCGGATGCGAAGCCTGAGGCAGATGCGTCGTGCATACGAGGACGCAATTAGCGGATACGATTGACCGTAGGATAGTGGCTGTAGCTGTCCACTGCATGAGTAAAGCCGTCAAAGAAGGGACGATGATGCGCATACTGCGCGAACACTAGTCGTGTCGATGGTGGAAATGCCCACTTCTGTGACCTTGCTCTGGTCCATCTCGAAAGCTTCACAATCGATGGCTACCAACACCAGTCAGTGTAGGTCTGAGGACCCGAGCCTTAGACAAATCTACGCTGTTTGGAGGAGCCTTCCAGCGACTGCACTTACCCACGAGCATCGCCCGCGGGGTGTTGGCGAGCGATGCGTTCTGCTGAGCACCGAACCCAAGCAGGACGTGAAGCCGCTCTAGCGTACACATTGGGACTTGGCGCATGTTCCTGGCTAGGCTAGGGCGGATGAGATGAAGTATAGAGGGTGATATGTGCTGCGTCGCGAAGGAAGACGACAGCGGCACGGCTTCTCGCAGCGGAGTATGGCACACGGCGGCGTGGAGGGTGTTGATGCCTCTTCGAAGCGAGGCTGCACAGTGCTGTGTCGCGCGGAGATCATCCGTGTCGGCATCTCCGCGCGTTGACGGCGGCGAGGGTGGAAGAATGGAGCCAATCGCGTCGGGTCATGTCGTCTGGTGCTGAGACCGAGCTAGCCGCACCCGTATGTTGCTGCTGCTGTGCTCTTCGTGCTACTTGGCAACGACTGTCTGTCCTCAACTCTACTTACAGCAGCTCGCCCAGATTTCTCTACCCACTCTGCTCCGCCTGCACCGCACTGCTCCACCCGACGACTGCGCATTCCACTGCACTGCTGCCATCGCCTCCTCCGCGCGACCTGGACGGGCATTTCACCCGCGTTGACCTCCGCTCCACCTCTACTGCACCTCCTTGCTTGCGGGACCACCACCCTCGCCATTTGCAGCTAGACGAGAGATCGCTCCTGCTCTCGCTCACTTCTTCGACCGCAATCGACAGCAGCTCGAAGATACAGTATACGATCAACGCGACTTCGGATCACGCCTTCGCTTCTTCCTACTCCGCGCTTGTGCCACCGAGTCCCCACGCCGCTGATCAGGGCGCTATCCGGTCTCGCCAGGCGCCTTCATGGATACCGCAGTAAAGTACGTGGTGGTGCTGGCCGCAGGCGCGGGCTTGGTGTACTACTACACCTCGACCGACAAGAAGGCGCAGAAGCCGACCGTGGTGCAGGAGGTCAAGAGAGAGACGAAGAAGGCGGCTCGCAAAGTGCAGGGCTACGCCGACAAAGCCGCAAAAGCGGTTCCAAATGTCAGTGCTACGGGCCTCTCTGACGTCCAAGGAGACACAGCCCAGTCCGCATCGAAGAAACGGAAGGCCACTGCGCAGCCTGTCCAGCAGAGCCACGTTACGCCTGTCGTGGAGCGGGACGATGATCAAGGCTTTGACCAATCCACACGGCAGTTCGCCGAGCAAATGAGACAAGCCAGGCAAGGTGTCGATGTCAAGAAGACGGACCGAGGCGAGACTCGTGTGAAGACTATCAAGCCGAAGAACGGACATATCGCCCCTCCTGTTCTGTCTTCTGAATCGTCGCAGGCGGAAGATGACCAGCTGCCACCAGTTGAATTGTCACCGGCCCTCAAATCTACAGGCATTGATGATATGCTTGAGAAGGAAGCCCCTGGTCCAAACTCCCTGCGCATCACCGCGCCAACTGCCCCTGCGAGGGAAAAGTCCAACAAAGTCAAGAAAGAGGAAGTCGTCGAGACTAAGAAACAACGACAGAATCGCAAGAAGCGAGAAGAGAAGCAAGCAGCAATGGCCGAGGAACGACGTCAACAGAAGGCACTCGAAGAGCAGCAACGCCGAACCGCCCGCATTGCTAGGAATGAGCCAGCAAAGAATGGAACTTCCATTCCGCCAGCACCTGCGAACAACCCATGGAGAGAGCAAAACGCTCAGGCTGAGGCACAAGTTGTCTCATCGAGCAACCAAAACCAACTTCTTGACACCTTCGATGTGGATTCGAACAGCAGCTCCAACGCTGGCGAGGCCAACAGCACCGCCGCCACCTCTACCACCGACCAAACACCAGCCAGTCTCGGCGCCGAAGACGCCGACTACAAGAAGATCATGGAGGAGAGCAACCTCGAGGACGGCTGGACCGATGTCAAGACCTCGAAAAAGGCTAGGAAGCAGACCACCAACGTTGATGTCACGCCTGTTCCCAGCGCTGCAAATGGGAGCAGCAACAAGAAGCAGGTCACCACAAGTGGCCTGTCAAGCAAGTTCAGCGCTTTGCAAGACGAGCTGGAGGAGCGAGCAGACACCGACTCGCAGTGGACGGCCTAGTGCCCTTGGCACCATGTTTGACGTGGTTTATTTTGGCAGTTTCACTTTGTTTCCAACGCATCTCCAGCGGCGTATGAGCATTATTGTTTCCTTTGAGTGATTTGGCATTTAGAGCGCGGCCGGCTTTCGGAGCACCCGAATCTGTTGTAAACTGTAAACTGCCAAGAGTTGCAAATGAGTCTCGAGATGGAATTTCAGCCTCGAGATAAAAAAGGCTGAACGAGTACGGATGCTCGTGCGGGCGAGAAAATCTGTAGCAACGCGTAGACGTAGTAGTGAAAGCAAAATTGTCCCTTCGGATTTGGCAAATTGATGGAGCACGCTGTCGCGAAACTCGTATTGGAGCAGACTGCATTGCAACACGTTTCGATTCATCTACTGCTGCTGTGCTTCCCGCGCGAGATCCATGGCCTTGCTTTTTCTCGCTACCCAAATTCAACGCCGCCAATGCTGTCCCGTGTGAATATGGCACGCCCGGAACCCTTCCTTCTTTCACGCATCCTGCGCTCTTTTCCCGCAGCAATATACCTAGTACACCTTCTTCTTCTCGTCGAAGCTGACCTGCCCGGGACCCATATTGACCAAGAGCAGCAACCCACCCACGATGGACAGAATTTGGAAGAAATCGTATTTGGCAAAGTCCTTGTGCGGGTGGTGTGGGTGAAGCTAAGGAAATGCGGTTAGCTTTTATGCACCAATGGCCCGCACTCCAATGTGTACTCACAGTCCAAAAGTTGTTGACCAGGATGTTGAAGACGCTCAGAATCATGACGAGCACAATGGCGCTCCACTTGGCCTTGAATCCCACCACGACCATGACGCAGGCCACAAGACCAATGACAATCACGACAACGCGTCCAAAGCTCCATTCGCCGGCGAAGACAAAGCCAATGAACAAGAAGATGAGCAACACTCGGCCAGCCAGCTGGAAATACATCTTCCTGTCCTTCTCGTCAAGTGTAGGCAAGCCCGCTGGAGCAAATCGCTTCCTAACCCAGCTGTCGGAAAGGACCATGATGAGACCACCCATGACAGAGAGATTGCGGAGGAAGAAGTTGAGGTCAAATATGAGGCCGTATCCGAGGGCTTGCGTGATCACAACACCAATGAGTCCGCCTACTGCGTATTCCGAGTACTTGCGGGCGATGATGAGAATTGACGATGCGGTCATGGCGACTACGTTAACGAGCAGAAACAAGTGGTTGATACCAGTGGGCACTGCAACTCATCAGCATAGCCCTCATCCGGCGCGTCCAAACGAGCTCCATCTCCCGTGGCGCACTTACTGTAGCGATATGTGTGCAAGTATTCCAATTGATCGCTCCACTGTGTCATGATTCTCAAGGCATCTTCCAAGAAGGTAACGACGATCAGAAACCGTCCAATGGCCGGCAAGTACGGCTTGATCGGGTCAGAGTATGTGTCTAGGAGGTCCTCGATCTTGCTCGTTTGCTCGCGGATAGCATCAAGCGGCGAGGGGTCGTTCGTGGCCGAGGACGAGGAGGGCCCGCCGCCAAAGTTGTTGTTCATCATGCCACTGTTGTTGCCGAGATGGTATCCGGCAGTGCCTCTGATCTGAGCCATTGCACACGTCGAGAGCAGTCTGCGAGGTTCGAATGGGTCGTGGAATGGGGGTTGGCGGATGTGGAATAGGTGTCCTTGTCTCCTCGCGGTGAGCTTCTCTCTGGCTCACACGCACTGCAATTTGGTCAACGTCCGGCTGTTCAACGAGCACGCAGGAGCTGTGAGTTGTCTCCTCGCCGGCGGGTCGGGGTGGTCGGGAGAAGGGCAGTGGAATGGATTGGCGTGGCTGCGATGGCTGACCTGCTCCTCCGACTGCTTTTAAGGTGGGGCCCGGAGAATTAATATAGAAGCGGCCACCTTTCATCACAACGCCCGGACTGCAGATCTCTGGCGCAACGAGCTCCGCCCTCAATGACGCTCCTTTGTCTCAATGCCTGGGAGCTGAAATTGCAGCAACGTTGCGAGGTGCCAATATACCAGATCGCTGCAGCACACGGGAGGCTGCTGGAGCCTGGGGCATACCCTCCCCGACCTCTCCACATCGTTGTACTTGGGCTGTGGAACAACTACTCCAATGACTATAGACATGCATCGTTGCGGTACGCGCCAGCGCGCGGATTGGAACCAGCCAAAAGGCCCTCAAGGTAGATCAGACCGTGCCTGTGCGATCCTGTCCGTCTGCCGCTTTCCTGTAGTCCTCCCCAGGCCATACCAGTGCTGTGCAACTGTGCGATCCAACTTGGCCTGATCTCCGCTAACCTAGTCGCTTGTGAGCTGTGCCAAGCCTTGCTACCGCGAACGCGACTCGCCGCGTTTGCAGCTCGAGCTTTGCTGCTTTCTTGCACCTGCCGACGCGACAACACCACAAGCTTCTCCACGCACGATGCCGCCTTCCACGCGCAGCAGGGCTCAGGCTGGGCCCGTGAAGAAGGCACCAGCTCGTAAATCCCGCACAACACGTTCGAATAAGCCAGCGTCGGACAGCTGGGAGTTGCTCGCGCCTGCTGAGAGCGACATCGATTCCGAGCACGACAACGTTGCGACCGCCATTGAACAGCGGCAGCAGCCTGGAGCGGCTGCGATGCCTCGCTCGGAGTCGCCGCTCGACCTGGGCCTCCGCGACGCCTCGGACAGCCTGCGCGAGATGGCGGAACGTGTTGGCAAAGAGGTCGAGACATTTGCCGAGCGGCTGGACGAATTTCTGGACTCGTTGCCAAAGTCCGACACGTACGAGGCTGTGCTTGGGCTGGTCGATGAATACCAGAGCATTGCCAAAGATGCTGCTTACAAGCTGGATGCTGAACATCGAAGAGACAGAGCCCATGTTCTGCGACAGGAATGGTCAGAAACCGCTCAAGTCGCGTCGGCTGCCCCTACGAACGCACTAGCAGCGCCGGCGTATCTTTCCTCGGCAGAGAGCATTGGCGCAGCCAGGAGAGAAAAGGTGGTGCAGCAGCGAAAATGGCAGCAGGAAGCGGACATCTGGGATCTTTTCAGACTCATGTTGGAGCTCCATCACAACCCCGATAAGCGTGCCCAGAAGCGGGAGCGAGAATCACGGCTGGCAGACTTGGGCAATGTTCATCGCTACACCTCCGAGGCAGAGCTGTGGGACCGCTTCCTCTTGACAGACGACGTTGCGAGTGAAAGAGATCTGGTGAGACGCTGGCTGGAGCAGACGGTGGAACACCAGGCGAGCGACGTAACCGGCATCGCGGAGGAGCTCGAAAACAAAGCCGGCCGGGGCAAAGGATTGTGGAGCCATGGCTGGACGCACACAAGAGAAACAATCAAACACGAGAAGCGATTGAGAGCGTGGCCTGAGCCTGATGCCCTTCCACTGCCCACACTGCGCCGTAAGGACAACAATGAGGCATTAGTGACCAGCCTGGACCCGGACGCGGCCTCTAGGCAGAATCGTGCGCTCGAACAAGCAGATGCATTCGCTGAGCGGGCCCTGTGGATCACATGCTGGGAGATGCTGCGAAGGGGCAGAAGCTGGCAGGAAGTCAGCGAATGGTGCGAGCAACATCATGAGCCCTGGAGAGCATCCGTGATCGGCAAGTCGTCCGATCCTACGGATGTTACCTCCAACGCTGTGTGGAGGAGGATGTGCTATCTCGCTTCGCAATCCGACAGCTGCAGTGATTTCGAGGCTGCGGTATATGGGCTGCTTGGAGGCAGTGTGCACGCAATGCGCAAAGTGTGCCGTACGCTGGACGATCACCTGTATGCGAATTACTCATCTTACTTGGTGCGGCAATTCGACCGCTACCTGGTCAACAATTATCCTGACAGGACACCTTTTGCCCGACAAGGAGCCATCGAGGAGGAACTACAGGACCCTGACCAAATCATTTACGATTTGCTTCACCGGCTGCGGAAGGAGCCTGGGGTAGCAGACGAAGCAGTACTGCCTATGAAGATCATTGAGAGTTACCTGATTGCAAATGATGTTGGCAGTCTGGTGCATACCATGGGCTTCGCAATCGCATACGCTGATAAGCAGCTGCACTCGAGCGAGCAGATGATCGTGCACCTGGAGCCTTTCTGGGAGGACAAGAGCTCCAATCAACCAGAAATGGAGGTCGCACTCGATCCCCAGACTCTCCGAATTGCATCGCACATGGGCATCCTGCTTGATACTTTGTCTCCGCAGCAGCTGGACTGGGAAGCGCTCTCGGCGAAAGAAAACACGATCGTTGCCTACATTCAGACTCTGCGTTCCGCGGGAAAGCGCGATCTGATTCCAGTGTACGCTTCACGGCTCTCGAAAGGCGCATATGTGGCTACTATGAGCCGTGTCTTGCAAGACATCGCCGAGGAAAAGGAACAACGAGGGACACTAAACCTTCTGGAGCAATACGGATTGGACGTCATCTTTATTCTCAACGAACAGCTTGGTTACATGCTGGACCAACACTTGGCGAATGACCTTGGCAAAAGAGAGAAGCCTCTGAAGATGCTCGAAGCATCGAAGGAGCCGCATCACCCTAACCAACGCATCATCAATGGCTTCGTGCCCGAATACCATACCGAGGATGACCGCGCGATCGCGGCAAGCTTAAGATGGTTCAACATTATTGATGGGCACTGGGATAAAACATTCGGCAATCTTTCGCTGGCGTTGCGGAAAGCCTTGAGTAAGTTGTTATCGTATCGAATGATATAACTGAGACTAATGCACTCTGTGACAGTTGCTGGTCGCTTGGGATGCGCATTTCTCATCGTTGCTGAGTTCCCGTACGAGAACCTTGCAATCCGAAAATCGTATCAAGTCATCGGCAAATCCATCAACCCTATGGATCTGGAACATACGCCGCCAGCAGACGAAGCAACCACCTGGGATCTGCTGATCCGTCAAAGCAGGACTTACTACGAGCTGGAGCTACTCATGAATGCCATACAAGCTCTAGCAAGCTGGAGGGCAGAAGAAGAAGCATACACGCAGAAAAAGCCCAAATTATCAGGCGCAAGCCCTACTCTGAAAGCTAGCAAGGAAGCCGTGGATGAAGCAATGCTGCCTATTCTTCAGGGCAATCTGCTGCTCAGCCCCATTGACGAGGCAGAAGAAGCAGATCTGGCACTCATCCGAAAGTGGTACATCCCAGAGTTGATCCTAGCGTACAATGCTGTGCATCACGCTGCCGGCTACATGATATCGCGAGACAATTTGATCAAGAGCATGGACTTGAGCGTGATCGTGGCCGACGATCGGTATCACCTCGCTGAAGCATTTGTCGCTGCGGGTCGTATGCGTGAGCTTGTTGAGAGTTTTGCGTGCACAAGCCGTAGCATGCTGGTTCTCAAGGCGGAAGGAAAGAAGTGGAACAATAGAAAAGGGCGAGAGGGCAAGGACTTGGGGATTTGGGAAGCACAGAGCACCGCTAGCATATCCCCTGAGCGTGATCTAGCACTGTCGTAGTTCCGGCGATAGTCCGTGAAGTAGACGAAGACCAGTAGTTTAGGGAATGCCTGTGCGTTCAGAATTCAATGAAAAAGAGAGGATTCGCGCAACCCATCTTGTGATGTAATCTGAAAAGATAGCAGGCGACTGCGTGCACGTTTCCCGAATCATTGCTTACTACCATGGTTCACTGTAATGTGACAATCGCATCGATGTTCATTCGCTGTGCAGCCAGACCAAATTAGGGAAAGCCTCGGCAGCGGTGAAAACAAGCTTTAGCATGTGAAGGAAGTTGCATGTGTCCACCGCCCTTACTGCCACATGACGGATCCATGACTGTCAATCATCATAAACAACCCCGGCGAGCCACGCGACCGACCACCGACGATGTCAATGGAGCGCTATGGCACCAAGATATGAAGTCAAGACATGGAGCCAGTTGGCGCTCGCGATCGTCTTGACCGTCACCGATGTTTTGCACACTTGGATCTGCGTAGGTGTTGCTGACCTCCGAAAATAAATTCCCTGTACATGACTGATAGGCGCAGAATTTCATAGCTTGGTCCCGCCGCAAGCCCGTGAAAGAAGAAATGCTCGAAAGACTCGCCTCTGCTACGGACTATGACGAGTGGCTCAAGGCGGCTCAGGCTCTGGACCTCCTTCCCGCCGCTCACAGTTGGCGTCTCAACCCTGTCGATTCTCAATATGACTTCCGTCTAATTGACGAGCGCAGAAGAAAGCTTTATGCCTTGCGCAAAACTGATGATATACCTGAGTTGACATCGTACTTGCGACATGGCTTATTCCGGAACATGTACGGTATCACGAAACTGGGGCTTTACGACAAGACTTATTCCTGCACGAAGGAAAGTATTCACATGTGCTTGGATGTGACCGTGGACAGCATTCATTCGATTGCTGATTCAGCCACTGCTGAGACTAGGCAAGAAGGACGACTGAGCGCACAAGAATGGATAGATAACATACACGATGCAAAGCAAACCTTCGGACAGACTGCACTCATGTTGCAGGGAGGATCAATTTTCGGCCTCTGTCATTTGGGAGTAGTAAAAGCTTTGCTACATGAAGATTGTCTACCCAGAGTCATTGTGGGCACAGCCACTGGTGCGCTCATGGCCGCTCTGGTCGGCATTCACACCCGAGAGGACTTGCCCAAATTTCTGTCAGGGGAAAGGATCGATCTGAGTGCATTTGCAGCTTCTTCCCTTGAGGCCAAGAAGCGAAATGCAGAAGAGTTGGATCTGGTCGGTCGGGAGGCACCATCTAGCATACTTCCAGATTGGTTCACTATCCTGGGGCGGCGGCTTCAACGACTTGCAGCGGAGGGTTTTCTGCTGGACCCAGACGTCCTTAATGAGTGCGTCGAGGCCAATGTCGGTGACATCACTTTCGAGGAAGCATACAACCGCACTGGTTGCATTCTCAACATTGTGGTATCGCCACCCACCGATGAGATACCAAGTTTGATGAACTACCTCACTGCGCCCAATGTGCTCATTCGGTCTGCGGCCATGATCTCACATAACACAAACATGGATCCCGAGAAGCGTCGTTCGCGCGTCCATCTCCTGTCCAAAAATGCGAAGGGTACAATTGAAAGCAGACCTATATATCTGCCAGCACAGCCAAGCATTTCTTACGAACAGCCAAATGAATCCGAACATCCGACACGCAGACTACGACAGCAATTCAACGTGGAGCACTTTATTATCAGCCAAGCGCGTCCCTATCTCGCCCCCTTTGTACGGCCATCTTTGCCATACGTTCGCGGAACAAGCAGGAGCTGGATACCATACATCTTGTCGGGACTCTTGAAGCACTCACTCCAGCTCGCTGACACATTCAATCTCCTTCCGTCAAACATCAGCCGTATTTTAAGCGATGAGAAGATACAAGGTGACAAGTTCACATTAGTGCCAGAGCTCTCAGTTACAGACTGGACGCGACTTCTCAAGAATCCATCAAAAGAAGAAATGGATTTCTGGATCCTGAAAGGCGAACGATGCGTCTGGCCAAGCTTGTGTGCGTTGAAGGCCAGGATGGCCGTGGAGATGGCGCTCGATTATGCATGGACAGAGGTGGAGTTGAAGAAATCGGGAAAGCCTAGCTCAAGCAAGAGGAATCCGGTCGACAAGCAGAGCTTGGTCGCACTACCTCCACAGCCGGTGTACAGAGCTGATGAAGATGGCGATTGGCAAAGTCGGAAAAGGAAGACATCAGCAGATCAAAATGCATGATAGTGCTGTGATCGATGCAAAATGCGGAAACAGAAATGGAAGCATTCCTCGATTCTGCCCTCCGACGGAAGCGACCAACAGCGACGAGACCAGCGACTGTTAGTCATTTTTCTAATTATATCAGCCATCTCCGGTTGCGCTTGGGTGGTATGCTTGCATCCGGTCTATGCTTGTGTACAGTTCCAAGCATGCATTCGTGGAACGCAGGGATATAAGCTCGAGACTGACTAAAGAAGTTATTAGTTGCTTAGGCTCCATATCGACGTAGACGACCTCTCAGGGCTGTTCTTCCACCAACCGAAGTCTGGCGATCAAGGCAAGAATGCTTTTAGATCGTCTGCTTACAAAAGAAGCACATGCTCAGAAATCGACATATCCCCTGCGATCCGTTCCCCGTATGCATAGGACAAAGTGTACGAAAGTTAGGGCTACCGCAGTAGGCTTGTATAAATGTCGAAGATACCCAGCTCGTCTCCGCACAATTCTTTTGAACATCTTTCTTCTCTCTAGTAAGCACCTTGGAACCCAAAACATTCTATTGCTTCTTCGTGACACCGACCGCGATCAGATCGACATTCTATTGCACAAGATGAATATACCAACGACCGTAGCTCTGCTCTTGCTGCCCAACCTCATCGCCGCTGCACTGTCTCTGCCACGGCAGAATTGGCCATGTGCACTAGGGAATACCATCACGTTAGAGTTTAGCGCGACCAACCCGAAATCGAAAGATTTCCCGGGTACATTCGACGCGCGCCTGGTAAGGAATTGCATCCTGTCGGACGCCAATCTGGGTGGATCCCCTCAAGTGATATACACTACCGACAAGTATATCGATGGAACGCTGGATATGTGTTACCCCAACTGTAGTAACCATCGCGCTGCCGACAAACCTTACCCAACGTGTCCAATTCGGTTGGCCTGCGAAGATACCGACGTCAAGGGCCGGAAAACCAAGATCGTTGTCAATATCAAACTCTGCGGACTGAATAAAGCCGGCAACGGAGCCTGTTTCCCGGGAGCGACATAACTGGAAGGGAATTCTTCGAAGGCTTGATCTACGAAGATGGAAAAGTCGAAGGTATTGGCTGAATGGATGGGTAGTCTGGCCCGCAAGCTGCTCGAAGGATGCTAGGCCACGGCTAGGAAGCAGCGATGTTCCAGTGCAACAAATTGGGGTCGTGGAACAGTAATGTGCATGAGTAAAATCTTTATTCTGGGCAAGAGTGATAGCATCCCAAATGAGATGAAAATGGTTGTGTGCGAGACTGCGAGTGAACGAATAGGCAGAGGTGATCAAGTTGACACGTGACTACGCGCTTCTAGCCTGAGGCGTTGACGCGCCTCGCGTCTCGCGTCTTGAACTTCCAACTTCGCCACCAGGCAAATGCTACTTCCACTTCCACTTTCTCGCACACATCCTCCACGCTCACCACATCGAATTCTCAGCGAAACTCGTCACGAAACTTGCCATCATGGATGAAGAACAATCGCAGTCTGGATACGAGGACGGCCTCGCTGGCGGTCCAGGTGCACCAACGCCGCTGACAACACTCGAGGGCATCAATGGCTTGACCAAGCGAGATATCTCCCTCTTCGTCGAAGCCGGCTACAATACAGTCGAGAGTGTAGCATACACGTAAGCTTTTGGTTGCACATCAGGACTCTCAGTATTTACTGACATATGACCTCCAGTCCCAAGAAGCTGCTCGAGACCATCAAAGGCGTTTCGGAACAGAAGGCCACGAAGATCTTGACCGAGGCAAGCAAACATGTGCCTATGGGCTTCACTACCGCCACTGAGATGCACGCACGACGGTCAGAACTCATTTCCATCACTACTGGCTCAAAGCAACTCGACACTCTACTTGCAGGTGGTATAGAGACAGGGAGCATTACGGAACTCTTCGGGGAGTTTAGAACCGGAAAGAGTCAGATCTGTCACACTTTGGCAGTGACATGCCAGCTCCCTTTTGATATGGGTGGTGGCGAAGGCAAATGTCTCTACATTGACACCGAAGGCACATTTCGACCGGTCCGCCTGCTTTCTGTCGCAGATCGATACGGTCTGTCGGGCGAAGAAGTACTGGACAACGTTGCATATGCTCGCGCATACAACTCGGACCACCAGCTTCAGCTTCTCAATCAAGCCGCTCAAATGATGACAGAGACGAGATTTTCTCTGCTCATCGTAGACAGTGCGACTTCACTATATCGGACAGACTTCATGGGACGTGGTGAGCTGTCAAATCGACAAACGCATCTAGCAAAGTTCATGCGCATCCTCCAGCGACTCGCAGACGAGTTCGGCATTGCGGTCGTCATCACAAACCAGGTCGTGGCTCAGGTGGATGGCGGACCGTCGGCCATGTTCAACCCTGACCCCAAGAAGCCAATCGGAGGAAACATCATTGCCCATGCGTCCACGACACGGCTGTCATTGAAGAAGGGACGGGGAGAAACCAGAATATGCAAAATATACGACTCTCCTTGTCTGCCCGAGAGCGACTGCATGTTTGCCATTACAGAGGCAGGCATCAATGATCCTCAGCCGAAAGACCTGGAGAAGGATTGATGCGCGAAACCAAATGAGGCGCGGTTTACGTGCCGATGATGGCCGCGTGCGCCGGACCAGCCGCGTCTCCTTCACGATTCATGTCCCTTTCGTTCTTACATGTACATAGTGTAGATTGTTGTATGAGACGCCCTATCGGCATAGCTGCCCGAGTAGTGGTAGCTGCAATCAAATTTGATGTCTCGCCTCATCAATATTTGACGTCTCCGACTTTCCAATGTTCGCAACAAAGCTGCTGCGAACTCAACTGAAGCACAAACATACGCGTCGTGCTTGTAATCCACTCTTTTCAGCCTGGCATTGCGGGCGTGGCTCGCTTGACAACATGGCCACATCTGTCCTACCTACACCGACGCTATACGAGGAGACGCACCTATCGATTACACCTTCGAGCCCGACAACGCTGCTAAACATCCAGGTTGGCGAAAGCAAGAGCCTCGTGCAGACCGGCGCCGGCCGCAAACGCGCTTTTGGAGAGATCAGTGGCCTTGATGAAGAGTCCTATGCGCGTGCACACCTTGCGACTGCAGGTTCAGTCTTCTTCCGGCCCAAGAGCAGAGCTCCACGAAGTTTCCTCTGGCGCGTATTAAACGAACGGCACACACTCGAGCTACAATGCGTGGATCTGGTGGAGGACAAGCGGCACCATGGCAGTCATAGCTGGATCACATTCCACGTTTCGCTGCCTAAAGCCATCGTTTCGAGCGGTGTCGCGTTGGCGGATGGAGGTGACAAGGACGCGTTGGTTGTTTTCGTGATCACAGGCGATGGACTGTACACTGTCACGTTGAAGCGCGATCTGCTGGTACGGGAATCTGTGCCTGTTGATTTCGATGGCAGCTCAATCGTCAAACACTTTCCCTTGGGCCACAAAGCGTACCGACTGACGGCAGTGTCGAGTCTTGAATTATTGGTCTCTTTGGAAGACGGGGGATTTTTGCGCTTGCAGCGTCAGCCTAACGAGCTCGGCAACCAGTGGCGCCCGACTTATTTCAGTGAAGGAGGATGGAGCGGCACTCTAAAGGGGATTGTGCCGACGTGGTCAAAGAACAGCGTGAGATATGGGGAGCTTGATCTCATGCCTAGTGCTTTTGCTGCTATGGAGATGAGTCCAGACGGCAAATATGTGTGGACTGTTGGCATAGATCATATCCTGAAAGCATGGAGCACTGGGACAGGAAGAGTCGCTGGACAGATGGATCTCTTGATCGAGAACAGAACACAGGAAGATCGAAAGAAGCAAGTGCTGATGGATGCAGGACAAGGAACGTTGCTGCAAATCGCAGATGCGGAAGGCCTCCCCGGTGTCGCATACTTTCTGGTGTGCTACTCACCTAATAACCACCGCTTCAAGTTTTTCGCAGTTCACGACGAAGAGGAGCTGGACTTCCGAGACACGCAACCTGCCTCAGCTTCGCTTGTCGCACCTGTGGCAGAGATGCTAGGCACGACTGTGTGGCACTTGGAGCAATTTCATGTCGTCCCTGGCCATTTATGGCGACAATCACAGATTTGGATCAGGGCTAGGAATGGTGCACTCTGCCAAACCTTCACACTGAACTTCGACCTCTTTGACGACAATGGAAACCAGAACGACCTTACCGACTTATGGAAGAGTGACTGGACCGGCGTGGAAAACCACCACCTCAGTATTGAGACGCTCAGAAGCTCGCCAGATTTCGCTGAGCTAGACGCCACGTCAGATAGCCCGCTCACACCAAGCGAAAAATGGTTGAAATTCCTGTTCTATCCAGGCAGATTTAGCGAGGCTTCTCTTGAGGCAGCGTTGGGCATCTATCGCAAGGGACGCGGCCTTCCTGCATCATCCTCGAGGAGCCTCAACGCGGTTGAGCCATTGAAAGAGCGGATTACCAGCGCTGTAGCCGCAAAGATTCTCTTACGTCGAGGGCCCAACGACCATCCCGACTACGATCGCTACCAGCTTGACCTTCAGACACAATGGCAGACCTTCTTCACGTTACTAGCGCATCTACACACACTTCGGCTGGCTCCCATCGGCTTCGCGTACGATGACATTGATGGTCTACCGTGGTCTGTCTGCGCCGATTTCGTGGCTCCCATCCGGACAAGCAGCGGCTTCGAGCTCGTGAGCAACAACGCGGAATACCTGAAGCTTAGTAACATCAGCTCTGGCAAGGATGCGGTACACCGAAAGATATGGCCCAATATGGACGAAGATGTGTTGAAGTCTCAGGTTCTAGCTGTTGCCAAGCAGCTTCGGTCTTGCCTGTCGCCTCAATCTCAAGAAAGGCTGAGGAGAGCGGCTATTGCTGATGCACTCGATCAGAGCGCCGACAAGTCCGCACTGCTTGCACTTCAAGGCATCTATGAAGAATGCGGCATAAGCGAAGAAATTAGCAACGAAGACTTCGATGCCATCAGTGAGGCTGCTACTGTCTTCAACGGACTCGGTAGTCTTGATGACGACTGCCTACTCATGGTGCTCGAAGCAATAGATGCGGACGTACCCCTGCATGGCACAGATAGTGAACAGGCACTGCAGAACTATGGCAAGGAGCTGAATATCGCCATTGCGCAACAAACGCTGCAAGACGCCCAGATCGTTCTTCTGGATATTCTTGCGCTTGTCATCTTCATGCATGGTGATCTGGAGGCCGAGGAACTGGACAACAATTTCCGACCAAACGAGATGTACGAGACCATCATTTTCAGATTCAAGCTCACCGAACTGCGTCTTTGGCTTGTTAGTCATGTTCGCACAGAGCCAAAGAAGGCGGGGGGTAATGAGGCCGACGTGTTGAGTATGACAATCTACGAGAGCTTGTTCATTGGCGACTGGCAATCGTTGACAACCAAAGAACACCGCAGCATGGCCCATCTGATCACTGCTTGGGCCAAATCTTGGACCCTGGGAATAGACCTGAATGCCAACTGGACAGGCCTCACGGACTATATCATGGCAGATCTCATCAGGCATACACAGTATGAGCTTGCGCAAGACTTTAGCAAATTCTTGACTGAGAATGCACCATGGGCAACCTACCTGAAAGGTCGCGTACACCTCGCTACCAATGAATACGGATTGGCGAGCTCGACTTTCGTCGAAGTAGCTCAAGAGCTTGCCCTCTTACCAGATGCAGCCAAAGTGCTAGGAGGCAGCATCCTCACCGACAAGGAGCTTGAGCACTTTGGCCAAGGTCCGATGTCGTATTATCAGCATATATCAGCACTGTTTGAGTCGCAGGGTGCGTTCTCGTACACAGCCGAGCACGCTTACACGGCGTTCCAATGCTTGCAGCATGATCGGGATTTTGCACGTGAACTGCATGAGCTCGATCTGCGCAAGTCAAAGAATGGTCCAGAATCCCCAGCACCTCAGCGAATTGACGACGCAATGGAGGAGATTCGTCTGCTAAAACTCCGCGAAACCCGTGACAGCATTCTAGGCCGTCTCTACAACGCTCTTACGCAATGTGGTAGGTTCGAGGAGGCTTATCAGGCACTCGAACAGATGAGGCACCCGGACCTTCGCAAATCAAATATGAAGCTACTGGTCGGTCGATGTGTGAAGGAAGATGCAGTGTCAGTACTGCTCTCCCTTCCAGTCGCCGACGACCTTGTGCAGACCGTTGATGCGGAGCTCCTCAGACTTGCCAAGCGCAGCATGGGCACTTCGAACACTCAATTGTCCGGTCCACCGTATCATCAAATACTATTCGCCTTCCGCACACGGCACAACGACTTCAGAGGCGCAGCCGCGCTTCTGTACACGCATCTGGAGTATTTGAAGCATACCAACGCGCACGCAGTGAAGGATCCAGACGACGAAACACTTCCTCAAGCGTACGTCCTTTTGATCAACACACTCATGTGCTGCGGTGGCGATGAAGCATGGTTGCTGGCAGACGCGATTGATGGTGTGCATCCAGCCGGGACCAAGAGAAGACTGGTTCGACTGGAGGATGTGAGACGAGAGTATGCAGAGGAGCTCGATCGTCGGAGTGAAGTTCAATTAGGAAGGTTCGCCATTGTAGGTGGTGATGAGATGGATATGTTTTGATAGTGAAAGACTACTCTTTGCATTGACCACCTTCCAGCCAGACGAAAGTCGCAGACGGGGAGCAGCATACAAGGAAGGTCGCTATAACTCATGATGGGCGGATACAGTCCCGCCTGAGAAGAGCGAGACCGACAGGGAAAAGCACAAGATTGTCTGGGCTAGTGCTGTCATTGACTAGATACCCAATCATGCTATCGTCGGCAACATAGAAAATCGATACCGCATGCTCTGCCCGAGGAATCCGGATGGCTTTCAGTTCCTCGCATCTTTGGCCCTTGTGAAGGTATCTCTACGACACCCCATCGTTGGCCTTTCTAACCTCGTTTCTTGTCCGTGGCTGGCTACATCCTACGCCATTGAACCACCATGACTAACTTCTATTCCAACTCTCTCTTCCAACCCACTTCATCGATCCTGTCCAGATAGTGAGATTTTGCTGGGGGGAATATAGAGGTCGACGGAGACACTCACTTTAGACAAGCTAGTGCTGACCATCAGTTTAGTTTGCGTACGGTCAAGACGGCGATTCCGCTTACATATCGATGTCTGGACTTACCGCAATGCTACCGAACGAGATGTTTCCGATCGAGTTTCCGTTTCCGTTGTCCTTGTTGCCTGAGCCATTGCCGTTGCCAAATTCGTTTCCGTTGCCATTGCCGGCTACATGAGGTCAGTATGTGATGCTGAGCTGGTCATGGAAGAAGGAGAGGATGACTTACAGCCTGGGTTGTTGCCATTGCCAATGCTGTTGCCAGATCCAGGCGAGTTACCATTGCCAAAGTTGTTGCCGGAGCCGGGCGAGTTGCCAGAGGCATTGCCATTTCCATTGTTGTTGCCATTGCCCTTGTTGCCGTTGCCGTTTCCGACGATGGAGCCGAAGATGCCCTTCAGCGCGTTCCCTCCATCTGCCTGTGGAGTGTATGCTGTAGGCAGAGCAGCGGCCGAAGCCACGGCGATGGCGAGGATTGCTGCGACACGCATTTTGAAGTGGTTTGAGGAGGATGGATTAGAGTATGAAGTACTGGAAAGGAAGAGACTGGGCAAGATTTGGTTGGAAGTGAATGGCAACAGCAAAGGTGTCGAGAATGGAGAAGCATGGACAGGAGGTGATTATAAGGGCTATTTGCAGTCACGCTCGTCTGCTGCACCGCATTGCGTACAATCGATTGCAGGACTCCTCGCCTGTGCGGCTAGAGTGCTTCGAGTGATCGACTCGACAGCGTGGACGCTGAACGCAGAAGTCTGAGTGGTGCATCTCGCGAGTTGTACGAGCCGCAGAGGATGCCTCGTTTGCGCGTTCACTGTGGCAGACGACTCGTGGCGTCCGACCCTACCAATTGAGGCAATTCCAGCATCCATTGGCATCGCGATGACGGTTGAGCGTAGTCTCGAAGAGGAAAGATATGCTATAAGTCGGAGAAGCACCGCGTGCAGGAGCGACATTAGCACAGCTAGTCTGTCGGCAACTTTGGAAATAGTTGATCGTCGAGTCACGGATGGCTCGGATCTTGAGTTTTGATGGCATGTTGTCTGCAGACGCCAGATTTCGGTCCCAAGTCCGATGTCTTTTTTGCTTACTCCTCCTATTTCATACCTCGAGAGGCATCAGCAGCCAGCTCAACGGTATGACCGGTTTTGCTATGCCATCAATATCGAGCATTTCGGGAGCACATATTATACAATTCCTGCTGATATGTTGAACGAAGTGTGGAGCCTACACTGCTTGACGGTTGTGGAAGTCGTGTGAAGGTTTTGAGTTTGGAGCCGCATGTCGATCACGCTGATCTCTCTTTCCCAAAATTTCTCCTCGGCTTCACGTCTTGCGTGTCGTAACTACGCGCCACAAGCAGCCCATAAACTTCGTCCTACTCGCGCTGCGTCAGCCGCTGATGCCAGAACTGCTCATAGCATCTCCTGTGTTCTTTGACATGATGCTACGATACCGCTTCTTCGGCAAACAGCTGGCATGGTCGTGCCTGATGCCTCCTCGCAGCGGAGACATCTAATCCGAGGCTGACAAACTACGAAGAGGAACGCGAAGGCGTTTTCGCTGGATACACGCACATGATTGAATTGCGAACGCCTTGGATTCAGTGACATTGCGGGGAGCTCGATTTTGTGCTCTGCGCCGCTCCCACGAGCAGACGAAGTCCTTCATGATCATGCCTGACCAGATGAAGGCTGCCTCGTCCTATGGCAATCCGAGCGATGCTGTGAATTGTGATGGGTATGCGTAGAATTGCTTTCAAGCTGACTGCAGAACATTCTTCTGATGAAGCTGCATACTCCATGCCATGTAGCACAAACGCGGCGGAAGCGATGCGACCCTATATCTGGTGGAGAATACCACAGCCGCGGGTACAGCTAAGTAAGGACAGAAAGAATACCGCCAGAGAGGGTGCGTATGCATGTGGGGATGCAGGTGTTTTCGAATCCGAAATGGTTGGCAATGGTTGATGCTTCCAGCGCACTCGGGTTGCACCAAAATGGATCGATCGGGTGCTTGCCTCTGCAGCGGCAACCCCATGTGCTGCCATTTTGCACATTTGCCATCGTCGTCTCTCGTGCGGGACCACGTGTTGCTGCGAAATAGCCACGCTCCTCACTTGCAGAGCGCCTGGCTAAAGTCACAAGTTCAGTGCCCCGAGCCACGCTGGACATCACCTTGCACTCGCAAAGTGGCGGTCTAGTTGCGCAGCGGAGGACCCATCGAGATTGACCAGAGGACTGCAGCTCAAGGCCATTTCGCCTTCGATGCGGACGCCGTGGTTGGAAGACGGCGTGATTGTGGTTGGTGACTGGGACGCATATTGTTTGCTCCCTCTCATTCACCGAATTCAAATCTCGAGGCCGACGTCACTACGACTCGTTGCGGGACCTTTGCTTCACCTCGACTGCTCCGGCGCAGCACCATCCTCGTGCTGCAGCACGGGTTGAACGGCGGTACGAGCAAGTTCGAGCACGGCAGCCGCCCGGTCGAGCCGTGGACGCCATGGCATTCTTCACGGCGTGGGCGACGTGGCAGAAGCTGGTTTTCGTAAGTTCCTCGAATTTCCTGATCTAGTAGTACGTCCGCTTACAGGAATGCAGATTCTCGCGTGTGCTATTGTTATCACAGTCCTCCTGGGATGCGCCAAGGTAGCTCATACACAATACAAATTGCGCGCCTACAACGCCGTGGCAGAGCGGGACAAGACAGAAGGCGCGATCCATCGACAGATGAGCCAACGCCGGAGACAGCAAACGGCCAACGACGTGCCATTCGGTATTAGAGCCATCGAGAGCGGTATCGAAGTTGACGGTGTTTGGGTCTCGCGAAGCAATACACCAGAGCCAACATCGAGTCGAGACACATCGATATCCTCAATGTGGCTCGGTGCTCCACGAACCGATTTCGCAATCGATCTGGAGTCCCAGAACGACAATTTATCGTCTGACCAAACTCGGTTCGGACACGCAGACGAATCGGCCACAGACATCGCCAACCACACCACAGCTTCTCGAGAGAAGATTAGGGCCTCAAGAAATCAGCACCCGCCATCATCATATGCCAAATACACAGGCAGCTCAACGATCTTCAACCAGAACCTCACACCAGCGACAAGTAAGCATGCCGATGCAAGCAACCGGGCTTCCAGAGCCATCAACAGTCTCGACAGCACTGGATCGGACAGTGGCAATCGAGGTTCCATCTACCTCAACAGCCCCAGCAACGAAATTGGTGCCGCATCAATATCAGCACCCGACCTCAGAGGCCTCCCACAAAGACAAAGACAACAATCCCTAGATCTCGACCTCATGCAAATCCACCGCATGTCACAGGCTGCAGAAACCGGACAATTCGCACCACGAGCGCGAAAGGCAAATCTCGGTGGTAGCCGTCCCTCATCATCCTCAAACTCAGCAAAGCATTCTCTACGTCTTCGAGCGCGGTCCGAATCGCCTGTCGCGCGGCCTACCACGGCCGGAAAGACCTCAACAGGGCAAAATCAATATGCTTCGCCGATAGATTCCCTCTCAGAAGCGGCCAGACGATCTACCTTACCAGACGTGACGCCTTTCGCGCAAGTCTGTCGGACAGGGCCACCATCGCCACAGCTCGAATCAAGACGGCCATCGCCATCGCCGACTTCGTCTGGCAGCTCCTCCAAGCGAAGCACGAACGAGATCAAGGCCGAGCCTGCTCCCGCGTCGTCGAATATGGCACCTACCGCGAATGAGACCGAGATCGTGCCCGAGCGAACGGCGCAGAAACACCCCTTGCACCCGTCCTCCGAACAACGCGAATCGTCCATCCTGCGTGGCCATGGCTCTGGCTTCGAAATCCTAAGACCTGGAACCTTTGCCGCAGAGAGACAGCGATCCGCACCACCTCTCAGTCTGTACAATAGCATGCCGCAAGCTCGACCCAGTAGCACGGAAGGGCCACGAAAACTTCAAAAGAAGCGGAGATCGAGCGTGGAGTCGAGCACTTCAGGTCGCAGTCGAATGAGCATGCTATAATATGCTATGATTTGCTCTGAAAGAGAAACAGTTTGGGTATATGTCCTATGGCCGAGATACGGCACGACTAGAAGCTGTCAAGACTATGGACTGAATGAGAGCTCTGCCAAGCAAGTATAACTCGACGATAGACTCATTTCTTCGCTTCAAGTGAGCTGAATACAAGATGCACCTGCCGTTGATACGACGTCTCTTCCTTCTTCCGGCTCAAAGAACGGCTTTCAATATCAGCCCAATCTTAAGCCAACAGTGCTGATACATGTCGACAGTGACGAAAAGGATTTCCAGTTTGGGCCAAAGCGCGTGTGGTGCCGCAAGACACGATATTCGCCTTTATTGAAGATCGTTCACGGTACAGGTATTCGATCTGATCACCCGCTGGGATCTCAGAAGTCGGGGTCGGCGCCTGATCGTGCCTGCGAACGCTGTCCTCTGCTTCTAGCGGTCGGGCGGACTTCAGCATCCACCTCAGGATCAGATTCTAAAAGCCAAATTAGCAGATTCCCATATGTGAATCGAATTATGGTCTTACCATCACCAATTCCCCAAGATCTGCCTCCGGAGCGCGAGCCCATGCCTAAATACAGTCAGCGGACATGGCCATGTGCAACAAGTAACATGTAGTTCGGTGAATTTTGTCGTCAAATGTCAGGAACTCAAAACTTACCATCACCAGCCGTCTTGTAAATCTTCTTCCCAGACGCAGTCGACCCATCCGCAAAGTTGCCATCGGAGCGCGAGCCCATACCTAAAGCCGTCAGCCGGAATGGTCACAGGGCGAAAATATGCTCGTGGAAGAGATTTTGATGTCAAAAGCCGGGAAATCAAACTTACCATCACCAGCTGTCTTGTAAATCTTCTTCACGGGCGCAGGGGACTCATCTGCAAAGCTGTAGTGCGCTTCGAAATCGTCTTCGCGGCGAGAGTTGTTCACGTTGGGCTTTTGAGCAGGTTTCTGTACTCGGTCGTCGGCGTGCAGAGGATCTCCGTACAGCCCAAGCCCTTTCTGTCTCTGGAAAGACTTGGCCTTTGCAGGAGCAGGTGATTCGTCGTTGAGCTCCCAGTGTGGTTCTGCGTCTTTGCGTGGCTGGTGCACGACAGGACGCTTCGGTGGCGATTCAGGATCCTCCTGGTGCATGTTAGTATCGGGGATGCAAGTGCTAAACGCTACAAGTGCTGGCGCATTCTCACCTCATCAACACCAGCACCCCAATGACGCTCGTAGTCCGGTCGGTTCTTCTCGATGTGCTTCGGCGGTGTCGCGAAGTCCTCAAAGCTGAATGTCGGTCCCGATTTGTCCTGCGCATTCTTGCTCTTTGCACGTGCATGTCCACCGTGGCCACCCTGAGGAGCGTCCTCGCCATCGCCGAAGTCGAAATGTTCGTACTTCTTGGTGTAAGTCTTCTTGCGCTCAGGTGACTGTGGGGGTTCCAATTCTTCCCGGCTCTCGAACAGCCGATTCTCTTTGAAGCCTTTGCCAGCACCCGCCTTGAGGATGGTGCCGTGCTCCTTGTGAGGCGACTGAGAGCGCACTGGGTTGCTCTCCTGCTCCTCATTTGTGAACAACTCGCCCAGGTCCCGAGGAGCCGGTCTCGCCGACTTGACCGGCTCGTACTTGGGGCCACTGTAGGTACTGGTGCCCTCATTAGGGTCTCGCTCGGCGAACAACGACAGGCTTGCATGCGGATCACGCGTCACGGAGACACTGTCGCGTTTCTGGTGGGCGTTGACAACCACATCGTGTGGATTGCGGCTGCCGTTGCCACCTCGCGCGCTGGATGCGCCAGACGGCGTGGCGGTCTTGATGCTGGTCGTAACTGCCTTGACCTGGTCTTTGCCGTCGCGAATGGGCCAGTTGCGACCAGTCTTGCCAATGGCCTCGACTTGCTTCAGAAGTGTCCCTTGGTCCCAGTACTGGCGGATCTGCTGGATCTTGTCGCCGTGGAAGGTAACCACATGGGTGAGCGGGAACGTCACCTCGCGCTCGTCCAGCATATTGGAGTCCATGCCAGGCAGGAAGGCGCCGCCGCCCATACGGAAGCTCAGTGTTGTCTGCGTCTCGATACAGCAGCCATCGTCGCCCTCAATGGTGGACAGCACCTTCTCCTCCTTTTTCACGACCTGCTTGGCCTGCGCGGCGAGATGCTTGAGGATGGCTGTGGGCTCGCTGATCTGTGTGGTCGTGGTAATGTAGTTGATCGAGGCATCGCTCGCCAGCACGCCAGTGCTCGGCGACTGCAGGAACTGCAGGTAGGCCGCTGACTTGGGTGGCATTGTATCTGCTGGCCGGATCGGTGCAGCGGGGATGAATGGGTCGTGGAGGGATAGATGGACTGGCGAAGGAAGGTGGGCTGCAACAACAACAAAAAGAAGTTCAGTGCAACTTGCAACTGTAGCCTCGCTCAAGCTTTCCGTCTCTTTCCCAGGGGCCACCAGGCACGCAGCTGCAGGTGAAACGCCGCGGCGCAGGGGGCCCTCCCTTTGATCTGCGGGGTGAAACCACTGCTTTGGGTCCGTTGCACGGGGCAACGCTTCATGGTTATTTTATTCAGTGACGATGGCTGCACTACTGATCACGGCCCTGTTGGAACTAGAAACAACCTCACGGTTCCAGACCAACGACCATATCGGCCGTCACCGCACTGAGCGGCATTGTCCAAAACTCGCAATCCTTATACCGTGCTTCCACCATGCGTTCTGCCAGCGCGATGTTGCGCTCCGGAAATCCCTCGTCGCGCAGACTGCGATAAAAGGCTGCAATAACGGCCCTCCCTAGACGATCGTCGCATTGCATGTGGTCACCTCTAGGGCACGCTCGCAATAACCAAATCAAAGTAGTCGGCGGATCTTCAGGCGCCAGTCCCGGCTGCACATGCGCACTCAACACTTTGCCGTCGCCTTTTCTCCGCAGCAGCAACGCTTGACTTCCACTTCTGCTATGGATCATAGCTCTGTCAACCTTTTCCTTCTTTCCAAACCCGGGTTGGCTTTCGCAGAGCGTAAAGGGCATTCGTGGCAGAGCCCATCCTCTCGACCTGGCGTCTGCCTCAGATACTGCAAGCACCAAGGTGTGAAGTAGCTCCGACATCATTTGTCCCCGATTCTGCGGACGAACGTATATATATATTGCTGGACGCCACACGTATAGAGTTAGTCTTGGCGCATGAACCTCAATGCATGCACTTACCAGATACGGTACTACAACGTCCTCTGCTCGGAGCAGAAATATGGAGAATTGTGCAGCGCCAATTGCCGCTCCGTCGTGATCTCGAATACCAACAATGCGATAAGGAGAAACACTTCGGCGCTTTCCGGCGAACTCGTCTTTGAGACGATCGATTATAGCAGCAGGCGGCTCAAGCTCATGGCCTTCAAATTCAGCAAGGTAGAGCGGGCTGTAATCGTCTCTGAATGCATCGCTGTCTACCAGCTCAATTTGACCAATGTTGGGCAGTGCAGATTCCGCTATCCTCGACGCCGAGACTCTCGACAGCGTGGAAAGCTCCAACCCATCAATATGATCAAGAAGAGGCAAGGTCAAAAGTGGCGCTAAAAGCGCACGTATGCTATCGCCGGCATCCATCTGGTCTGTGGCAATGAAGGCAGAAGAGAAACTGCCTCGCGAGGTGAAAAGTTGGCAAAAACTATGTTTTGCCTTAGCCCCAAGAGAATCCCCGACCGGATGACTCAGCATTTGGGGCGAAACTCGAGGCAAGCCGTGGGATGTCGAGATCTCAGAACATGTAATGAGCGATCGATCAATCCTGAGGGCAGGTAGTGTTGGTATATTTGAATGGCTTTCTGCCTTCAGTAATAGCTGTTGCTGGTCGCACTCCGCTGGTATTCACCAGCCGTGCCAGGGAATGCACCGACAGGCTCGTTTCGATAAATACCCTCATCGCCACTGTCTTCCTCGTCACCTCGGAATGCCTTTTCTTCAGGCTCTGGCGGAGCGCGCATCTGCGCAAGCACGTCTGAGTCCAGGCTGGGAGGCTGGAATGGCTGTGGTGTGTGGTATTCTCGCCCTGAAGGCATCCTCGCAAGAAGTGGCTCATATGGCGGGACCAGCTGAACATTGATCGTGCTGTTTTCTTTGTCCCATTTGGCTTCCAGCATTTCCACTACCCTCGCTTCCTCGAGTCTGCCAGCATCCATACCCCACTCACCTCCCTTGTCTACTTTCCGATCTTCGCGGCGCTCTTGCCAGCTTTGCTTGAGACCTTTGAGCCCCTTTCGCTTGCCGTCTTCGAGCTCGACAACAAGACCGAGCTCTTTACGAGCCCCTTTCAACCAGGCCAAGCCCTCGCCTGTCTTACCTGAGAGCTCAGCGTCAATTGCCAGAAATCGAGCTGCCTTGCCTCTGGCAGTTCGTCGAACATCGTTCGCATACTTGACGAGATCTTCATCAATCTTCGCAGCACCACTACTACGCCCAAGCAAGCCACTAGCACCCGTTGCATGCTCCGCAGCGGCTAGACAAAAGCGTGCGTACAGGTGAGCACGAACCTTTGGTATCGTTGGAGCCTTGAACATCCAATCTGTGTTGTTCTCATTGCGGTCATCTGAAACGGCGGCAATATATGGGTCGTCCTTTGCGATCACGATCATGGTCGCTTCTGCCAGGGCCAAAGAGGCGAGGGCCGATATTGTTGCAGGCTGGATGTCGATGGGTGCATCCTGGGCAGCAGAAATGGAAGGAAGCGACAGCAGATAGGTGTGAATGGCATGCGCGTCGACAAGATGTTTCATTGCAGTAGCGATGGCGGCTGTTCGCTGTTCCGTGGTAAGCACAGTGGATCCATAGACTGCCCTCAATTGTGATCGTGCCAGGAGGGAGTGCGTGTAAGCCAGCGTCGACAGCGTGAAGGCGATTTCATGATGGAGGCCTGTCAGCTTGGGCCGGGCGTTCTCGCGACCTGGTAAGGCGGCGGAAAGCGTGCTTCGCCATTCTACTTCCAGTGGTCTCTTGATCTCAACATCGAGCTTTTCAGGCCCCAGGTCTCGGAAACCGGCACCGGCGTTCAGGGCGAGCAGAAAGGGAAGATAATCCTTGATGGCATTCTGGACTGTCGGCAGATTGGTCACTCGGGCTTGCGGCGAGAGGCGTTTATGTTTCTTCAAGACATCTTTCACGATGCTGCGTTTGGTGGTGGCTGTCAGCGGCAGGGAGGGGTGGGTGACGCTGTCGAAGAAGTCGGACAGCAGCACAGAACTTGTGGTTGGCAGAGCAAAAGGAAACGGCATGGCGGCGGGAGCGCGATGGTTGTCGCGCAGAGATGGGCAGGCGGCGGCAAGTTCAGCCTCGTCAGTGTTCTGGAAGCAGTGAGCTCACTCTCGTTCAGCAATTCTAGACCCCGCGACGCACACACTGCCGAGACAGTTCACGCCACGAACATGTTGCCAACAGCGATGCCGGGGGTGCAATGTGTCCGTGGTGTGCTGCACGATGGGGGGCGGAGCGGAGAAGCAGCGCTGTTTCGCCGACCACCAGCACTCCGCAGGCTGACTACTTTCTGCTTGCCTGCTGATTCCTGGCGAGCTTGCTTCGGAGCACGACCCCTGCGCTGGTTGGCGGCTCCTTGCAGCCGCAAGCCGTGTCGATTGGCGAGCTCCAGGAGCTCCATCCTGTGCTATTTTCGGGAAAACACCGACTGCCATCTGCCATGCCTTGCTGATCGAGTCCAGCTGCCCACGGCCTATCGCTGCAACTGGGAGGCATGGCGGACTGCTCATCGCCGCTGCGTGCAGTTTCCGCTGACGGCGGCGATGCGTGTACAGCACGCTGAAAATCACATTGTCAGCGCAGCGGGCGGCGGAGCGGTGGAGGGCTACGTAGACAAGGATCGCCGTTAGCCAGGAGAAGCCAGTAGGGCTGTGCTGATGTGTTTTGTAGAAACTTGCTTGCACAGAACGCCTATAGTAGGTGGTGCCGTATCTCAACTGCATGCCTTGCACCCCGAGTAGTGTATGTAGGCACGTTCGGCCCATTCAATAGTGCGGGGACTTCCAAATGGCTGTCCGTCCTGTCCAGACATATTCACAACAGCAGCAGCACCTCTCACCACACTTGCCCGCCTCGTTCGACACTTCCCTCGCCTCTCTCGACACCACCCGCAACCACGCGCCTGGCATTCCCGACCGCCGCAAATCACTGCGTCCCAGCCTCGGAGGCAGAGCAACGGCCAGCAACCGCAAAAGCACTGCCTCCGCAAAGCGGGTGTCGTCCTTGGTCGACATGGCTTCAGACTTGCGTCTCAAGGACGACGACACCGATGACCACAACGATACCAACGACGAGAAGCGCAGCAAACCCGACACCGATAACGACGATCGGCCTTCCACCAGCAACTCCACGAAGAGCGACGACGCCGACACCGACAAGACCTCCCACGACCCTGCCGATAGCGACACCTTCGAAGACGCGAGCTCGACGCCGAGGCCCTCGTCCACTGAACCCGATACACACGCAGGCGCGGTAGAGGACAAGAACAGCACGGCGGAGGACGGAGGTGGTACAGGACTGGGCATCACGGACGCAGACGATTCGCAAGAACGTGCGTCCCGGCCGTTGGACAAGGCCGCACCTGCCTCAGAATCTCGTGAACGCAGCCTTTCGCCGGGGTCCAAGCCCTCGCAACCAGCGTCCCCTGTTCAATCCGGGCACGACCAGGCGGGCGAGGTTGTGCTTCCCGTCCAGCCTGCCCCATCAACCGCCGCCGACCACAGCCACAACGAATCGGTCGGCTCTGTAGACCGAGTAGCATCTCCTCCACGACACCCTGGCTTTGCACGAAAAGCATCGAGTGGCTTCGGTGCCCTGTTGGGCAGAATGAATACCATTCGCAAATCGGCCAGGTCGCCGTCTGTCCCACGGGGCGGTCCCGAGCGTCGCAATACAGTGGCCTCGATATCTTCCGCAGATGGCAATAGTCTCTCCGGCCAGGAAGGCATCAAGCCCAGTCTGCAGGACCAATTCTCAACATTGCGGAGGCAGGAGGAGTCAGGCGGTTCCATTGCCAACGGCCATGTGCTGCACGAACAGGAAGGGTCCAGTGTGACTCCCTCGACACCTGGTGATGGAGCGTCATCGCCTCCCACAAGTCCGCGGACGGAGGACAAAAGGGTACGGTCCCCCAAACTGGACAACACTCTGCCACCTGGGACAGCCTCGGGCATGTCTGCAGGACCTCCGCCTGTACCTCAGGAAGTCAATTGGGATCTGTGGCAGAAATTGGTGTACGAGGGTCCTTCTGCAGTGGCCAAAACGAGTGGACACGAGCTGAATGTGGCCATCATGACCGGCATTCCTCCTGCTATTCGTGGCGTGGTCTGGCAAGTGCTTGCAGAAAGCAAGAATGAAGAACTCGAACATGTATATCGGACATTGAAAGCTCGTGGGACTGAGAGCGACCAGAAATCTCGCAGCTCGCGAGCGTCGTCAGTTGCTGGGACTAACGGAGGTCTGGAGAAGGAAGGAGCCACTTCAGATTCTTCGAGCGAGCATTCAAATACCTCGCCGAAATTGAAGTCTGGGTTGGCCAGCCCGCTCTCGTCTATGGACAGTGTTCCGGAGCTTCAATCAAAGCTATTGGCTGAAAAGCAGAAGCGTGAAGCGGCCGCTCTGCAGAGGCTGGAGAAGGCTATCAAGCGTGACATGGGCTCAAGGACGTCCTACAGCAAGTATACCCAGTCTGCTGGTCTTCAGGATGGACTTTTCGGCGTCTGCAAAGCTTATGCCCTCTTCGATGAGGGCGTGGGCTACGCACAAGGCATCAATTTCATTGCCATGCCTCTTCTGTTCAACATGGCTGAAGAGGAGGCCTTCACTCTGCTGGTCAGGCTCATGAGCAAATACGACATCCGCAGCATGTTCACACCCGATATGAGAGGCCTGCACCTGCGCCTGTACCAGTTCGAGCGGCTACTGGAAGAGCATGAGCCAGCCGTCTATTGTCATCTCAAGCGTCGAAATGTCGACCCGCAGCTATATGCCACCCAATGGTTCTTGACGTTATTCGTCTACCGCTTTCCGCTGCAACTTGTCCTAAGGATATATGACCTGATACTAAGCGAAGGTCTGACTGCAATCCTCAAGTTCGGCATCGTGCTGATACAGCACAATCGCGAAGCGCTCCTCAACATCAAGGAGATGAGCCAGCTCACGAGTTTTCTTAAGGAGAAATTATTCGATGTCTACATCGACAAGTCGCCGTCTGCATCCAAGTTGTTGGACTCTGGCTTTTTCGGTTCAGTCACCGGCGGCGCGGACAAGGAGCTGTATCGTGCTGACGACATGGTGCGCGATGCCTGTACAATCAAAATCTCGGATGCAACATTGAAGGCATACAGCATGGAGTGGGAGGAGCTGCAACGCGCGGAGCGCGAGAGGGAGGCGGAATTGGAGAATCTGCGAGCCACCAATGCTTCCCTCACTGCCAGGGTCAAAGCACTAGAAGAGCGCTCGCAGCAACACGACACAGAGCACGTCACTATTGCCCAAGACTTGGTTCGGATCAAGGTCGAGAACGACTCGTTACAAGATACGAACGAGGCACTCAAACTGCAGGTCGTCGAACTCCAGAAGATGGTAGATGCACAGCCGGCAGAAGTTGAGAGCAGACTCAAAGCGGAAATGGACCGCATCATGCAGAGGAATATCGAAGTGCAAAACGAGAACCGAAATCTGAAGGAAGAAATGGATGAGATGGAGCACGAACTGGTCAATGCCAAAATGGCACACGCTCAGGTACGTGACCACGGCTACGTTGGCAGCAAGATGCACACGACGCTAATACAGTTTACAGGCACAAGCAGACCACGATGCAATAAAACAGAAATGGCAAAGTGTGCAAGCTTTGCTCAACGATAAGCAATGACCAGTATTGGCCCTGAGAGGCAGATGTGTTTCATCTATCATTTTCTTACAGGCAGGCGCGCTCGAGCCTCATGAGGCCGGGTATAGAAATATGGCATGGCAGTGGGGCGGAGCATAAGGACATGGTCGCATCAAGGAAGGCGTCACTGGAAGAGGTTTTAATCATTTGTCCTGGAGAGTAGCACTGTTAATCTACCGCTGCCAGAAGCACGATGACTCGATCGTTATCAAAATCGCTATCGCCGCCAGACATCTCTCGCATACTGCATCAAGGGCGGTTCACAGGCGTCAGCTTGACCGCTAGCTCTGGCTTGTCCCACAGCGTAAACACACGACAGCGATCGATCCAGTCGTCACTGCTCGGATCCAGTTCCATGTCGAATGTCCAGATCATTTTGGCAACGATCAGACGCATCTCTGCAAGGGCTAGGTTCTTCCCCAGACCTGGTGTGCGTGTCAGCTAGACGCTCAACGTTGTACAGGAATAGCAAATAGGAAACTTACAATTCCGTGGACCAAACGAGAAGGGCTGCATCGCGTTCTTCTTGTCTTCAGCATACGCCGAGGATCTATCGTCATCCAGCCATCTCTCAGGCACAAATTTCTCTGCGTCCTTGAAATTGTCTTCCGAATGATGAGCTGGGAATTGTGATACTTGTACTGCGGTCCCTTCTGGCACGTAAACCCCGCTGATGAACTCGCCTCCCCTTTGGATTCGTCTCTCGAAGCCCGTGGGGACCGGAGGAAAGTAGCGAAGGCATTCGTTGAGTGTTGCGATGAGGTACGGCGCGGAGTTGACTTCGGCCAATGTGATGTCGCTGTATTCTTTCCAGCGTCCGCGGACTTCTTCCTGCAGGAGATGTAATTTGTCTGGGTTCTTGAGTAGCTGCAAGACAGTGTCAGCTTGGATGATCTTTGCAGTAAGAAGCATGTCAGCGCACCAAGTATGTCGCGCCGGAGAGCAAAGTCGCTGTAGTCTCAGAGCCAGCGGTCAAGATCAAGTTCGCGTTCGAGTCGAGCGTGTCTTTCTTCATCTCCAGGCCCTTCGAGCCATCATTATGTGCGAGAATATGAGTCATGAAGTCTGGTCGGTCTGTTTCCCTTCCTATGCGCTTTGTGACTTGGCTGCTGACCCAGTTCATGTACTCGGCACGTTTGGCGAGCAGATCGGGGTCCACGATGAGACCTCGAAGATATTTGACGAAGGGGTAGTAGCCAAGAATATACACTGGAACACGTCAGGTACGATGTTCTGTGGAAGCCCAAACGAAACGTGAACTTACAAAATCGAAAGGATTTGACCGAGTCAAACAAGAGCTTGATGTGCTTGTGCGTGGTCATATCCTGAAGACAACCGAAGGGCTCACCGAAGAGTAAATCGGCAATCACGTCGAATGTGGTCCAGTTGTACCATTTGGTCAAGTCCACAGGCTTTTGACTGTTCTCGGATGTCGTTTCCTTGAGACGATCCACTAGTTGGTCGACATAATTCTGAATGAGTGACTCCTGCTCGTGCAGCGCTTTGTCGCTGAAGGCATGCGAGAGAAGTCGCCGGCCCTTCGAGTGGTTCTCGTCGTTGTCTATCAAGATTGAAGGGGCTCCATTGACTGGCGCCGGATACCAGACTGGATCTTTCTGCGTATTGAGGTGGCCCTTCAACTTGCCGGTCCTGAATCCATAAATATCTGGCCAAGCGGTGTCTGCACTCGTGAACGAAATTTCGTTTGGAGAGACTCGCACCACGCTTCCATATTTGCGGTGCAGTGCGACGACGTTCTCGACAGTGGTCCCTCGGATGAGGTGACGAACGTAAGGTATGCGCGACACAGCGTTGAGTTTAGGGCCAGGAATGTGTCTCAGCTTGTCGAATGCCAAGGCATATATGATCCTGCCTACCAGGTAGACTGGCAACTAGCAACTTCTGTCAGAAGCGGGCGGCAGCTAATTGCAATGTAACGTACCAAGAGAAGCAAAAATGCCTTGATCGAAAGTGGCTCCAGTGCTGTGGCATCCATTGACATCGTCTTCATCTTTGCAAAGAGGCAAAAACGATCGACACTGAGTGTATATCGTATCCTGATACTCAGCTGAGCAGTTCGAGAGGATGGCAATTGCACATGTTCAGGTCAGGCGCAGGAAGATATATGGCCTAAGACAGAGGATGTAGAAGGCGGCCGTAAGCTTCCCAGTCGTGCGAGGTCCGTCGGCCAACACTTCTCTTTGACGGCGTGGATCCCGCGCTTACAAGGGAAGTGATGTGCAGTGCGGATTTAGGCCAGCTCGCCAGCGCGATGGACCCGCTTTTGGAGGTGCAAGCCCTATAGTGCTGCCTCCATGCACATCCTAATCCTCCCGCAGACAAGACTTCGACAAGCCTTCCAGCCAGCCAGGATCCTTTCGATTTGACACACGGGACCAGGACACGCGGCGAGAGCAGGTGTTCAGTGGACGATTTACTGGTGGAAGCAACGCCCAACGTCGAAGGAATCTACGTGCCACGCTAACCCTGCAACGTGCAACTCAATAGCACCTGCCATATTGACGAACATTGATGTGTCATCCTCGGCATGATCGCTACGGTAATCGGAGTAGGACGCCTGAGGGCAACAGCACTTGGTGCTATAGAGACAAATGCGTGGCGGCTTTCCGTGCAATACAGCTCGCACATCTCGCGCCTATCGCCACTGCTGAGGTCATTGTGATCCAAATATGCCAAGGACCTCACTACGCGCATGTCGGACGCTTGAGCAAGGCGTATTGAAGACAATAGTTGCGAGAGCCATGTGTTCTGGCATTCGCAGGCGAGAGCCGGGGACTTCGTCATATCGCTTGGTCGTCATCGTGCTGGCCCTGCAGTCCTCCCAATGGTTCGGGACGGTGTGAGAACAACAATTTCCAGTATACAACTTCTGCGATCTCCACTTCGCCGTCATCAGTGCCGGAAGAAGTGCTTCGACGGACCACGGCGACCGGCTTGGCCAGCTTTTTCACCTCGCCCAGTAACCTCTGGTGGTCGCCAACGTAGAGCAACACGCGCTTGCCGTCCCAAGGTCCATTTTCATCGTCGTCTGCAGGCGGAAATACCAGGCGACCCAAGGTGAGAGCTTCCGCGATCTCTGGCTGCTCGGTCGCAATGGTGCCCTGTAGCTCGACCATGGCCATGCCGGAGGGTGTGTGAAGGAGTGACGGCAGTGGGTTCCCGAGCGTGCTGCCTGGGGCGCGCTCTCGCACGAGAGGGCTTATGGGAACGGACGGCATCTTGGGTACACGATGACCACGTCGACGGATTTAACTGCCTCGTAGCGGCGGCAGTATCAGTCCGAGCGGCCTTGTGTAGAGACACGCGTAAAAGCTATCAGCCCGTCCAGCTCTGCAATGCATGTATGTAAGAGTACGCGGACCAGAATACACGGCTCCCTGGCACAAGATGCCGATGAGCGGCGCCGCACTGTGGCCGTAGTTCCGAGATGCACGCACGCACGCTAGAACCACGTGTCGGGCCGTGTTCTACAAGCTCATGCGTGCGCCCATGCAAGCAAGCACGTTTTGTTTAAGCCAGATCAGCTTCGTTAAAGCGATGTTCTCTCAATTGGGAGTGTCAGAAATCATAGCAGCAGCTATATACAACACTTTGCTCCCTCAACGCCACGCTCTCTATGCATTGCACTGGAACTCTATATGCCTGTCTCTAATTTATCCGCGCCTGGTCATGCTCTTTAGGGGCGTGTTCCGGACTTCAGTCCGCACCCTTCAACTTTCGATATAATTTTTTGTGCTGCTCCAAGAACAGGAAGGTCGCGACCGTGTGCGGCCCAAGGCGAATGAAGCTCGGCACCCAGCCCTTGAATGCCCACATCATGCCCTCGTTCGCTGTAATGCGCGTCACAAGACTCCATATGCTCTCCTTCGTGTGCGCGCTCATGACTCTTGTCTTGATCACATCCACCGGGCTGCAGACTGTTGTTGCAACGAAGCCGGCCATCAGAGATGCCGTGAAATGGACTGTGAGACCATCTTGTAGGCTTGTGCGCTCTAAAATCTGGCTCTTGAACACATCGTAGCTTGCCAATTGGGACGCGGTCATGAGTACCGCGCGCGCACTGTTGGGCCAGACGCCTCGAACCAAGCTTCCGATTCCCTCCTCGCGAATCATGCGCACCAAGCCATCGATCGCATGCTTGTAATTACGTCTCTGCTCCGGCGGAAGGGCGGCGTCGTTCTGCATGCGCACGTTGAGGATGTCGGCTGGAGTGCCAGCTATGCCTCCCAAGAAACCCGACGCAGAAGACATTGCGATCAGGGAAGTGATCGAAGGTTTTGACACGCCGTCGTCAAAGGTCTGTTTGAGCTCCTCGTAAACGCCGAAGCGCGTCGTACTGTATGTGATCTGTCGTAGAAGAGCGGCAGATAGCTGCACAGAGTCTCGTCAGATCAATTGGGTCCACCATGTCAATCACACCTGCTCATACCCCACGATAGAGACCCGTCGCTCCTTCGCTCTTCACGACGTGTGTGAACATGCCCACCATCCCTCTGCGTGGGCCCTTATGGCTCTGCATTTGCAAGCGGACCTGCGCCGATGTCAACAGAAATGTTCGTTCGGGGGACAATGGGGCTCATACGGACCTTTACTAGAACGCACGTCAGCAGTCATGAATACGGTACTTGTTATGCCAGGTCACCACGTACGCAGATCCAACGGGTGCGTCACAATGGCTGCGCAGCAACTGGCACTCCCGCCAAACCACAGCGGGTAGTGAATTGGTGCTGTTCGGACATCCTTCGTTTGGGATGCTGCGGTCGACATCTCCCTGTGTGCATTGCTTCGCGCGCGGGGACGAGGATTGGGGTGAGGTGGGGTTGGAACGAGTGTGGTCGAACAGTCGGCGATGTCGCCAGAAATTATAGCATGGGGCAATCTAGCAAACAAAGTGCCAATAGGATCAGGCGTTACGTCGTTGTAGCGCGGAGCTCTTCGGCAGTGCTGCACGCAGACCGCAAGCAAAAGCAGCAAACGCGCCAGCACCGTGCCGAGGACAGGGACGACATCGCTTGCCGTCGATTCTTATTACCGGCCGCGTGTGAGTCTGCACAACTACGACCATGGTGCGGTTGGCATCGCCGCGCGCGTCGATATGGGCGCTGCCATCGAGCCTCCGTGTGTTGCTGCGAATGCCGCTGCCGCTGGCGTGCTCACGCAGCTACGCCTCCGCTGGTGAGTGATCCCCAGGCTACCTCCTCGTCCATCGCGGCAATGTTCCACCACCTTCAGATTGCATCGTCCTGCGGCACCAATCTGCGAAGTCGCTGTCGCGTATGCAAAAAAATGCAGCACCAAGCAGTGAGCCAGTCAGCGCGTGGGCAATGCGCAAGGCGCAAGCTGCTGAAGCTCCAATTCTTCGGCTCTAACGCGAGACACAACGGGAATAAGGCTCGCCAACACTGACATCCCCTCCCTACACAGGTGCGAACTCGCTCCACATTGACGGCAAAACCTATCCTACGGATGAATGGACGAATGTGCCCTCTTCCATCTTGGCCAACTATGGCCGCAAGCTGCACTTGCAACCGAACCACCCCCTGGCAATTACCAGAAAGCTGATCGAATCGCGATTTCCCAAATTCAAAAATCACAACGACCTGACTCCGATCGTCAGCGTTGCACAGAACTTCGACTCTCTCGGCTTCGCCGCCGACCACCCGGGACGCAGTAGGACCGACACTTACTACATCAATAAGGACACCGTCCTGCGAACTCACACTTCAGCCCACGAGGTTGACGTCTTCCGAGCCAACTTGAGCAATGGTTATACCATCTCTGCGGATGTCTATCGTCGAGACGCCGTCGATCGTAGTCACTACCCAGTTTTTCACCAGATGGAAGGTGCACTGACATGGGATCGTAACGACTTCGCCGACATTAAGGCGTTGACGGATCACATTATACGGGACTTGGATAACATTCCAAAGCACGACTTGGCTGTCGAAGATCCCAACCCAACTTTTCACCCTGATCGGAATCCACTCCAGACCAAGTACCACTCACCTGAGGAGGCAGAGGCAGTGGCCGCGCATCTGAAACGATCCCTCGAGAATATGGTCGTAGCCATCTTCGCTGAAGCAGACAAAGCCCTCGCCGCGGCTGGCCAAGGTGCGGAAGCTGAGCAGGAGCCGTTGAAAGTAAGGTGGGTGGAAGCTTTCTTTCCACACACTTCACCGTCGTGGGAGCTCGAGGTCTGGTGGCGCGGCGAATGGCTGGAGGTCTTAGGATGCGGTGTCGTTGATCAGCCTCTGCTCGTTCGAGCCGAGCAACCTTCACGGCTTGGCTGGGCGTTTGGCATTGGCCTAGAGCGGATCGCAATGCTTCTGTTTGGCATACCCGACATTCGATTGTTTTGGAGCAAGGACTCACGTTTCCTCACCCAATTCGACGAGTCAAAGCCGACACAACGCTTCAAGCCTTTCAGCAAACATCCATCAGCCCCAAGGGATGTCGCGTTCTGGCTGCCAAATGCGGTTGCAGTCATTGCGCAGACCCCAGCTTCCACCTCTTCCGCTCCGTCTCCGGCTGGAGGACAAATGACAGAGCCCTCCACACCACCGGCATCTGTACCAGCCTTCCACGAGAACGACCTGATGGAGGTTGTGCGCAATACGGCAGGGGACAGCGTCGAAGATGTTGCCCTCATTGATAGCTTCAAGCACCCCAAGACAGGGCGACAGAGCTTGTGCTACCGCATCACATATCGCAGCCTCGAGAAGACATTGACAAACGAGGAAGCCAATGCCTTCCATGATCACATACGCCAGGAGTTGGTGAAGCGATTCGGTGTAGAACTCAGGTAGTCGATCAGCTCCATCTTCTCTTGACAGCCGACGCTTGCGTTGCCATTATTTACGCAGCTGCGAGGGCTTCTCCCGTCGGAGCGGTTGTAACATTGTACTATATTTCCTCACAGGGGCCGTCTACCAGCCGGCACGCTCCAGATGTAAACATAGCATATTTTGTATCGGCACATCGAAGATCGCTGCGGCCAATGGAGGTGCGGCGTGCATTGGGGGACTCGAGGGGCCCCGATTCCACCCGACCACCTACGCTTTCTGTGTGTCAAGGCACGTTAACGCTGTGACAACAAACCGAACGGGCTTGCGCGGATGGTCTGTTAGGTCGGCAAGCCATCTCAGGCCATCGTCGCTGCTGCCACCGCCGTTGCAAGGGTCAGCGTTGTTATTGGTGACCTCGGCATTGTGAGGAAAGCGCCGCCGTTCGCGCTCCCCACGTTTCTCATGCTGGCCTAGTCTAGCCTGCTTAACCTTTGATCCGAGCTCAAGGTCTCGTGAGAGTCATTGCTGTGCGCACTACAGTCGTGATTATTATGCCCACTTCGTCCTCGGGTCCCTCTCCTTCGCATATTGTCGCCCACACCGCTTGAGCAGGTCTTTCGACCTCGTCACTGCCCAGCATGTCGTGGAAGAAGTCTGGTCAGTATTCGCCGACTCAATGACGTCGCCCCCGCCGACGACGATGATGCTGATATTGCGAAGCCCAGTTGATGGAGACGATCAAGCATTACTCGAACTTCCCAGCGACGGGCGTGAGTCTGCGGCAGATGGTCCAGTTTGGGAGCAACCCATCAACAGGTAAAGCGGCCCGCAGCATGGGCAAGACGTGCGACACAAACTGAGCTCCCCAATGCAGGCACCCTCTTCCGCGCCTCCCAATTCCTCTCCGAAGAGCTACCCATTCGCCTGGCGCATCGGGTACAAGAGCTAGGAGACCTGCCAGATGGCCTCAATGAGATGGAGAGCATCAAGAAGGTGCAGGATTGGTACGCACAGTCATTTGAGGTATGGCGGGAACTAGTACGGGCACCCGCATACTTCTCTGACAGAGAATAGGAAATTATATCACTACCAAAGCCAAGTCTCAGCAGCGAAGTTCGCGAACGATTGATCAAACCTGCCAAGGCCAACGGGAAGCACTCTCGAATCTTGAGCGAAACGACCGCCAATCCCAGCATCAAACCCGGACAGTATAAGTCAGATGGAAACATTGGAACTGACGGCGCAAACGGTGCGGTTAGTAAGAGCAACGGACAGAGAAAAGTGGCAGCTACACGACGATACTTCGCTGCTGCAGATGATGGCGACTGGCCACCCGAGCTCAATGATTACAACACTCGTTTTGCGAAGACGCTCGAGACAATCAAACGACGGCACGACAGTGTTGTCACGACCATCGCCCAAGGAATTCTCGAGTACAAGCGCAAAAGACAGCGTATGCAAATCGATCACAACATACAGGCATTCTTGGATCGTTTCTACATGTCGCGAATAGGAATCCGTATGTTGATCGGCCAGCACATTGCTCTGACCGATCAGCGGTCACACAGCGATCCGAACTACGTGGGTATTATCTGCACCAAGACCAACGTCAAAGAGCTGGCACAAGAGGCAATCGAGAACGCTCGTTTCGTGTGCGAAGACCATTATGGACTGTTCGATGCGCCCAAGGTACGACTGGTGTGCCCAAAGGACTTGAACTTCATGTACGTGCCCGGCCATTTGTCACACATGCTTTTCGAGACGCTCAAGAATAGCTTGCGGGCTGTCGTCGAAACGCATGGACAGGACAAGGAGGAGTTTCCAGTAACACAGGTGATTGTGTCCGAGGGAAGGGAAGACATCACGATAAAAATCAGTGATGAAGGCGGCGGCATCCCTCGCAGCAGTATTCCACTGGTCTGGACATATATGTACACGACTGTGGATCAGACGCCCAATTTGGATCCGGATTTTAACAAATCAGACTTCAAAGCGCCCATGGCTGGCTTTGGGTACGGGCTTCCCATCTCTAGGCTCTATGCCCGATACTTCGGAGGCGATCTCAAGCTCATTTCCATGGAAGGCTATGGCACAGACGTGTACTTGCATTTGAACAGACTGTCCTCCTCATCCGAGCCTCTACAGTGACAACGACCAGTCATGAGGGATGAATGGAGCACAATGATCCAACCATCGACGCACTCATCCCCGGGATTGACGAGAGTCGGAAGACAAGTCGGATCTGCAGACGGCGATCGGATCGCTGGCATGACGATGGCGGCGAGAACAATGAAATTGAAGTCGAAGCCTAACAGTAAGATGTGGGACTTGAAGAGCAGGGAGGTTTCGGCGCGGAGACAGGTGGGCGACGCAGAGAGCACCGTGAATCAACCCACTGCCGGAGATAACACAACTCCCTGGTGGAAGTCGGTTGGTATGGATGAAATGTAGGATCGAACTGAATGTTGGACATGAGAAGCATCGCACGGCGTTTGGCGGCGGCAGTCTGGTGGAGGCTGCTGCTGGGTTTTGCTATTACGAGAAGTGCCAGGACAGGGCACCAGCTTCAACGTCTGTCCTTTGCATAGGAAGCTCAGCAATATGCTGCAGCTCGGACACAGTTACGTCCTCCGTTTGAACAGCCTCTTATTAATTCGACATCAAGTAACGCATCCTGGGGCGTGCTGCGAGCGCACTGTCATGAGTCAATGGACAGGCGAATGTGTGTGTGCAAGTGGTGTGTACAGCGTCTGGAGTGATGCTGTGGATAGAGGTGACAGCATCGCGAATGTGTCGAGCTCGGCAAGCGGGCAAGCTCTCGGCGCGCAGCTGCCGCCCAGGGGCCAGGGCCCACACGTTGGACAGCTGGCTTCCAATGCACATATTCTAACAACGTAGGCCTTCAGTGCGCACCTGCATCATCCACCATTCACTCTCTTTTCTTCACCTCCTCAACACCATCGAGGTTTCGTTTTTCGCGCAGGCCTGGCACTGTAACACGCGAGCGACATACCCCCGTGGCCGAGTAGGAGCGCGTCAGAGCCTCCAGCACTGCCGGCACCATGTCTGGACGTACGTCAAAATTCTGCCCCAGAGCATCCGTCCGCGGCGCGCACGTCGCGCTCGTTGCTGTACCACGCTGACCACTCGTGCCTTCAGTTCGCTTCCTCGACCTCGTGAAGCCCTTCACGCCCCTCATTCCCGAAGTCCAAGTACCCGAGACGAAGGTCGCCTTCAACCAGAGGATAATATGGACGAGCGTGACTCTGGTCATATTTCTGGTGATGAGTCAGATGCCACTCTACGGCATCGTATCATCAGGTGCGCACACATATGGGCGGTATCGCGCAAGAGAGAGCAGCATTGACGGCGATGGCAGATACTTCGGACCCACTTTACTGGCTGCGTATGATGATGGCTAGTAATCGAGGAACACTCATGGAGCTGGGAATCACACCCATCATCTCTTCAGGCATGGTTTTCCAGCTTCTTGCTGGCACCCACCTCATCGATGTCAACCTGGACCTCAAGTCGGACCGAGAACTCTACCAGACCGCGCAGAAGCTGCTTGCCATCATCTTGTCTTTCGGACAAGCTTGTGTCTACGTGCTCACCGGTCTCTACGGTCGCCCAGCCGACCTTGGTGCGGGTATCTGTGTTCTCCTGGTCGTTCAACTCCTCACTGCCGCTCTGATCGTCATTCTGCTCGACGAACTTCTGCAAAAGGGCTACGGACTCGGAAGTGGAATTTCGTTGTTTATTGCGACCAACATTTGCGAGTCTATCGTCTGGAGAGCTTTCTCGCCAACTACTGTCAACACTGGCCGTGGACCAGAGTTCGAGGGTGCAATCATTGCGCTTGTCCATCTTCTGGTAACGTGGCCAAACAAGCAGCTTGCGCTTCGAGAGGCCTTCTATCGCCAGAACTTGCCAAACATCATGAATCTGCTGTCCACGATCATTGTCTTCAGCGCCGTCATCTACTTGCAAGGATTCCGCGTGGAGATCCCAGTCAAGTCTTCCAGGCAACGAGGCATGCGTGGATCCTACCCGGTCCGACTTTTCTACACTTCGAACATGCCTATCATGCTGCAGTCCGCATTGTCTTCCAACGTCTTCCTCGTGTCGCAGATGCTCTACAACAAGCTGCCAGACAACCTTTTGGTCAAGCTTCTTGGCGTTTGGGAGGCTAAGGAGGGCACTTCGCAAGTCCTGCCAGCCAGCGGTCTTGTCTACTACATGAGCCCACCGCTCAACATCACTGATGCTCTCTTGGACCCAATCCACACCGCCGTCTTCGTCGTCTACATGCTTGTGGCATGTGCTGCCTTCAGCAAGACCTGGATCGAGGTATCTGGATCTAGCCCTCGTGACGTGGCCAAGCAACTCAAGGAACAAGGACTGGTGATGGCTGGTCATCGTGATGAGAGCATGTACCGCGAACTGAAGCGTGTCATCCCTACTGCTGCCGCCTTCGGAGGTGCGTGTATCGGTGCTCTCTCCATCGTCAGCGACATGATGGGAGCTCTGGGAAGTGGTACTGGTATCCTCATGGCTGTCACGTAAGTATCTTATTTGTCTTCCGTCTCCTGCCACGACTGACACTTTTCTAGCATCATCTACTCTTACTTCGAAATCGCAGCCAAGGAAGGCGATATGGCGGGCCTTAAGGGCATGGTTATGGGTTAAGTTGGATGCTCAAGTTGAAGGTGAGGCACCTTGTGCATAGCGTAGTGTACTAGCAACAGAACGTCGCAAAAGCGAAGCATTGGATTGAGCCTTTTGAATGCCTCAGCCTCAGCGGCTCCTGCTGCACGTACCCGGTGGCACCTCCGCATGAAAGTGCACGTGCAGCTTGGAGCTCTGCCGTCTTCCCCAGCCAACTTCCCCGCTCACTTCCCAAACGGTCAGCAGTCTTGTGCATCACCACACGGGAAAGCAGCAGCAGTTGTGGTAGGATCAGCTGTTGCTGCGCGTGCTTGAAACACCCCTCTGCGCGTAGAAAAGAGGCGCTGCCCCCACGATCGTGATTGCCTCTTCACACTCTTGAGCTCCATCAATCACCTAGATTCATCCTCGATAGAAAGACAGTATGGCACCTCAATCTGGCCACGTCGGCCTCGTGCTCCCGCTCTGCACCTCTGCTGCGACTGTGGGCCTGGCGCTCTACCAGTATCCCGTGTTCCTCTCATTCTCCCAGCCAAACTCGGCCATCGCAGGCAAACCTTTGTCGCAGTTCTGGGAGTCAATGGTAGCATACATCGCGAACCTCGCGCTACTACGCTAACACTGCATCAAGGTCAAAAGCGGTCGAGCTTTAATCGCTGCTCTCGCACTGTCGTCCACACTTGGCGGCACGCTCGTTTCTCGCTGGCTACGAAACCACGCGACACTGGAGACAGGAGACGTATCCAAATGGTACATTGCGGGCAGCGTGCTCGCTGCGGGACATCTGGCTGCAGTGCCTCTGCTGGCGGGGCCAGTACAGCGCATCATCGCGGCTCAGGCAAGTGCGCAGTCGGAGGAGGCGGTTGCTGAGGCGAATAGGCAAGAGATGCAAACTTGGTTGACTCTGCACACTGCACGCCTGTTGCTCATTGATCTGCCGGCTTTGTGGTGCTTTGCAGAGGGTACTAGTCAAGCATTCTGGGTTGGCCACTAGGGCGGTACATGCATCTGGAGGGAGTGTTGGAACTGTTACTGTGAGACGAAATATGTATTGCATGACTGTAGCAAAGTAGATGCAAATTTCCGTGAATGTATCTGTCGTTTACTCTGGTATTCTATGTCCCTACCATGCGTCTTGGTGTCGGCTCTTGCACTGTCGTTGTTGGCAACTCCATCCAATACGCTCACTCCTAAATCAGCGCCGCGCCTACTGGGAAGGAGGCAGATGCCAGGCACCCATGCTTTAGTTAGGCCAAATGCGAGGCTCTCATTGGTTGACCCAAAGCAAGACGTCCACACCTCATCTTGCAAGGAGCATAAACCAAAGTCGACACAATAGCTGCTATCCTCGATATCTCGCTCAGCACGCATTAACCACGGCAGGCCGCCATCTGGAATCGCGTTTCACAGACCTCATCATGCTTGCCGGAATGTGACACGGAGTTTGCGACACGGGCAGCGCGATACAGGGCAACGCAACTCCGCAATCATGAGCAATCATCCGCCTTTGCGACCTCCACCACGGCCGCGGTCACCGTCTGGCCAGCGGTCGCAGTCTTCCTTATCACAAGGCTCGTTGCGGAGTGAGTCCAGTCTGTCCACCACAACGATCGACTCGATTGAAGCAAATGCACCTAAGCGCACCGCATATCCGCCACAGCCGCCTGCCGCAAGGCCGTCCACTGCAGGCGGACTGGCACCCACGCAAGGAGGAAGCGCTTTTCAGACCATGCCTCGACATGCGACGCGTGGTTCTCTGGATGGTTTCAGGACCGCTTCCCCAATGCCCGGACAGCAGATAGGACACCGCGCGCGGCAGCACTCACAAGGATTCTTTGAGCCTTCTCTTCCCAGCAGTAACGCCTTGACGACTTCGCAAATTGCCGCGCAGACAGCATATTCGCATCGTGTATCGCCACCGCCATCTCAATTCGAGCGCAAGCGATCGTATCCGGGCCTGGCACCTATCAACACTGCTGGACCCTCTGCCAGCCGGCGACCTAGTCACGAGCAGAGTCCGCTCAATCCGTCGGCAGCAAATTCTACTTTACCCTACAGTAACGGCTCAGTTGGTGGCAGCAGATTGGCGGCCACTACGGCAGCGAATGTGGCATTTCCCAATGGCAGAAGTCCATTGCCTTCGCCTGGCCTTCCACCATCTGCTAGTACCGCCTATCCTGGTGCCGCTTCAGACAAGGAAGCAAAATCAAAAACTTCCAGAATGAAGCTGTTTGCGAAGCCTAAGAATATAGTACTGTCGAAGGATAAGGACAGTAAAGCAACTTCCGCTATGCCTTCACCTGGCAAACCGCCATCGACTGCCACCTTTTTCCGTGGCGGCTTTCCCAACGCATCGACGACAAGTCTCGTGGATCCTGCGTCGAGTGTTAGCTCTCTCTATTCTTCTGCCAATGCTTCAACATCGACTTTGGTGCCAGCTATATCGGAAAAGGATAAGGAAAAGAGACATCATTTCTTGTCACGGCAAAAGCACAAACTTCGCGATGAGCCTGGGCAACTCCCTCTCTCGTCTGCCCATTCGAATTCGCTAGCGACCAACCCTGATAAGCCACAGCCTCTCTATTCATTCACACCAGACTCTCCTGCCACCGGACCATTCGCAAAATCCATGTCAGGTTTCGATCTACGGCACGGTGGACGTGCGTTGCGGGACAAGAAGAAAGAAGAGAAGGCCGCCGCAGCAGCTGCTGCCAAGTTGGAGCTGACCCCCATCGCATCGAACTCGTCTACTGCTGGACCAGGCGAGCAATACCTGGGAACCAGTAGCTATGAGGCCAGCTTTGCGGGGCCGCCTTCAGGTAGTGCTAGCGTCTTCTCCTTCCCTTCGGAAAGTGTTCCGCCTGTCACGGCTCAAGCATTCAGTCATATCGGTGCGCAAATGGGACTACCTGGGATCGGTCCGGACGACGCATGGCCTTTACTGAAGGCGCGCTTGCTTAACATATTTTCTGGCGAAAACCTCCGAACGCCTATTGAGGATTTCAACGCCTTAGTCAGTGTTCATGTTCGCCGGTGCATCCAGCGACGCTCTCCAATTGTGCTCGTGGAAGATGTGCGAGAACTGCTGCAGACTGGATTTATTTCTCTTGCTCAGACGCTGCGAGGGGTTCCAGATGATAGACTTGTCACCAATCTTGTGGAAATGTGGATTGGTGTTTACGGCGCAATTCTACCTTTCCTCCAAGCAGTCTTTCTTCCTCTTGAACTGGAGTTCAAAGGTAGAGGCAGTTTGATGTCAGCGCGAGAAGCTCAAGAATTTTGGGGCGCCATACCGGAATCACTCAAATCTGACGATCGACCAACTTCCGCAGGTGGAACAACGACAAGCCTCCACGAGGAGCTAGAAGTACGACGCATAACACTCATCGCCTTCCGCGACGAGGTCATATTGCCAAGACATGAGAGCCTCATGAACATCTTCAGCAGACTGTCACTTGACAACATCAACGCAAGAGTTTCTCCTGAGCCTGCGTCGAAAGGACGAGATCACGCTCGGAGTGACCCTGCTGCTCCAAGTGCGGAGAGACCAGGCACGGCAGGGAGCCTCAGTCCAAGGCTCAGTAGCTTCAACTCGCAAGCATCGACGTTGCTAGACGCCGCCAGTACTTCCTCCGGTGGGGCCATGAGCCTGGCAGGCCGCAGTAGAGCGACCTCTAATACGTCGGCGGGCAGCTTTGGCACCAATATGCCACACATTCATTCCCCTTCGCTTGGAGGCCCCGGTTCTTTCAGTGTGACCAGTCAGCCGCAGCCCCTGCCATCGCCGGTACCGCTTGCAGATCCTGCTAGAGTGACAGAGATTGTGGCTCGAATGCTGCAGTGCCTGTACATGCTGGCCTCGTGCCAGACAGGAGACGTGGCACAGGGCAACGTTGAACGTCTCACAAATGCTCTCAAGTACAATTGGCTCGGGAGAGGTCGAACAGGCAGAGATAGGAGAGGCTGGGTTGGGATCAAAGCCGGACGCGTTGGTGTCGGCCTGGTTGGCGCATAATGGCTTTGGACTATGCTTGGCGTTTGGATGGCTCAGGATAAGGCTCAGGATGAAGCACAGGCGCTCTTGTGGATTTCTCAATGATACCCAGACCACGGCTCTTGAAGAAGAGTGAGAATGTACGTGGCACGAAGCATGAAGTAAGTGGAGAAGCACATCTAAGATCGTTATACAAGCCCCCCGTGGAGTGTCACACTGGGATGCACTTCTATTCATACATATTTTATATTACACCCGCTCAATGCTATGCATTTTGTCTCGTCCACGCAAATCGTTGCGCGTCTGGAAGAGGAGAATTTGATCATCCAAGGTCTTCTTGGTTTCTACATTTTACACGAATGGCACACCGCATTGGAAGGGGTCATTCAATCGTTCGTTATGAGTTCTTCACAACGCCAACTTTTGCCGCCTGTGGGTAACGTTAGTCAGTGCAGTTCGAATGGGGAGGAAAGATGGGGGACGTACCCGCAGCACTCTGCCGTTATACAAGAAACCCTTCTGTTGCGTATAGAAAACTGTGCCGTCCTTCTTGTCCGGCTGTGGCGCCTGGAAAGTGGCCTCGTGCAAATTGGGGTTGAAGGCTTCGCCCTCGACACTGGGATCAATTCTCTCCATGCCATGCTTCTTCAATGTGTTGACCAAGATCTCATCCGTCATCTTCAGACCAGAGTGCAGGTTGACCAGATCGGGGTTCGCATCGGTAAGCTTCTCCTTGGGCACGTTTTGCAGGGCGCGGTCGAGGTTATCGACGCTGTCGAGGAGATCTTTGGCGAAGCGTTGTAGAGCGAAGTCCTTGGCGGCCTTGACTTCGCGCTTCGTTTGCTCTTGGAGGTTGCGATACTCTGCGATTTGGCGCTTTAATTTATCCTGTCATTGCTATTAGCATCATCATCATAAGCCGTTTGTCGACAAAAGGCAAGGTCGTACTGTGACTTCGACATTGTCTTTCTGAAGAGCCTCGAGCTCTTTCTGCAATGGGTTCTGTTCCTTCGCCTGCTGCTCCGCGCCTTCCTTTGCGGTGTCCTGTGTACCCTTACCTTCGTTCTTCAAGATTTCCTCCTGTTTCTTATCGGACTCGGCCTTTTCTGATGAGTACCACCTCCGCGCCGCGATGCGCTGTGTTGTCGCCGGGATGGCTTTATACGCGGCCAGGTAGGGGGCCGGGACAGTGTGCACCGCGCCGAGGGCGGGCGACTGTCGCGAAAGAGTGAAGAGTGATCGCGTTAATCGTTGTTGCAGCATGGTGTGCTCGTGTGATGTGTCGCGTGTGATGGCAAACGATCGATGCAGCTATGATGGAGCGTCAACTTTTCTAGAGCGCGGCAACGGAGCAGTTCGGAGGATCATTCCCGCTCCGAGCACCGGCTGTGAGGTCTGTTCACTCGACTAGGAAACCATCGGCAACTACGGAATATACTACATCAACATCGCTGTGCATCAAGTGGCAGCTGTAGGCCGTATCAACATGTTCATCGAGCATCAAAAGCGGTCTGCGCGTTATCGACCAGGACTTGCGTAACGCTCGCTCCCTCGGCCTCTATCCAGTCCAGCACGCGCCCCAGGAACGGCGCCACGTCGAGGTCCTCGAAGCGGGTGTGCGGCCAATCTGTAGCGAACAGACAGCGATCAGGGCGAGTGCGTATCACTGCCCGCCCCAGTGACTCAACGAGCGCGTTGTCTGGGTCGCGAGAAAGTCGATAATTGCCAGAGAGCTTCACCCAGACGTTGCCCTTCTGCAAAACCCTTACCAGCGCGTCAAAGCCCGGCACCTGCTCCGCCGACACGGCCGTCGACAGAGTCTCGTTGGATGGATGCCCATAGTGCGCCAGTATCACCTTGACGCCTAGATCGTTGATGTACTTCTCCAGCAGTGGCACTTTTTCCACCCCTATGTACAGATCAAGTGCCCACCCAAATGGCCGCACCGCATCGGCATAGGTGCGGAGCCTCTCCTCCAGTTCAGCACCTGAAGGGTCAGCGCCGACGCTCTTGAAGTTCAAGCGCACGCCGCGGACACCGGCTTCGTGCCATGCTTGCAACTGCTCCTTCGACGTTACTGCTGGATCGAATTGGACAACGGCACGCCCATTAGCTGTGCCAAGGTCATGCAACCCGGAGAGCGTGGCACCATTGTCGTTGCCGTAGATACTGGGCTGCACGACTACTGCCTTTTCGATACCCAGCTGGTCTAGAAAGGTAGTTGCTTGCTCCATGGTGTGTGCTTCTGGCACGTATTGTGCCCCTGGTGCCAAGGGGAAAGTGACAGGGTCGACTACGTGCCTTACAATATGATCAGCACGGAGCACGAAACATTGATTGTGACTTACATGTGAGTGTCCCATGTTCCATCTGGAATCCTTGCAGCCAGGCGCTTCAGCGCTGCTGATGCAGTCGAATTGTCGCGGGTCATCGTGAGTGCTCTGATTGGCACACTCCGCAGCCCAGAAACAGCAGGCGCGGCGAGAAGACAGCAACGCGAAGCAGTCGTAATACTTTTCAATAGATTCATGGTCTGTCGTGTGTCTTTCGAGTATGTGGAATTCGCTTGCCCTTTTAGGTACACAATCCTATCAGCGATATCGGCCAGTGTGCTGGGGGAGTGTGGAGCATTATGCATGGTGTCCGGTGGTATTCTGCGCTCCTGCTTCAAAGCAAGTGCATCAAATCGAACACATCCCCTCCCATGAGCTAGCTGCGACGACTGCACAGGTATTCGAGCCTCTGATAAGCGCCGTTACATGTCATAATCTCGTCGCAAGCCAACTCTCAATCACTTTCGTGCCTTCTGCTTTCTCCTTGTACCCGAGCAATGTATCGAGGATGAAATCTTCATGCGCTGCGCCAGATTCAATGACGATAGTCGTCTTTGCGTGGGCCTTCTCAATGGTCGTTCCGAAGGCTTTGATGCTATCGATGAGAACTTCTTCTGCCAGGTTTGTCAGTATTGGGTAGGCCCTAAGTCTGGAGTAGTGTGATCCGTACTGTCGCCACCCCAAATCAGAATATCATTCACCACCTTATCCAGCCCAGAATACCACGCAGAGTCGGCAAGACTTGGCTCACTGTACTTGTCACTTGATTTCTCACCGAGAAACAACTTCTTCCAGCGATCAGCCGCCGCCGGTGGTATCACTATATGGCGTTAGCAGAGTTCGTGTGTGCAGCCCAAACAGGTACCATCTATCGAGAACGTCGTTGAGCTGCATTCTAGCGATTTAACTTACTATCACTTGTTGCGTTCCGTCGGAAGCTGTCGTCTGTAGTGCTGAACTTGATCCATGGCGATATCAGAACCGCAGCAGCAAGTGAGCCTCCCGCGGTCGGATTTGGAAGCTCTGGGTGAGGATGGAGAAGGTGGGACAGGAGACCGATCGTCAAATTTGCGCCAGCAGAGTCCCCAGCCACGATAATCTGTAAAACGATCAGCAAGCACCCCAAAATAGATAGATCAACTCACATCTTCAGTCTTCTTGCCAACCGTGCCCGTGAGCCACTCCAAGCTCTCCGCGGCCTGTCTCAGCTGCTCTGGGTATTGACCTTTAGGCGTCAAAGTGTAAGCGACCACCACGACGCTGACAGCCGTTGTCTTGGACAGCTCGTTCTGCAAACCAAACAGCCACTGAAAATGGCCTGCTGTACATGAAAGCGCATATCCTCCTCCATGGAAGTACAAAATAGTCTTGGATGCAGCTTTCGGCCCCAGCCAGTGTACTTTCAAGCCCGAGGGCAAGACATCAGTATCGGGTTGAACATTTGCCTTTTTGGCAAAATCGAGGTAGCCGGACTCTGTACTTGCGTTCAGCCACTGCTCCTGCGCAACGTTGATGTTGGCAAGGTTTGCACGAAGGGCAGCGAAGACGATGTCTTTGAATGTCTTGTTGGCTTTCGCGGTGCTTGTGATTGGCAATGTAAGGGCGCGAAATACAGCTGCTCCGAGTACTCGTGCCAGTAGAGGCACTACAAGTAGCTTGTCCAGTAGAGTTGGTACGGGCGAAGACTGGGCTGACATGACGGCACTATGTCAGTGAAAGACCGTGATACTTGCAGTTTGCTCGACGAGAGAAAGCGAAGGAAAGAAGAACGGGCAACGGTCTGGCATGGCAGCAGGTCGCCGACACGCTCTCGAAGGGAGCTCCAGCATGCCTTTCGGCCCATGCTGCACTAGTTGCTGCTGTGGCTGCGGCAAGCGAAGCTCACTGCTGAAGCGAGTGGAGCTGGAAGTTGCGTGAAGGTGGAGTGCCAAGAAAAGTGGAGCCCAGCGCTTCCCTCGCAGCCAAACCATCTGCATATGTAATTCCGGGAGGGTACTTCCTTTGCGCACGACCATGACAACGACTTATATCGACCGTCTGCCAGAGGAATTGCTACTGCAGATCTTCGCATACCTCGAACGCCCCGCCCCATCGAAACTCAACGCAAGGAAAGAGCCAAGTCTCGACATCACCAACTCCGAGTATCGGGATTACAAGAACGCATCCAGCGTATCTCGAAGATGGCGCTGCATCGTACTTCCATTGCTCTTCAGCCACTGTCGCCTTAGACTTGATGCTGTGCCAAGAGCAGAGTGGAGTACTTGTCAAGTCCGCGGCATTCCATCCTCACGGAGCGCCCAAATGTCAAGTCGCGTTGATCCATACCACGAGCAACTTCTCCAGCAAGCAGCACTGGTGGGCAACTCAGCACCCGAGGGACCTGGAGACCAAGCCGTATCAAGCGTGCAAGGAAGTCTCAAAGTGGCGCTGCAATGGTATCACTGCCTCAAAGACTACTTGGAGTTTATTCAAGCACATGCACTCGAAACGAGCGTTCAAAGCTTTGCATTGATCGCCGAGGACTGCGGCATAGTCTACGATCGCTACCCACATCGTTCGGCCGCTAATCAAGACTACCGCTACCGTGCCGCCGCAGCTCTTTGGCAGCATCTCTTACAGACCATCGCTCCCGTTCGCGTCCTCATTGTGGCCAGTCCTGGAGATTTAGGATGTTTGACAAACTGTGCCATCGACATGACTGGAGATTGGGCTTTCAGCGATATGAAATACCATATTCTGGAGCTTGGCCATGAAGGCACCTCGGTCAGAAGGCTTGAAGGCGTGCCGATAGACTTCGAAACGCTTGAATATGTGCCCAGTGAATATCCAGGAATCGCGAATGCCAGTCTTTTGAGATTACACCCCTGGACTGAAATAGGCTTGAATGAAGGATCTTTCCTCAAAGCATACGGCACGTAAGTGAGATGGCACGCTCCGCTCCTTCGCGTGAATGCGAGTTTCTTCGCACTCAACCCTCGCATTTATCAATCTCCGGGCTCGCAAAGATGAACGTGGTCGGCCTGCTGATATCTCGCAGATATGAGTACTTTGAAAGAGGTCCTCCGTCCATAGTTACCAGTATCAAGCAGTGTCTTGCAGGAAGCATGCACCGCCACGCAAGACCCCAGCATCCGCCAAAGCTCCCTGCATTGAAGAAGTTCGTCTACACAGCGATACTTCCTTTCGCAACTCACGTCAACTTCAGCAGTCTACTGCCATTCTTGGACGAGCTTGACGTCAAGCTTGCCCCAGACCCCGACTCAGGAATCCTCAGCGACAGCAGGCGTGTCGGCAAGGCCGAGCTTGAAGGCAAGTATCGTTGCCGCTCCAGGTCTCACGCTGGACACATCATTGACTGGTGCGCAGATTGCTGGCAGGAGTTCTTCACCTCCTATCAGGTCATCTCGCGACCATTCCGAACGCACGAGTTGTCTTCCAGCCGCGCCCTGCCGCTGAAGAAGTTCATTTGTAGAGACTACCAGAATCCGGCCTTGGAGGAGGAACTAGACGAGACCTTTCTGTGGCTCTGGTATGGCTCAGTGGTTAGTGTTGGCGTCGAAACGTGCTAATTCGCAGTTCCAGCATGCCTTGTTGGGCAGAGATGAGGCCTGGCGTATTCGAGAGGCAGGCAGATGTTCCAGGCTACGCTCAGGCACTGTAGAGATTTGAGGACAGTGAACAAAGGCCGGCTTTTGACATCCGCCTGCCACTGTACTAGAATTCCGTGTTCGGTACGATGTAGTCCGTCTACTCAAGGGCTCCGGTGACCATTCACGACGGGCTGGGGCATGCTCGCCTGGAGAGGAGGGTCGATGCCGACAACGGATACCTGCGATGAGTCAATGATGCTGACGCGTGAATCAAAAACTCTGCAGGATAGAAGACATACCTGTTCGTTGATAGCAAACGCTAGGCTCGTACCATCTGCGCTCCAGCTGAGACTGGGCTCGCAGTCAATCACCTCGTCGCCATTCTCACCGTCTGCTGGTCCACCGGGACTCTGCGGCCGGCGCCAAGTGATCATTGCACGAGGGCTATGCACGGCGCCATTCGTCCTTGCGAAGCTGTCTCGAGACCAGACTTGTACCAAGCTGGAATTCGACACCGCAAGGTATTCGCCATTTGTCGACCATGCAAGAGCCGCGACAGGTAATACCATGAAATTGAGATCCACAACTTCGCTGCAAACTAGTGCCTGATCCGACGTGTAGCGTATCGCATAGATGGCGACCGTTCCATCGCCATAGCCCAAGGCCAAAAAGGTTTCAGGGGTCGAGTCGTCGTTTTGCTCGTGATCTTGCTGTAGTCGGCTGGATGATATTTCCACTGGCTGGAGCGATTTCGCATCAGGTAAAATGAACTCCACATCAGGGCTTGTGCTATTGTCATTGGAGCGTAGCTTTGGTGTAACAACCAGTCGTTTCTGACTCCTGGAAACGAAAGCGGCAATGCGGTGGCGATGGTCGAAACGAACGACATCCCAATCAGTCGTTCCTTCGATGATGTTGGAGTTTCGGGGTATTAGTCCGCGCATGAGCACGCTCGCTGTGGGGAGGGTGCTCAGGTCTTGGCCCTGGCTCTCGTCTACCTGATAACAGGCTGAGAGTCCCTGATCTCCACAGATGGCAAATGTATCGTTCGAGATCCATTGTGCATCACTGACTTGGTTGTCGAATAGCCTCCACGCAACAGACTCACTGAGGGGCGGCGCATCCACGTTCGTCCGAGCAGAGGACCAGACTTGGATCATGGAGCGTTTCATGTTGGTCCGCAGAGCCAAGACATATCTAGAGTCCGGGCTGTAGTGAATCGCAAGAACTATTCCAGGTGGCTCTAGGGACGGCAGCCCGAGTTGAAGCGTAGTGCTGGTGCCATCCTGGTGTCGCTCGAGAAGGACTTGCTGTGATAATTGGGTTCCGCTGGGCAGTTCGCGAAGCCCATCGATCGCGCAACACGCAGCGGTGCCATCAGGACGCCATGTAGCTGCTGTCACGCCGCAGCTGGAGGACAGTGTAGGCTCATCGAAATGTTCTAGATGCTTGGCGTCTCTGGCCGAAACTGGTATCTGATAAAATCGACACAAGTCCTCACCCACAGTCAAGAGCGTCTTCGTATCGTCCTCTTCTGATCTGGGACTCCACAGCACGCGTTGGATGTTCGCGCTTGGCTTGTCCAGGTGCCAGGAGATTGTGCTAGTTTTCGGCTCGACCTTGAGATCTGTTTGCACCAGAACATCCATACTGTCGTATCTTTCCACGGGCCCAGCCTGATCGGACTCTGACGCCACAGTCGGTGAGGTGGGATCCTGCTCAGGCTCGCCATCGGCAGAGCCCGTGTCAATGTCCATTGCATCGCGATCGCCATTGAACTGTGCCTCGCCAACGTCCCCCTTCCGCGAAGTTCGCGCGGCTGTGGAGCGTGCTACGGGCAATTTGTCCTTGCGCCTGCCAGAATCCGTCGATCTCGATTTCGCGCCATTCTCTGTGGAGTCCCGGCGTCTGGATGGTGCACCACGACCATCGAACTTGCTCCAAACGAACTTGCGCTCGCCGCTGTTGAGACCAGCTTTCGCTCGGGCTTGATCGTAATGCACACCGTACTGAACCACCGACACCAAATCATTTCTCTGTACAGCATGCGCGAAGGGCAGGGCGTCCGGGTCTGAAGCGATGTCTCCCGTCCTCCGCCAATCGCGCGTGAATGCGATGGCGGCATGTTCGAAGCCCTGCTCCTGCAGGTATCTCCAGATTAGCTGCAGTAGACGTTAGTAAAATGGCAGCTGTTGCGGAGAGCGCGCGATACACACATAGTTAACATGGTTGGAGTGTAGTGTTGCCGCGGCCGACATGGCAAAGGTGCGCGACGTGCTGGGGTAGAGAAAGCCAGGCGGGCATACGAATGGCGGAGCGCCGAGGCTGCGGGAGGGCGGAGGGCACGTTGGTGCGCGTGGAGCGGGCGCTATTGCTGCTGAGGACGATGTTGTTTTATATGTGCATGGCGGAGCATGAGTGGAAGTGGTGGTGCAGGTCGATTGATGGACGCTAGTCAATTCGAGATGGCAGCAGCCGAGCAGGAGGCGGCGGCGCGGAGGATCATGTCGGCGTGCGTTAGCGAGCACCGACCGACGAACGATGCGTCCAGACTGCGCGCTTCTTCACCTTCACATTGACCGCCTGCAGTGGGCGGGAGCTGCCGCAAACATACAGATAGACTCCTCCTCCTCTCCTGTCCTGCTCTGTTCTGCCCTGCTGCGTGGTCTGCGTACACCAAACCTTCGCCGTCGCCGCCAATGCCGCGCATCAACCTGCCCCCCGTCACGCGCGCTGTACTACTGCTCCTGATCGCAGCCTCTTCGCTCAACGCGGTCATCAGGACTGCCAAATGGCGGCAGTCGCTCGATTCGACATCTTCCGCTGCCAATTACCTCTCAAGTCCACGCTGGGCGGTGCCATATCTGGTTTGCGTGCCTACCACGAGCCTACGTTACCCATGGACTGTGGTCACCGCCGCACTCGTGGAGAACAACGTCGTGTCACTGGTCATCAGCAGCGCTGTCGTGTTCTTTGGAGGCCGATATCTCGAACGAGCATGGGGAACGCACGACTTTGCAAAATTCATCATAGTGGTATTGTTGCCCCCGATGCGCCGCATCTGCTCACTCAAGCTGACCCTTCGGCGCGTGTGTAGGTAACACTCATACCAAATGTGATCACCTTCATCCTCTACGCCATATGGCATGCCTTTGTCACCGCTCCTGAATAGTATGTCCCTCTGTCGTGTCACTCTCGGAAGTGCAGCTGACCAACCTTCAAGCCCAACGCCATTGAATGGCCAAGTGGCTTTGGCCGCCGGCTTCCTCGTGGCTCTGAAACAGCTCGTCCCTGAACACACCGTGTCTCTCTTCAAGGGAATCATCAGCATGCGCCTCAAGCATGCTCCGGCTGTCTTTGTCCTTGCCAACATGATCTCGGGTCCTGTTCTAGGCACAGATACTGCCTTCTGGTTAAGTCTGCTGGGTTTCTGGATCTCCTGGATTTGGCTGCGCTTTTTGCGGGTCTCGACGCTCTCTACAGTGGCTACCGGAGGCACCGATACAGTCATCGTTGGAGATGCTTCGGACACATTTTCGTTCGCGGCCTTCTTTCCAGATGTGCTTCATCCTGTTCTCTCGCCCATCTGCGACGGCATATATCATATCCTGGTCCAGCTCAGGCTCTGCACCCCATTTTCCGAAGAAGCGATCGAAGCTGGCAACGAAAATGCTGCATCAAGGGCCGATGGAGTCCTACCAAGCTTCACCGATAGTAGAGCGGGTTCTAGTCGTCGCGCTGAAGCTGAGAGAAGGCGAGCCATCGCACTGAAAGCCCTGGACCAAAGACTCAATGCCGCGGCGGCAAATCGAAGCGCTCCCACTGCGGTGACCACGGTGCAAGCCTCTTTGGGACAACCCAAGGCTGAATCAGCGGATTCAGCGGATTCAGCGAACGCAGCAGCTCCAGAGGGCTCTGGAAATTCGCCTTTGGGCGAGACAAACCCATGACGATATCGATAGCATACGCCAGGTCCTCGTCGCATTCGCGATGTGCATTTGTTTCAGCCTCACTCGTTCCGCACTGCATTTCTGCTAATTCGTGTACGTGAGCAGGAATCGCACATGGTGAACCAGAGTTTGTCGACTGACTGCCGCGCTTGGAGGTCCAAGAGGACAACGAAAATCCCAGCCGACCTCGACTTCCCTGCACTTGCCGTCCTGCTGTGCCCCACTTCATGCATCGTCCAGTCTGGACCCCACCCACCGATCTGCGGGGATAGTCACAAGTGATCATAAATGCACAAAATGTTGTCGAAGCTTAAATTGATTGCATACCTTGCGCATGAAGCTGGCTACCTTCAGCATGGTATGGCATGCTGTCCATTATCTTTCGGCAAGGCCTCCATACTGATTGGAGAACGTGCGCGACCACGGTAGCACGCCACAATACAATGGCCAGGCAAAGGCTTTGCGAATCGCCAGTCGAATCGGGAAGCGGCATCGCCGTGCATCACCGTGCATAATGGATGTTCACCTGGATTGGGTGGCACTTGGAAGGAACGGTGACGAGGGCATTATGGGGACGTGGAGAAGGTTCGCTTCCGTCGTTACGGCTAAAAGCCTCCTCACTGTGATCCACAGGTCAGGTTTGCGCTGCATTCGGCATTGATATCGCGGCAAGTAGTCGTTGCTCAGGCGTGTCCATGCTAGCGAGGGCTATCACGACTTCTTGGCCTGAAGCCAAAAGCAACAGCTCTGCCCTTGAGCATTGCCTTCTTTACTACTCACACTCTCTTCAAGCTCCTTCATAACAAATTAATCATGTCGGCAGTGCCCAACCTGCCAGAAGGCCTGATTCATCCTCCACCAAACAACTTTGAAGCTGCTAAGATCCATATCGACAAATCTGTAAACGGCAACTGGAAGATCGACCACATCGAAGACTCAGGGCACCAGCAAAGCAATAGCGTCAAGCCTGAGAGGAAAGCATGGCAACTGCACGATGTACCCGTTGAGAATCAACGACCAATGAAGGTCATCGTTATCGGCGCTGGATACTCAGGCGTGTACTGCGGGATCCGTATTCCCGAGCGATTAAGAAATTGCGAGCTGGTAATCTACGAAAAGAATGCTGGAATCGGTGGCACCTGGTACGAGAATCGATACCCCGGAGCTGCTTGCGGTGAGTACCAATCAACTTGATATCACACCTAACCCCACTGACCTGTTAACAGATATCCCAAGCCATTCATATCAATTCTCCTTCAACCCGAGACACGACTGGTCCAGCCTCTACGCCCCATCATGGGAAATACGGGAGTATATTGAGAACACAGTACACTTTCCGTCACTCTGATCATGCAAGATCCCATCCGCTAAATTACAAACAGGCCAAGAAATACGGCGCAGATCGGTTCATCAAATTACAACACGAAGTGATAGGTTGTCGATGGTCACAAGACCTTGGCAAATGGTTCGTCAAAGTCAATAAACCTGACGGCACAATCTTCGAAGATAGCTGTGATGTTCTCATCAGTGCGAGAGGTCTATTGAATACGAAGCAATGGCCTAAAATCCCCGAGTTCGAGAAATTCCAGGGTGAGGTTATGCATTCGGCTGCGTTCAACGAGAATTACGATTTTCGAAATAAACGTGTTGGGATTATTGGTAGTGGGAGCAGGTGAGACAATCCCTTATCTTCTGCTGTCGAAGTATGAGTTCGGAACGCGTATAACTGACACCGACTTGCGCAGTGCTATTCAGATTGTTCCGCAGCTACAAAAAGTGTCCGGTGCACAGCTGTCGTGTTTTATCCGCAGCAGGACTTGGATCTCGCCCCCTTTCGGTCAACGCGTCGCTGAAGAATATAAATTGGGCGATGGCCTGATCATTTCCAAGGAACAGATCGCTCAGTTTGAGGCTGATCCCAAGGCCTGGTTCGAATTCAGGACGAAGATTGAGGCAGATGCGAGTAAGTCATAGATTGTTCACCACTGTTGCACTTTTGACATGACTAATTTGGTTTGTTAGATAATATCCATGCGTCAACGTTGAAAGGTACTGGGATGCAAAAGGCAGCGCAAGAAATGTTCGATCAGACGATGAGGTAGGCAAAGGGAATGGGCAGCAGAGTTGACCATTTTTGCTCACGCTTTTCTGCGACTCTAGAACGCGTCTGGCGAAAAAGCCCGAGTACTACGACCTCTTGAAACCCAATTTCGCACCTGGGTGTAGGCGTCTTACACCAGGGCCTGGATTCCTCGAAGCACTGGTTGAAGACAATGTCGCACTGATCAACAATGGCATCGCTCGCATGGAGCCCAAAGGAGTTGTAACCGAGGATGGCAAGCTTCATGAGATCGATGTGCTGGTTTGCGCCACGGGCTTCCATGCCAGTGCTGCCCCTCCGTTTCCTGTTGTTGGTCTCAACGGACGATCATTGCAGGAGCATTGGTAAGATGAATTGGCAGAATTGAGAAGTGCCCTGAAGCTGACAAGTCTAGGCATGATCGCGCATACAACTACCTCAGTCTTGCGACAGATAATTTGCCGAATCACTTCTTCATGCTAGGCCCAAACGGCGCGTAAGTCTTCCAGTGCGGTCTGCACTTTTCGCACAAGTCGCATGCTGATAACCCGTCCAGAATCGCCGAGGGATCTCTCACAATGATGATCGAGAGCACAGGAGACTACATCTGCAAAGCGATCCGAAAGCTGCAGAAGGATAACCTCAAATCCATGGTCATCAAGCCCCGTCTCGTCCGCGACTTCACCCGCTACTGCGATGCCTATTTCGAAGGCACCGTGTTCAAAGACGACTGTAAATCCTGGTACCGCAAGAACGGACAAGGAGTCCCCTCAGAACATGTTACTGGGCTGTGGCCAGGAAGTACGATTCACTGCATTGAGGCTTTGAGGTCTCCTAGATGGGAAGACTACGAATATGAGTCTTTGCCTGAGGAGAACGGGGCGGAAGTAAATCAGATGGCTTGGTTGGGTAACGGATGGGGGGTCAATCAGCTTACGGAGCAGGACCAGCAGGTTCGGGACGTCGATTTGAGCTTCTATCTTTACCCTGAGTTTCAAGAGAGGTATTTTGGGACTCCGGAAAGTGGTAGACCGGAGGAGGGGGAGCACTATAGGATACGACCTTGGTCGTATTGAAGTTGGGGGTATCAAACGAGGTGATAGTCTGCTGCACTCGATCAGTGTCGCGAAGTAATCGGCATGGCGCTCGCAAGCTCAGCTGCGTTGCAGATGGGTGGCAAGAAGCAAGCGAGGTGTGTTCGAACGTTGTCAACGAGGTGTGAGAGACGAAGTTCCAGCAATAGGCGCAGCCAGGGCGGCACGAGAGCATACGGGAAGATCCATGAATCTGGCGGGCGTCGGTAGTTGCGCGTTTGTTTCAGAAGGCGGCATGAATCGCAGCCGAGATGCGTGGTTGTATGAGAGTTCAGCAATATTCCTGGAAGCTAAGATCACGTTGGTGAAGAAATAATAGTATCGCGGCTAAAGGCATCTATATCGGTCGGCGGGAGCCGTGAGCGGGCTATCGACATTTCCAGAGATATGTCCATGGCAGGACGGCCCATGGTTGGACATATCGCCACCCAGTACATCTCGCCCTTGCCACGTCGGCACTGTGACTGTGAGGAAGGCGCGATTCGTCGCGTGTACGTACTATGCAGTCGCAGTTGCGACAGCAGAAGTGAGAGGAATCGCGCGTTGCCAAATCGGGTATAACAGGACATGACTGGTAAAGCTGCAAGGCACAGGAGGTTCTTTCTCAAGCTCCCAAGCCCTGCGTAATGCGCAATGCGCAATGCGGCCCGCTGCTCGTGAGCCGAACGCCTGCTGTGGTCATGCAAGCAAAGATTGACAGAAGTGTACAATCTGTCAGTACTGCTTGGTCAACGATGAACAACAGCAACCACGCACGAGCACAGTGGGAGCATCAAGTGAGCCATGTCGACCCGAAATGAAGCCATTCGCAGCAGGACATGGCAAGCAGGGCCAGCCCCAGGATAGAACACGAGCGGCAAGCGGCGCGCCTGAGTCGGTCGTTGGTATGGGCAGGGTGCACGATTGCAGTCATATTGGCTGCGCAGTGCTATCGTCCTCGATGCTGGATCGGTGCGGTGCAGTACAGCGGGGCGGACAGCGCAGCACCGGCGCGACTGATGTCCAGTGGGTGTGGTGCTCGCCATCACCGCACCGATGCTGCTCCCAACCAACACGCCTCGCACACGCCAGTCTCAGGAACGTCTCAAGCGGCGCGCTGCCGACGGCCCTGTCGCCGGGCCCCTGCTGCCGAAAGGCAAATGGGCTCAAATCTGCCCGCTAGCGATCAATGGGGACTCGTGCACGCACGGTATTGCGCAAAGCGACGCCCAATGGGGCTCGCGCGGCGCGTCGCAGATTATTATTGCTGACTTGAATGAGGGCCGGCCATCATCATCGTCGTCGCCGGCATGGCCGATCGTGCACCAGGCCGCTGAGCATGGGGAGGCGGCGACTCTGAGGCACGCAGCGAGCAATAACACCGTCGCCCTCCCCAGTCTGCTGTAGTTCTTGTCCGTGAGTTCGCCTTCGCTGCACGCTGGTGGAGCTGCTGCACTTCTCCGTCTCATGCACGGCGCGCACTGCTTGCCACAGCACTACGACGACACCTGCAGCAGCCCGTCTTAAAGACCTGCCACGGCCCTTTGACCTTCACTCCTCCTCTCAGGAACGCTGCCACTCTCCACCACCGCCTTCGTCTGCTTACCAGCGCCGGCCGCCGATTTGTCCGACGCGCGATGCTGGCTGTCCCCGCATGACCCAACGCTGGCATGCGCAGCATGGAGAGAGGAGCGTCGCCGACGCCTTCCAGCTGCCACAGCTCACAGGACCTCGGGCGCTATCGAAAATCATCCTCAACAGCCTCCTATCGATTGTTCCCCCAAGTCGAGCCGACTCCGCCCGCCTCTCCCGTCCATCCCGCTCACCTGCAAAGGGCGGGCTTGCACAAAGCTTTCTCCTACCGACGCCGTCGATCATCATCTCTCGATAATGCCTCCAGAGACTCGGCCTGCTCCTCCACCACCACAGGCACCCAGTCTGTGCCCACGCCTCCGCCGACACTCTCGACGAGGGACTGCCGGAAGGTCAGTTTGCCGGAGATCCGACCTTTGCAAACAGTTGTCGAGCTGGACAGCGCTGCCGCCGAGCCTTCACCCCAACTTTTCGATAGTGCTGCCGTCCGTGCACACGACCTGAGGGACGACCACGTCCACATTCGTCCTGCTAGTGCTCAAGGGGGATCCTTAACTGCGCGCTCTTCTGAACGTGCGCCAATTATTGGCAACGCACGTCATGAAGATCGAGGAATAGCTCATCCTGCTCGCGAAGCATCCCATTCTCAAGCTGCTGCGCTGGGAGGCTTTCACTTGCAAACACCAGCCAGCACCATCAAACCAAAGCGCTCCAAGCCCAATCTCCGCATCAAGGTCGTGGGAAAGAAGCCTGACGACGCCTCGCCTTCGCCACCTGTCAGAGCACTTGCGCAAGCACGCGACGAGCCGGATCAACCCGAGGTGTTACTTGGAACCACAGGCTCAGGTCCTGATTCAGCGCGACTCGCGAGTCGACCGACGACATCTGCGTCGCACCAACAGTCATTGGGAGACTCACGGCCTAGTGTGACGGCGCACGAACTGACGAACGCACCCAAGGCCGCTACCGGCCGCCATTCACGGAAACTCTGGCCCAGGACCCTCTCCAAAGAAGGGCTTTCGTCGCATGCTCCGCAACCGCATCGCGCGGAATGCGATTCTTCAGATCGTCCAGTCCGCCCAAGCACAGCGGGAGCTCCAAGCAGGTCACCTCCTCCGGCTCCAGGGCCTATGCCCGCGGGTTTGGTGGGGAAATCAGCTATGCACCGTCCGTCTGACGCGACGCAGTCTAACAGACAGAGTCGTCTTCCAGCAAGACTCAGATCGTTCAGGAGCGTGGAGCAACTCACAAGCGGAGATGGCCCAGCAATGTCAGCCACCTTTGGAAACACCGCCGTTGCTCCTGGTCACACGACGGCTGCCGCACAACGAGTTGCGAGTCCCACTCTAGATGTCGGCCGATTCCCTGAACGGATATCTTCAATGGACTACCGTGGGCATAATGGTAACCACACTGTATCACACCAGCAGGAAGCTCATGGAGATGTCCAAAATGCGTCGCGATCCTCGTTGATGAGGCCAGAAGCAAGCACTGCGCTTGCAATTGCCAGAGCCAATGTTGCTGCCTTGCGAAAGTCAATCATGGAAAGTCCTGGACTCTTCTCAGGAAGCCAAAGCCAACCGGCAGCTTCAGACTCCGGATCGCTTTCTCGTTCCTTCACGCCCGACGCGCTATCACGATTGGCTCCTTCAGACGATAACGATCCCGTAACAATACTGAAAGACATGACTCAACAATGCGATGCGCTGCATGCACGCTACGCCAGTTTGCGAGCTGAGCGCCAAAAGTTATCCAGTGGGATCATAGAGAAGATGCAACAAGCCACGAACCAAGAAGCGATGAGCGCCCTTCTCAATGAGCAACTGTCGCTCGCTGCCATCAGTTCGTCAATGGACATATGCTTCGCGAAGCTAAAGTCGCTGGAGTGCCGGAAAGAGGACGCCATCGCTGCGCTCATTGCACAAACTACGGAAGCTAGGAAATCGCCGTCGGACAACATTGCTGCAATTATCGCATCAATGTCTCCCGGATCCCGCAAATCCTCGCTCACTCGCTCGGCTGAGACTGACAGTCGATATGCGTACAGCTCCCGCTCGTCGCCGGAGCCCAGAGACCGTGACTCCCACACATCTACTCAGTCAACGCTGCCAACTACTGTCTCGGCAAGTAGTGAAACAGCGAGTATGGAGTACAGGCTATCGTTCACCCCTTCCTTGCGCTTCGACGCCGCATTGCAGTTAGATTTTCTTGCCCCGGAAACCATCCCAGAAGCTGTGGAAAGCCCAGTGGCGCGCACGGTTGAACAGCAAGCCACCGTGAGGCCTCGCGACCAAGCCAGTGATGGCATGATCCTGTCGCCCACTCGATTCGTCAGACCGCAAGCCTCTAGCAGCCCACAGGTTGGCGCGCAAGAGGACTCGTCGAAGCTCGATGTGGACGAAGAGCAGTCTGAGGCGATCTCACAAGACGACGACGACGATGACTCCGACGATAGCTCTTTCAAGCATTCAGAGCGGGTGCCTGGCTCGAAAGCAGCGAAATTTCTCGGATTGCTGAACAAGGATGGCAAACCCTCTCCAGCAGTGCCGATGCCTCGTGAGCTTGCGCACTTGGCCAGTGTACCAAATGCTACTTACGAAACTCACACGCAAACGCCGCTGTCTAGCAAAGCAGCGTCCATCTCTCTGGCCACCCCTATGGAATCGGCCGATCCGCTGGCTATGCAGGACTTTTCAGCACAACTGGAGAACTTTCCAAAGCCTTCGGAACTCAGTGCGCGGGTCCGCTCACGGGCACCGAAAGATTTATTAATTCCTAACCCGCTCGCTCTCAATCCGCCAACACCAATGGCGGAGACTTTTCCCGACAGCTTTGACAGACACGACGACTTTGTGCGTCCGCCCAGACGGGATTCAGCAATGCCCGCTAGTCACAAAATTGTTAAGAGAACTATGACGCAAGGCTCTACACGGACAACACACACGATCCAGGTGTATCTTGGACAGGATGACCTTGAGCTCTTTGATCTGTACCGGAGGGGTTCAGAAGGTCTTATTACTGAGCCAGTACCGGTCTCATGACGTGGTACTCATGTGTGGTGAAGACAGGACTGCTGGATCGGTCTGTCTTCTGAAATCAATGGGAAGCACACAAGCCCTGCGGGTATCATGAGAAACGAAGGAAATGATCGCATTGATGGGAGGAGATCCCGATCATTAAGAGTAATCTTTACGCTCAAATCTCGAGCACGGCGATCTAGAGACAGAGCCTATCTAGTGGAATTTGTCGTGTACGCACGACTTATCGTATCCCATCATCGTGACTTGAGCACGGGAAATTACCCGCTCACGAGCAAAATAGATCAGCATAGCATTTCAATGAACTAAAACGCGCGATAGAAAGCGCTACAATCACCCATGCTCGCTCATACCAGTCAGCCGGAGAACCCTCCCCACCGCCTTCACACCCTGCCGCAGACTGCCTTCATGCCCTGTGCCTTTCTTTCGTCCAATTGACTTTTCGATCGGGCCAGCTTTGGGCGGCCATTCGCCATCGTCCTTCCAACCTTGTACCAAGGCGTGAATCAATGTCAGCAGATTAATAGGCACCGACGGCGTTCGCGATTGTAGTATGATCTTGTTGTAGATCTCCGGGTACATATCTGTTCTTATTCGTCTCCGCACTGGGTGATTGGGTAGGAGTGGCGGTGCAATAGGGACGAGCACGTCCAGAGGTATTGCTGAGGCGCTGGGAGCAGGTACAGCGGCCTCTGGAGTCGCTGAGGGAGAGGATCCTGGAGTGGAGCCCTCGGGTTCCGCTACGGAAGATGTGGAAGTTCGCGGACTTGATGCATCTGTGCCGGATGCTGAGCTCGTTTCGACGGCTTCTCCTTCGGGCTGAGTAGTGGAATCCGCGGTGGCGGCATGACCTTGTAGCATGCGTACTTCCCTCGCTCCACGAGCACAACACCATACGTCTCTTCTCCGTGTCCAATGTGCGAGGCCGTCGTTCCATTCCATTTCTTCTTGTAATGCCTGATGCCGCTTTCGTTTCCGCGCCAGCCGGCGGTCGTTGAGCTGCGTGCCTACGCTGTCCGGGCCGTCGAATTTGTACACGCTCTCTTTGCTCGTGGTCGCCTTGCGTGGTGTCGATGTATTCGGCGTTTGGCCCTCAGCTTCTGCGTCGGAGGCGTCAGAGACATCGCGTTCTCTCCATTCGCTTGGATCGAAGTCAAGACCCAATGCCTCGCCTACAACGCCATTTGTGCGTTCGAGTGTCGCGGGCGTGTGGAACCTGAAGCCCGCGATCCGATCTTCGACTTCTTGCGTGGCTGTCGCCGTCTCCGTCTCGCCCCGGCCACTCGACTTCCATGCCGGCAGCGGTGGATATGCCCAGTCGTCCTTGATCTTGTCTCGCAGTATGCGGCGGGCTTCGCGCAGTTCGGCTTGCTGCTCAGCGTTCCGGTGGTGCGAGCCCGGCAGGTTCAGGTGGAGCGTCATGTTCAGCCGTCCGCCTCGCGTGCTCAGTAATGTCTTGCCTCAATCTTCCGCCCAGCAGCAGTACAACACCACCGCCGCCTCCGCCTCGTGCGCCGTTGTGGGTAGAACTGGGACGGCGGAGAAACAAGTAAGAAGGCGGGAGCGAAGTGGCCCGCGCGCGCACTGTGTGTGAATATGGTTTCTGGTGATCCTGGAACAGGCCAGCCGGTCTCGCCTCCGCTCGTGTGTTTGCTATCGTTTGACCGCCGCCGCCGCCGTCGCTACAGTCAAATAGCAAAATATCAGAGTCCACACGACCTACCCTGACAGTTATGCAAACTATTGTCGCTCGTGCCTGCTGTGGCCGTATTGACGATCGCTCTTCAGGTGAATGGCGTACGTCATGCACGACGGTAGGACATGTTATGCTTTGCATCTGCGTTTTGAGATCGATCGGAAGTGGGACGCAGCGGGGGCAAGGGAAGGCATGGGACTTGGCCGGAGCACTCCGCGACATGGGTGAATTTCTGACATTAGATGGTCAACAATTTATTTTTTGAAACAATAATGAACTTTTGGCACAAGGCAAATACAAAAATGTCACAACACAATGCAGCAGCTCCATGACTTTCATACCTTCCAATCTACTCATGAAATACCACCCGATTAAACATATCGCTTCACTTCCTCATGACACCGTGCTGGCCTCACATCAGCTCGCAGATAGCAGACGCAGTCGACTCCGACTTCGACTTCGCCGCCTGCTTTCGCTTTCTCGGTGCAAAGACACCAGCCTCAGGATCAAGATCCTGCAGTTCAATGTCCTCAACATAGTGCGGAGCTCTGTCTTGTGGGCCGTACCGCTTGATAGATGTCCGATCGCCATTGACGCAAGGCTGTACGGCTGTCAATTCTGTTCTCTCGTACTTGACGCTGTTCTGAATGAGCTCATGCATTGCAGCGTTCGCTTCGCGGTCAAGGGCTTCATTTATCACGAAATCGAAGGAGTTGACTCTGGTGAGTTCTTCTGTGATGATGAGGTCTTCTTCTTCTTCTTCTTCTTCCTCCTGCTGCTTGTCAGTGTTGGCTTGGTGATCTGTGGTGTCGTCAGTTCTGGAGACCTGCTCCGTGGGCGAACGTAGCCCAACTTCTTCGAAGCCCATCAAATACGCTGTTGAAGCGATTCGTACCGGCTTCTGGGGAGGGTGTGCTGTTGTTACTTGCTCTGGAGTGGGAGCATCCTGATCGAGCCACCATTTGGTGCTGCGAGGCTCTGCATCTCGTTTGAAGGTGGGTTGAGCCATGTTCTGCGCTTGCGAAGCTCTACGGACGTGCAGAGGGAAAATCTGATGTTGATATGCGCAAGCTTGCTCATGGCACTTCTTAGTCTGAGGTACCCATTGTTTAGCGTGAGAAGGGCAACTCTTTGTGAGCAAGTCTATGAAGACAAAGCGTCCCAGCGGGCGCTTTGTGCTCCTCTTGCTCCCGGTAAAGGTACATTGTTCATTAGTGAATAGTGAAGGACGATCGCTTTAGTGAATACGCACGATACGAAAGCCGATCACCGTATGCCAACCATGTACACCGCCATCTACCCAATTCAATGTACAGATTCTTCGTATCGTCGACACGGCGTGCATTGCCTGGCTTTCCCTCATTTCTTGCGATGCAGGGTTTGTGGCTTCGCCTGCTTCACATCTTCCTCCTCGCTATCACCCTCCCCAGAGCTTTCCTCGAGTTCCTCCGAGGAAGCATCGCTCTGTGCTGCCTCATCGTCCGACTGATCGTCACTGTCCCCTTCTTCTGCCTCAATGTCAACAAGTCCGCCGTAGCGCTCGTCGTCCTCATCAGCTGATGAGTCGTCCTCGAAACCATTTATGAAACCATTGGGCAGATCCTCATCGCCATCTGAGCCCATCGTTCTTTCGTTGTCATCGAGAAATGACGTCTTCTTCCGGTGCGCTTGTCGTGATGCATTTGGCCCAGTATCCTCGTCATCGCTGGACCAAGCCGTATCTTGTCCTTCGATGTACAACACATCCTGCTCATTTGCCCCGTCATGTGCATGAGCCGCACGAGACTGCGCTTGCATGTTCCTTCTGGCTTCCAGCTGTGCGCTCAAAAGGTCGAGCTTTCCTTTGAGGTGGAGAAGAGGCTGCAGTCCATTGGCACGCTCTCTAGTGACCCGAGCCAAGGCCTTCAATTTCTTCATCAGCTCGGGCTGGTTTGCAAGATAACCGCCATGTGTGACGAGCGACCATTGAATCCATATCATCAGCCGCCCCGCTCGTCCTGGCCTCTGGTGTATCCGTTCTGCTATTCGTTGTAAAAGTGTGGCGATCTGAGGTGACTGCTGACGCTGGATGGTGGCACGGATTGCGTTGACCTCTGTCATGGCGAAGCAGCTTTCGAGTAGGTCCTTGTCGTTGGTCTTGAGCGCTTGCGTCAGTACCGTACCAAGTGACCCGGCGGTGGGTGGCTGCACGAGCTGTCGACCCTCTGTAGGCACCAGACTGTTGGAGGTTGCGTTCTCGTTACGCAGAGCCTTCTGCACGTCAATGGCCGCAGGATGGCGTGTCTGGAGCATGTCTCCAAAGGTGGGCTCATCCGCAGGCGCTGCATCGGCCATGTCCTGGTCGTCGTGGGGGTCCTCCTCTCCACCGGCTGCTGCATCACCATTGGCAAGTTCTCTCGAGCGTGTCTCTCTCGCAAGCTCGTCATCCGCATCCTCCTCGAGATCACTCGACTCCTCCCCACTCGATATGGAAATTACGTCGTCATGCTTGCTGTCGGCGGCGTCATGAATGTCTGCGTCTGATGTATCGTTTGCGGCTCCGGCATGCGACTCGTCGACGCGGTGTGCGGCCGGTTTGGCAACGCCATTGGTTAGCTGGGCACCCAGCTTGCGGCCAGCTCTGGCATTCTCGTCGACCAGCGCTTGGAGCCCGGAAGCTGCAGGACGGTGAGACGACTTCAATCTCTTTGCCGCTGGCGGTGGGGAAGCAGATCGAGGCGCTGCTGGCCGTGAGCGGGGTCGTTTGGTGGCAGCACTCATGACAGCGACATGTCCGTGGTCGATGGGGCGGAGGTTGAGCTAGGTGGTCGCGTCGACAAGCACTGCTTTCTCGTGCAGGTCGGTAGATTTTTTTGGCCTGATCGGGATGGAGAATCTTGGCGCCGGAGCAAAGCACAAGCGAATGCAGAGCGGCGAAAATCATGGGTCCAGGTCCATCCTACCACGCATCATGCCCGCCGTCATCTTGCGACACACCGTCCACTACCGCCCAGCACGCTGCGACGGCCATGTCAATGCTGTCCTCTCCGCCACCGCCGGCTGCCTCGTCCACGACGGACCACGGCGGCAGCATGCGCATGATGGAACGGGCAGCGAGCATCAGGGGCTGCCTCGCAGGCCAATTACCGAGCAAGCAGCGCCTTGCGTTGCAGTCGCAGTTGCAGTGCGGTGAGCAGGAGAGAGAGTGAGGGAATATCGCGTCGACGAGGCTCTCTCATCTCATCTCCTGCTCACCACCGCACCGCTGCCCGCCACTCTCGCCGCCCAGCTACTTCCTCCGTCGCCGCCTACAACAGGCTGCTGCCACCGGTGGCCCCCGCAGCCTCGATCCGAGCAACCCAACCCAACCCAGCCACAGCAATTTGGCCTGCAGGCATTCCTGCAGTCGCGCTAGTCGACGACACGTTGCATAACACCACGCACAACTTTCCACCAGACTTCACACGTTCCACTCGTCAGCAACAACCTGCGCCTTGCCAGCGTGGCCGTCGTCGCCCGGCTGTCGCCCCACGGAACACGCCTGCTCACTCAGCCTTGGGTCGCTGTTACCTTTCCAGAACGCGCGACCAATCACTGCACGTTTCTCGGCACGCGGCCCGAGCCTAGCGGGGTCGTGCTCGACACTCTTCTATTTCTTCTAATCGACTTGATCAACTTTCGAAGTTCCGCTGGCGTCACAGAGCCTCAATTCTCGACTTTTCAAAGAGCAAACATCAACTGCATCAAAGGCCGCCCGTCGCCACCACACCCGACCTCTCCTTTCTTTGGCCATCACGTGCGCGCCTTGTTTCCCCTGCTCGTCGCCATTGCGCCATCTGCGATCGCACGCGACTTGGCTACTATAAAGTCGCGTCCCGCACACTCTTTGCTGCAGAGCGCGATATCACGTGCAGCAACTTGCTGCACTTCCTCCATCACCACGTCGCAACAGCATGGCTTCAGAAGTCGCGCATCCTGAGCGGGTGCCTAATGTGCCCGCCACCGATGCGCCTCTTACCAATGGGTACGTTCCACCCTCACGCGCGCCCATTCACACACCTCCGCGCGTTGCTGGAACTTCAAGTCTCTTCACCATTTCACATCCTTGCATTAACCACCCGCTGACTCATTGCAGCGATGGCGACCATGACATGATAGACAGTACCGGCAATGCAGGAGCTTTCGAAGAAAACGCCGCACTCTCCAAGGCGAATTCGACACTGAACCCTGCCGCCGATGCGCCCATCGAGACAGCTCCTACAGGTCTGACCCCGATCGATAACGTCACTGCTGGCATCGCTCCCGTATCCGACTTCATCTCCAAGGAGGCGCCCACATCACATCCAACGCCTCCGCCCGACGAGCCATTGATTACCGCCGAAGCCAACATCGACACAGTCATGACATCGACCGAGGAGCCTGCGACAGTAGCTCCCATCCCGTCGGCGCACACAGAGGAGACCACGGTCGACTCAGCCCCAGTCCAAGATGCCGTAGCAGCCGCCGAACCCCAGCAAGCCGCACAGTCGCCAGCGCTTCCCTCAGCAGAGACTAGCTTGAAAGCTGAAATCCTACCCGCCCAGAACCCGGCGCCAGTGCCTACTTCGTCCGACTCGAGTCTAGTCAGGCAGCGAGATGAGGACGATGACGGCGAAGAAGAGGAACGTGCTGCGAAGCGGACGAGAATGGAAGAGGAAACTCAAGGGGAAAGCCACGACTCGAATGTGGACGCGACACAGCAACCCGCGACAGATGGCATAAATGGCGAACGTCCGGACCCCCCGTCCGTTGCCGAGCCAGCAGCAAAGGAGGACGTATCGGAGTCGCAGCCTGCAGATTCAGCCGTGATGGACACAACACCCATACCAACAAGCAATGGCGCACCCGAGAATCCGGTGAAACCCGATCCTGCAGAGAGTGGAGGCGCACCGGCGATAGCAGATGCCAAACCTGCAGATACGCCCATTCAGCCACAATCATTAGCTTCTGCTTCGACACCCAAGTACAGCACTACACCAATGACTGCAACGCAAATCCGCTTCCTGCAAGACAAGATGAAGAATCTGAAGAAGACCAAAAACTCACTGCCATTCTTGCACCCTGTCGATCCGGTCGCGCTCAACATTCCGACGTATCCTGAAATCATCAAACAGCCAATGGACTTGGGGACCATGGAGCAAAAGCTCAAGTCGTCGCAATATGGCTGCGTTCAAGACTTCGCTGACGACTTCAATTTGATCATTAGCAATACGCGCACATTCAATGGCCCAGAACATGCGGTCACACAGGCTGGCATGGCAATGGAAGCGTATTTCCGCAAGATGATGGAAACCGTTCCGAGCGGGGACCAACCGATGCCACACAGAAATCAAGCGAAGAAGGCTTCACCCAAGCCTCCTGCTCCAGCGCGACGGGAATCTCGATCCGCGACCCACGTGCCGCCTGTCCAAGCCACGCCCGCAGCGAATGCAACCTCATCGGAGACATTCGCACTGCAAGCAGATGGTACACCGCAGATTCGACGAGAATCGACCACAAACCGGCCAGCCCGCACGATCAAGGCACCACCGCCCCGAGAACTTGCGTACGCCAAGCCGAAGCGCAAGGAGCATCAAATGGAGCTGAAGTTTGCGGAAGATGTTTTGACGAAAATTCGCGGTCCGAAATATGGCACCTTGAACAACGTCTTCCTCGCCCCTGTGGATCCTGTTGCTCTGAACATTCCACACTACCGGCAGATTGTGAAGCACCCTATGGACCTGGGAACGATGACTCAGAAGCTCAAGAACGGCCAGTACAGTCGGGCTTCCGAGGTGAAGAAGGATTTTGATCTCATGATTGGGAACTGCCTGGCTTTCAATCCCAACGGCAATCCCGTCCGTGACATGGGAATTCAGCTCCAGCGCGAGTTCGAAGCGCTGTGGCGTGAGAGGGACAGATGGGAGAAGAAGCATCGCCAAGCTCGTGCTGCTTCAGCTTCTGCGGACGAGGAAAGTGGGGAAGATGAGGAGGAAGAAGAAGAAGAGGACGACCAGGATCCAACCAATACCATTCGCGCATTACAGAAGCAGCTTGCTGATATGCAGAACGCACTGGCTGGACTAGGTCAGGCCGCTCCTAAGCAGAAGAAAGCCAAGAATACGAAGGCTGCGCCCAAGAAATCGTCGACCATTTCCGTCTCGAAGAACAAGGCTGCACCAGCGAAGAGCAAGCCCAAGAAGCCCAAGCAGGTCACGTACGAGGAGAAGCAGGAGATTTCCGAAGCTGTCGGCAAAATGAATGACAGTCAGGTAGCTCGTCTCACTCACATCATTACCTCCAACTGCTCGAAGTATGCTGAGCAGGAAGAGATGGAGCTGGAGATTGACGACCTGCCCAACAACGTTCAAGCGATGTTGCTGACATTCGTTCGTGAGCAGTTCGGAGGTCCAAACAAGAAGGCGCGCGCTGTGACACCTGATGATGGTGCTGGCGCTGACGACGATGACTTCGAGCCGAGCGAGCGTCGTGGAGCCAAGGGTGGCAAGCGCAAGAAGCACAAGCCTATGGGCAAAGTGGAGCAGCAGGCAGCGATCAACCACCTGCAGAAGCAGCTTGCGCAATTCCAAGGCGGCGGTAGCGGCAGTGAAAGCCCCACGAACGCAGGCTTTGCCATGGGAGGACAGGACGCAGACACCTCTGGAGACGAGAGCGAGGAGTCTGAGGAGGAGTAGTAGTAGTTGATTGGGTGCTTGTCGCGTTTTAGATACCACATACGTTCGAGCCATTGATGATGTATGAATACGAATTCAGGATAGCCGCGAGCTCGCCGTACCTGGACATGAGGGTAGTCTTGGTTGACGGGCAGATGAAATGATACCAAATTCTATGACTGTGCAGAGCTTCTGCACCCAAATAGTGGAGCGTCCTTTCTCTCATCGTAGTTCACTCGGCCGCCTGTTGCCTCTCCATTGCGCCGGCCTTGGGGCACGTCTTGTTGATGGGGCAGCGAGTATGCGTGAAAAGATGGTTCGCGAGCCTTTCGCCATGCTCACGATTGCTGACAGCCTAGACCGCTGTTGCAGTCGAGCGGTGCACATGTTGTGATTTGCAAGTGACGTGTTGCTTGTATTGGTGAACTGAGGTATAGGCACGTCGGGCGAACCCACAGTGGTATACATTTTCGTCAACAGTGCAGTTGCCTCAGGCCTGACAGGAAACCTCGACACATAGATCACGCGGCCTCCACGTGTGACAAGTGACTCGAACACGTGCAGAACGGGAAATAAGTAGCGTATTATGAGGGAGTTGCAAAAATACTTCATAATTCGTCGTTTCAGCTTTTTCAGCTGATGCTATCTCTCGTGCATAATTTCTATGATATTTTTCTTCCCAGACTCGACCGCCTACCCAGGCAGGAGCTAATACATATCGCTACCCGACAACGCCCCAAAACGCCCTTGTGATGCCGCTGTTCTGTTCAAATTTTGCAGAATGTGATCAGGCGGAAAGCAAATCACCACTGGATGACTCGCTCAGTCTCGCCCTCTCGTGGTGGGAAGTAGGTGTTGATCAACTCCATGTAGTATGACTTGAGCGTCTGGGTATCTGGGATACCATCACTCTTGCTGTAAAGGTCATAAGGGTTGAAAGCCTTGACGGCTTGCAACATCTTCTCGTCTTTCTCGTTCATCATCCATCGGTAGCCGCCGGCGCTGTGCCATGGGTAGAAAGAGTGGTAACGAATCATGGCAAGAGCCTCATCGGGGAGGGTGCTTTGTTCTTTGCAGATGTGGTAGAGGTATTCGTCGTGGCCCCAGCTGAGCATGACGTTGTCGAGGCCGCAGCCTGGGGTGTAGATGCCGTGCTCGGTGCTGTAGATTGGGTCTTTGCTGTCTGGGTTGCTCTCGAAGGTGCCCGGGTAGATGATGGAATCGTCGAAGCGGCAGCCTACTGGGAAGGTGTCGCCGACGACGTCCCATTGTCCTCGTGCGTCGTAGAAGAAGAGGAGCTTGCCTAGGTCGTGGATCAGACCAGTGAGTTGGAACCACTTTGGCTTTCCGTCACGGCGGATGGCCTCTGCGGATTGGAGAAGGTGCTCGATCTGGCTGAGCGAGGTGTCGGGGTCGGACTCGTCGATGAGTGTGTTGAGCTTCTCCATGGCTTGCCAGATGGTCATCTGTGCACGGGTCTTTGACTTGAAGTCATTGCGGGCCTTCAAGTTGTAGGCAACAGTCTGCTTCTCGTGTTGTTCACGGTAGAAATTCTTGACACGGTCGCAAGCTTCCTCGTATTGTCGGAACTGGGTCTTGTCCTTCTCTGCATCGAACTGGGACTTCTCGTAGATGTCCTTCTCTTCTTGGGTGGCTGTGCCGTTCTTTACTCTCATGGCAGCCTTGAGGACGTTGACCTCGTCGATGGCGTCCGAAGTTGCCTCCAACGCAAGACCATCCTTGTGGTCGTTGAAGTTCTCTGCCACATTGGGCGTCTCAATAGCGATTGGTGCCATTGTTGTAGAATTAAATCAGAACACACCAAGTCAGTTGATGTTGATGTTCTGAAGAATAGAAAGTGCAACGGATGTAAAAGTGGAAGTTGATGTGATAGAATGAGAGTCGTTCTTGCTGGTGGCGGGTCGATACTTATGGTAGATTTGCGTAGGATCTCAGGTGGCAGCGAGCATGGTTCTCCACCTGCCTTACGAAGATGCGGAGGGCAAGACGGCTTGCAAGAGCCCTCGCTGGTTGAGAGCAAGTCCCAGTCTAGCCTGAAGGCACAATCTCAGCAGGTGTCCACCTCTTACGAGCTCTTGCAGCATGACCTGCCGCTGAGACTGCGCCAGGCCTGGCTGCCCGCGGTTCTGATGCACTAGTATGGCCATGTGGGCGAAAGCATAGGGCGAAGGCCGGAGGGGCCCACAGAGCAAGCGTCAGCAGGAAAAATCAAACGCCTAGCGGACGCCCTCGGCGGATCCGATGATGTTCTCTTGTGGAGTTCGGAGGAGGGACTTGTGCTTGTGATAGGTCCCACGGCGCAAGAGGAGGCCCGAGAGGCTCCGTGAGGAGCGCTTGGCCACGGGATACACTTCCCAAACAGCGCTGTCGGTGACTTGAGTTTTTCCAGGACCCAGTTATTGGGCCCAGTGAGGCTTGGTGATCTCGGAGCTGGTGCAGTCGAGGTCTGAATAGGCGTGAGGTTCTTCCACGACCGCCGACAGCCGCAGATCTGCCTAACGAGAACGGTGCGCGTGATATCACAAAACTGCAGCGGCAGGCCAATGGCTGACAGCGCATACGGATGAGCTGGCGTGGCTCGATAGCCTGCGCCGGCCTGCCTGCCCTGGGGGATCTGCTCTGGAGAAGTGAGACCCTGGAGCACCACGCAAGACCCTGAAGCAGTTCTGACTGGCGGGCGGATTTGTTCTGTTTTGGTCATTCCGCCTAACAACGTGCTTCCACACAACAATGCTCGCAGCAATTTGCAGCGACAAGGTGATGGTGTACACACCAAGTCGACGAATCTATACATTGTACAGTACACGGTAAAATCATGTTATGATTTGACTCAAGGGCGTATAGTTCACGCATCTCTTTTCACGCCGAATGCAGCTGCCCAGCCCATACAGCTTCTCCTACCGTCCCATCCATCCACCATCCACAGTCAGAACCTCGCCACTGACATAAGCACTCGCCCGACTTGCCAAGTATACCACACTCCCCTTGAAGTCATCAGGCGAACCCCACCTTCCCGCCGGTATACGTTCCAGAATCGACGCCGCCCGCTTCTCGTCATTGATCAAAGCCGTATTCATCTCAGTCGCGATATAGCCAGGGGCGATGGCATTCACCGTAATCCCCTGATTCGCCCACTGATTCGACAAGGCCTTAGTCAATTGCCCAACGCCGCCCTTCGAAGCTGCATAAGCCGGAACATTGATCCCGCCCTGGAAGGTCAACAGACTGGCCACATTGATGATGCTGCCTCGTCTGCCGTACTGATCCGGATCGCGAGATAGCATATGTGCACCAACGTCTCGGCACAATGTGAAGACTGATGTGAGGTTCACTTGCAGGACTTCGTTCCAATCCTCGTCTGGGAATTGATGGGCTGGGTGACGGCGCTGGATACCGCCGCAATTGAGCAATATATCGATTTTGTGGCCGTCCTTTTCGATTTGTGGTACCAGACGCTTCAATGAATCGTTCGAGGCGAGATCAGCTGTGTAGATTTGCGCTTTCCGGCCTAGCTTTTCGATGGCTTCTTTTGTCGATTGATTTGATTCATCTCGCTGCTGAGTGTGAGCGGAAGAACAGAAATAGTTTAAGTCCAGGACGCACAACACACCTGCACCAGAAGGACATCTGCTCCTGCCTCTGCCAGGGCAATGGCCATGGCTTGGCCAATGCCGCGCGTGCCACCGGTCACTAACGCCGTCTTGCCATCCAGGCTGAAGAAGGATATCACTGATGCGGCCATGTTGAAGCAATGCACTGCGGTACTGAATAGCAGACGCGTGCAGCATGGAACAGTCGTTGGTTATGAGACTTTGCAGCCAATGCAATTGCCGACGTGGCCTTTGGCGGGGCAAGACCAAATGCCGACCGCCGCCCCCCACCAACGCGCAAGAGCCGTGTATTGCCTGTCGAACGACCGACGCGCCGCCGTAGATTTGTCTTGTCCTTGATATCAGGCCACGGCACGCTGTCGGCCTGTTGAAGCACATTTCTCCAAGGCAACTGAGATCCATACTGCTGACCTCTTCCACAATGACTGCTGAGGAAATCCAAGCTTCGGTGCTTCACGCCGCCAAAGACCTCCGCGTGGTAAGTATCCTTACTACTCAGTCACCTACCCGCTCATACTTACAGATCAGGAAAAACGAGAAGTCCCAGCGCCCGAAGCAGACGAAGTACAAATCCGCATCGCGTCCACGGGTCTCTGCGGCAGCGATCTGCACTACTACTCCCACTTCCGCAACGGCGATATCCTCGTTCGCGAACCTCTTAGTCTCGGCCATGAATCGTCCGGAGTCATTTCTGCTGTTGGCTCCGCGGTGACGAATTTCCAGCCAGGCGATAGAGTAGCACTTGAAGTCGGACTGCCGTGCGAGAAATGTCAAAGATGTCAAGAAGGTCGCTATAACATTTGTCCAAACGTGCGGTTCAGGAGCAGTGGAAAGGCATTCCCCCATTTCCAAGGGACGTTGCAGGAAAAGATCAATCATCCTGCGAAGTGGGTATATCGCCTACCTGACGAGCTGAGCCTGGATGTTGGAGCTTTGCTAGAGCCTCTTGGAGTGGCATTGCATGCTTTCAGGAGGAGTCTCATGCCCGCCAATGCAACCGTCATTGTTTATGGAGCAGGAGCGGTGGGTCTGCTGTGTGCAGCTGTGGCAAAATTGAAAGGAGCAGCGAAGGTGATCATTGCCGATATTGATGCCGGGCGACTGGAATTTGCGGTACAGAATGGATTCGCACACGCCAGTTATACCGTGCCCATGCGGCGAGGCAAAGATATCGATGAGAACCTCCAAATTGCAAAAGAGACTGCCGCCGAGATAACAAAACTAGAAGATGTTGGCGAGGTGGATGTCGTGTTTGAGTGTACAGGCGTGCCGTCCTGCGTGCAAGCGGGAATTTATGTGAGTGTCGCGCTGGTACTCTTGCGTGCGGTGAAGCTAATATTGTGATAGTCAACCAAGCCCGGAGGTCGAATTATGCTGGTGGGAATGGGACATCCTATCCAGACATTACCTTTGGGAGCTGCGGCGTTGCGTGAAGTGGACATTGTTGGTGTATTCAGATATGCCAACACATATCAAGAGAGCATCGATATTGTGCTCCAGGCGTCCAAATCCGCAACAGGCCCAGACTTTTCGAAGCTAATCACTCATCGGTTTGCGGGGCTTGAGGAGGCCGTCAAGGCTTTCGAAATGGCAGGTAAGACGAAGGATGCGGATGGCAAGCTGGTGTTGAAGGTCATTATTGATAGTAGCCGGAATGAGTCGTGAAGCGGGACCTTGAGGTGGTCGACCAAATACGATTGCTCCTGGCGCATTATTGTGACTTCGTTAACTATGTATAAAAGTACAAAAGATCATACTTCATGTCATGACTGTGCATTATGTCGTCGATGCAATGATCATCCCGTCGGAACAGACCGTACCGTAGGCAACCGGGCCCATCGATATCCTGTGATAGCACTCTGATCAGCATATGCACGAATGAGTCTCGGAGAAAGGCGCTCACCAGCCGCCAGTATCACAAACACTGAAAAGTCGACCATTGTCGGTACATTTCAGGCTGCCGTTAACGTCACATGGGCCTTCAGGTCGCGCCGCAACATAGCGATCGTCTCGGTACTGTCCCACTGGAGTGCTACCTTGCTGCTCCTGAAGTGGCACAGAATTTGCATGAGGTGCAAGCATCGGCAGGCACTCCATGCCCGCAGCCACGGTGCGCTCTTGGCTCGTCAAGTAGACCCAGGTTTCGTCAGATGCGACCGTGCCATCATTGTAGTTGCAAGTCAGGAACGTTGTACGACTGGTGCCTGTGTTGGCGACCTTGAATCAGTGACCGATGCCTAGAGTCAGAGGCTTATGTGAGGATGGACTTACATAAGAATGTGCCAGGTACGCAAGGAAGATAGAAGGCATTAGCATCTTGTGTGGCGTACGTAGGCTGAGGTGTCGAAGTGGCTCCAGTACCGGCTTGACGACTCGATGGCATCGTACGTGTCGTCGTAAGCATAGTGCGTACTGGAGTCCCTACGGGTATCGTGACGGTGATCGTAGTCTCACAATCAGCTGTAACGGTCACTGTGCGTATGTCTGAGGCCACGACTTTTTTGGGCGCATCGAGGAGAGTCGCAGCAGCAGTAATGGACGCAGATCGAACGACCAAGCTAGTCTCGGTGGCGCTGTCTCCCAGCGGTTCTTCAGATGTGACTGCAGCTTGGGTTGGCTCTGGAGCAGTGGTGGGTGCGTCGATATAATCCGGAGCCTCGTTCGCAATCTGATCGGATTCAGAAGTGGGTGAGCTATCACTACCTGGTGGCAAGGTACTATCCCCCAAGTCCTTATATGTCATGCCGTACGGAGCTGGCCAGTCACACGTTCCTGAGGTAGCAACGCTTGAGGCACTGTGTCCAGCATCGTATACGACATCAGGGCCCGGATTTGGGTACACAGGATCATTCCTCTCCGTAGTGGCACAGCCATTGACGCCCTCAAGATTGGCCTTCCAGATGAAGGGTAGGCTTTCAAACGTCTTGAAGCTCTGCCTTTTTCTGCGTTGACTTGCACTAGGACTGATGGTAATTTGGGCACAATTCTGGTACATTTCGCGATTGCCCGCGTGATTTTGCCAAGACCATGATAGGAGAGCATCACCTTCCGGCACAAAGGAGGGAATAGTGAAGTCGTATGTTGACGCCAGTGGACATCCGCCAATGATGCTTTTGATGACGCGAAATGTAGCTCCATTGTCGTAGCTGAGAGATATTTGACAGGAGCCACCACCCTGCTGGAGGATTAGTCTGCAACTCAGCAGGTACTTCAATCTGTTGCATGACCTACGTGCATCGCCGTCCCAGCCAATGTTAGATTATATGTCGAGCCAGCAACATATGTGACCACTGGAACGAAAGGTCGATCATTCTGATAGCCCTTGCACGGGAAGTTGGAGCCATCGGCCGACAAGGGCGATGTCATGCTGTAGTCAATGGCCGTGTAATCATTAGCCGGGTTAAACTTGGAGTGTAAGGCATATGGCCAGCTCATTTCCATATGAGCGACTACCGCGGTGGACCAGAGGAGAACAAAGGCCCGCATTGCACGCCCCGAGCAACGAAGACAAGCCATGGTTGAAGAGAAGTGATGCGCGGCGACAGGCAGTGGACGGCGCCATGTCGCGACTTTTGAGCAGATGAAACGCCGTCCCATAGAACGATGTGCCAGGCATGTCTGACTATCGTGTGGCTAGCGGGAGGGTGTAGCGGTGCTGGCTGTCCCGGGCGAAGATACATTCTTCGCGTGAAGCGCGTTGGCACATTCCGCCGCTTCCATTGTGCTTCTTACCCGCCGACACATGACTCGCAGGACGAGTAGGCAGTGGAGGTCTCCAGACGGTGGCTCCGGTGTGATCTTGAGGTCGGCAGTACGATGGCGGTGCTGGGAGGAAGGAGTGGAAGAGGGCGGAGTGGAAGGCTGAAGGGGGCGGACGCGTAATCTTGGCAACGACTTCACGCTTCCAGACACGTCCGCACGAGCTCCTCGGCCTACACTCCAGCCTCCATCCCCCACAATCCCTCCATTTCAGCACCAGCCATGGCTACACAACCACACAGCGACGAGGAGAGGCTCAAGGCAGCGCTGTGGCATTCGGTTGGCAAGATCGTTGACGCCATTGCCGTAGAGCAAAGTCCAAGCGTCAATGCCGCGCCAACGTTTATAGCTGGCATGACCGAGATGCTTGCGGCCAGGATCACGACCATTTCCGCGGATCTCGAGACGTTTTCTCGGCATGCTGGACGCTCTGTCATCAACGAGGATGATGCGATGTTGCTTGCACGCCACAACGATGGCCTGAAAAGCGTCCTTCGACACAAAGCTGAGAAAGAACGAAAGAGCGAAAATCGGTGAAGGAGGTTGGAAACGATTTGCTGAGCGACTCTATCTCCTGCACGAGTGACTACTCTGCAAAGATGCTCGGCGATCTATGATGAATCTCTAACACGCACCTATCCGACAACTTATTGCTTGTCTGGGAATCCGAGGTTGACACCAAACTCTGGATACACGAATCTTGTGAGTCCCTTCTTCTTGTGGATTTCCTCGAGCGATGCAACGTCTTCAGAGCTCAGTTGCACAGTCTTCAGGTTCTCCTCTATCCGCTGTGGCGTCACGGACTTGGGCAGCACCACATGACCTCTGCTGACCTGATAAGAGATCAAGATCGTTCCTGCTCCGACGTTGTGCTTCTTCGCAAGCTCTTGCACGCCCTCCTCCTTGAAGAGCGGGCTGCCTGTGCTACCCAATGGCGAGTAGGCCTCGACCAGGATGCCCTTCTCTTTACAGAATTCGCTGATCTCTGATTGTGGGAGGTATGGGTGGTTTTCCTGCAGAGATCTTGCGTTAGCATGCTGGGTGAGGAGACGCGGCGGTTTCGGGCATGGAACGTACGATCTGGTTCGCCGCAGGCACGACTTCGGCCTCTTTAAGGAGCTCCTCTAGGAATGGCACCGAGTACTGTCGCTCATTAGCAATGGGAGCATTCGCAGCAGAGGCTTCGGACTCAGCTTACATTCGAAACACCGATGGCCTTGACTTTGCCAGTCTTCAGCAGCTTCTCCATGCTCTTCCACGTGGAAACGTGTGACCATTCTCGATCGAGGTCGCGAGAGCCTGCACGCCATGTAATCAGCTGGCTGCAATTGCATGGTCCTCACGACAAGTCTTACCATCTTCAAGCTTGGGGAACAAGGGGTGGTTGCCGTTTGCATTCATAGGTACTGGCCAGTGGACCAGGTAGAGATCCAGGTAATCGAGACCGAGGCGCTTGAGACCTTCGTCAAGGCACTCCTCAGGCTTTCGGTGGTATGTACACCACAGCTTTGATGTGACGAAGACATCCTCTCTCTTGATCCCGGAGTCGAAAGCCTCTTTCAGCCCCTCTCCCACTTCGTTCTCGTTTCCATACACGAAAGCTGCGTCAATGTGGCGGTAGCCCGACTTGAGGGCATGTGCAACAGCGGCCTTGACCTGTCCCGGGTCTCCACAACGGCGTTTTATTAGAATAACAATTCACGACGAGATGTAGCGGGCTCAAAACTGACCAGATTGCCATGTTCCCAGGCCTACTGCTGGAATCTTTGCGCCAGTGTTGAGAGTGAACGTGGATGCCATGATTTTGAGAATGTGTATGTCAATGTGTACAGCTTGTTGACGAGAAGTGGACTGGTTTTGCACAGAGCAGCGTGACGCGAGCACAATTGTCTTCGGGCGTGATTACAACGAGCTCATCCCACTCTGCTGGCAGCATTCGCCGAGGGCGAAATGTCGGCATTTGAAAATATGTCATTCCACAATTGGGGCAGAGGCGGCAGCACCACAGAAACTCGGCTCCTGGGGGTCCAAGAGCCGAGTTTACGTCCATTTTGTGACCGAACTCTCATCGCGACCTGGGTCAGACTTTACATCTTTTAGCTTCACGAGACACAGCGCTCGAGGTGTGTTGCACAAGGCAGAGATACGAGCAGCGGAGCAAATTACCACGTTCATGCAGTGTGGAAGGAATTGTGAGTTTCTGTTGTGCCTTCTAGCGGGGTGATCAGCAGGGACAAGCAGCTCGCGCAGGCACACGTAATGACGTTTCGGACTCTGCCTGCAGCACCAGCAACGGCCTTACCCCTTTGGGTCATTCCGCCTTCCGCTGGGCGGCAGCGGAGCCTCGTGCATGCGAGTTCGTCTGGCGGTGGAGGAGCGGGTGGAGTTGCTACCGACACCAACTTGTTGCGCTGCGCGTTGTTGGTGATGTTTTCCGCGCGCCAACGAACACACTGTTGGTGTCGACTGTCTCGCGCAAGTTACAAAATTCGGTGAGGTCCACCAAGGGCAATAGCATCATCCCTCAGGACAATCTATCATCTTCTCTTGCACTCTTCCTCGATTGCTGTTCTTTCCAGAAGATTGAATTTCACAGTTCGAAGCAGCAGCCACCACCAAAATCTCCCCCTCCCCCTCCTTCACTATGGTCCGCAAGCTGCAGGTCGGCGTGTCCGGTCTTGGACGAATGGGCGCCCGACACGCTCTGCACTTTCTCGAACGCACACCTCGAGCAGACCTCGTGGCTGCCTTTGACCCGGATGAGAAAGCACTCGCATGGGCGAAGGAGCGACTCGCACCCTTCGGTACTAAGCTCTACAACGACTATGAGGAGTTCTTGAAGCACCCAGGCCTGGAAGCCGTCGTGGTAGCGGGCATCACCACACAACATGCCGCGCAGGCGGTGCGTGCCATTGAGGCCGACAAGCATGTGCTGTGCGAGAAACCGCTGTCAACGAGCATCGAGGTCTGCGAGAATGTCTTGAAAGCCGCTCAGGCCAAGCCTCATTTGACTGTCATGTGCGGTTTCTCGCGCCGCTTCGATGCCAGCTACCGAGATGCTGCTCGCCGTGTGCAGAATGGAGACATTGGCCGGCCGTCCATACTCCGATCGCAGACATGCGACAAGCATCGCGACGACGACTACTTCGTACAGTATGCCAAGTTCAGCGGCGGAATCTTCGTCGACGCCAACATCCACGACATCGACCTTGCCCTTTGGTACTTCGGCCAGGACAGCGTAGTGAAGAGCGTCACCGCCGCTGGCATCAACGCACGCCTCACCGAGCTGGAGAAGTACCAAGATGTCGACAACGGCATCGGTATCGTCGAGTTCTACGGCGGCAAGATTGCCTACTTCTACGCCTCACGCATGATGGCTGCAGGACAGGAGGACACCACCGAGATTATTGGCACACACGGCAAAATTGTCGTCAATGGCAATCCTCAGCAAAACCTAGTCTCTCTGCACGAGAGTACGGGTATCCGCAAGGACGTTCCCCAGACCTACTACGACCGCTTCGAACACGCCTTCGTCACCGAATCGAACGAGTTCACAGAATGCGTTCTGGACGGCACGAAGCCACCATTCGAGCTGGCAGGTGCCGTTGCTGCTGTGAAGATTGCTAGCGCGTTGCAAAAGAGCTTGGTCACTGGAAAGAAGATTGAATACAGCGAATCTGGCGAGGAGATTGTCTCAGAGAAGGCACGTCTCTAGGTGCTAATGCGTTTGCTGATGCGCGAGTATTGGATATACAACATTGCATGGGGTCAGAGCACAGGTACCATCAGCGGTCATGAAGGCGCCAATATGTGGATAGAAAAGTGTTTCAGGGCATACGGATGGTGCTATCAAAGCTTGGATACAGCGCCAACACGAAACAAGCTCAGTAAGATCCAATGCATAAAGGATACATTTGAATTTGGGCACAACACAGATGTCAATAGAGCGGAATTAGAAGTAGACATTGAGGGTCAGAGTCTGCATGGCAGAGTTGCCTACACTTTTTGCTACAGTTCCCGTTTCGTTTTACATCTTCATCGTGCAAGGCTCGGCGCCTGAGCAATACAGAGTGGCCGGCCAGGACATCTCTGCCCTCCATACCCACATCACAGACCTACACTCATTGATTCCGACAATCCTGTGCACCGGCTTATGATGTCGTGTTCTCAAAGAACGAGGTAGGCTGACCAGGTACAGCATTCTCGGCAGATGGTGGCAGGGTCTCTTTCTCCTCACCAATCTTCACACCAGGTGTGCCGGCCACAATCTTACCAGTCTTGGTCTCTGGGTCGACCAGGACGACCTCGATGACGGCGCACTTCTGCACCGTTTGCTTGATGCCAGGTACCATCTCGTGCAACACAGCAGCCTCATCGAAGGCCAGTTTGCGCTCAAAAACGGTCGTTGGGTCAATGCCGCTTTCCAAATTCTTCTTCAGACTGTTCACGAACGGCATTGCGCGCTTGACTTCAGTCTTGGGCAGGCTCTTGTTCACTGCTCCGACGTCGACCTTCATGTTCGCAAAGTTCTGACGCACGACATCGATGATGCTGTCTTGCCACGCCGGGAATTTTTGCGCAAAGAAGATGGAGAGCTTCTTGTCCTTCTTGGGATCATAAGAAGTTTGCTTGCCCTTGGCCATCTTCTTGAGCTGAACGCCCTCGGCTCCCGTGATGTTGCTCTGAGTTGTGCGCACATACTCGCGCGCAGCAGTCAGGTTTGGTTTCTGGTCTGGGACTTGTGGGAAGCGAGCGTTCTGCACAGTGTCTGGCTTCTTCAAAACTTCGAGCCAGATGTGCTCTGCCCAGTGGGGCGCCACAACGGTGATCATCAGAGCTTGTTGCTCCACGTATCTCGTGACCAGATCTTGATGCATTCCGATGCCTGCAGCCTTGGTGACCTCGCGGTAGAAGTCGCGGGCGTTCGTGAAGTCGTAGAATCCGCTCTTGAGAGCCGCTTTGTAGTCCGCATCGTGGTACCGCTGCTCCGTCTCCTTGACAAGACCGTTCAAGTCGTTCTCAAATAGCTCATCCCAGAAAAGCTTCTCTCCAGTGCGGACGATGACATCGTTCGTCTTGTGCCTCTCATTCTTGCTCACCTCGGCATACGACACCCCATCCTTGAGCACGCGTGCGTCCAGGATGACGTTCTCGCACCACTGTCGGAGCTCGAAAAGTCGAAGGATATTGGCGTTCGCAACGGTTTCGTCGAAGTTGGCGTCCTCAATAGTGTCGCCTGCATCGGCAAAAGCGACGCGAGTCGCATCAGCACCAAACTTCGCGGTCGCGTCGTATAGGGTGAGGAAGTTGCCAGTAGATTTGGACATCTTCTCGCCATTGAGCAACAAGTGCCCATTGGCTCGGATAGCACGTGGCCAGTACTCCGGTGGGAATAAGGCGACGTGTACGTAGAGGAAGAATGTAAGATGATTCTGGATCAAATCCTTTCCAGATACACGGAGATCCAATGGGTACCAGTATTCAAACTCACGGCGCATGCGGTGGAGTGTCTCTTCTGGGATGGAGCATTCCTTCGGGACTTCTTCAGTCCTGCAGAACAGCCAATCCCAAACATCATCCGTCAATTGATCTGCTGAGACATTGGCCGGTCCCTTCTCTTTGCCGAAAATGTCCTTGTGGAGCAAATGGGCGATCGTATAGTACGACATGTAGATCGTAGAGTCGGACAAGCTCTCTACCAGTTGCGTCTGATCCCACGGCAGCTTGGTGCCAAGACCGTAACCTCGAGCACATGCCCATTGTGCAAGCCAGAAGAGTACCTGTTCGAAAGCGTTCTTGGTTTCAGTGGAAAATGTGTTGAGTCCATTACCATCCTTGTTCTGCACGTGCTTCAAAACCGCTGGTTGCCAATCCGGATCGCCCGACTTTTCAGGCTCGCCATAATTCATGAACCACTGATCCAAGTGACCAGCGACACACTCGTCGCCTGATCGACTGATGACTTGTCCGTCTGGCTCCGCGTAGGCAAACGCTTCGCCAGCATCAATCAAGTCTTGCCGCACCTTGGGCTTTGCTTCCTCAACACGCTCTCCGGCGTATTTCCCAATGAGCATCTTGCCCTTGTAGAAGCCTTCCTTGTATGCAATTTCTTTAGCCTCGGCCAATTGTTTTGCGTCTTTGGGTGAGTTGATCTTCATGGTTTCCACAAGTTTCTTCGCAATGAGGTTGCCATGATCAGGCGTCTCAATGAGCGGCACGATTTCCTTGTCGATCCATTCCTTCTTGATCTTGTAGAAATCTGCCTTCTTTTGCAGATCGAGGGTTGTCGCGTAATCATCTGGGGAGTCGGAAGGAACACTTGTGACAACGCCAGTTCCCTTCGTTGGCTTGACCGATTCCATAGGAAGAATGTAGACTCCATCCTTGTGGACAGATAGCGGTGCATTGACAAGTGTGCCAACTACTTCCGATCCCTTGAAATCGGCAACCTTAGGGAAAACTCCCCACTCCGGGAAAATGCTTTGAAACGCCATGTTTCTTGCGGCTCGGTCTGAGACGAAGTAGTACTCCTCGCCCTTCTTGATTTCATATATTCCGTAGTCCACGTTGGGTCCGACGAAGCAGCAGTTCTGCCCGTACATGGTCTCTGGCCTCAAAGTTGCAGGGACGAAGTACACGTTGCCGCCCTCGGGTATCTTGCCTTCGAGCTTGCTCTTCGCTGATTCTGCCCATTCCTTCACGCGTAGCTTCAATGCTGTATATTCTTGCACACCCACGCCCTCGCCGCTTGCTCGGTCATGGTCCATGCACGCTTGACCATCCTTGGGCGAGTAGACTGTATATCGCTTGCCGAACCTGATTTTGCCCATCTCTTTCAGACGATTGACCTGCCACCGCACAAAGGCGTCGTAGTACGGATTCGCGTCGGTCGTGACCATGGACCTTCGCCAGTCCACTCTGCATCCCAGGTTGTCCAAGTCACGCTTCCAGAGGGGAGGAAAGTAGTGCAACCAGTACTGTGGATCGGCGAACTTGTGAATCTCCTCGATAGGAATACCAATAGCCAGCATGATCTGGAACTGGTACTTCAAGGCCACATTGACCTTGGCAGCTGCCTTTGACTTTTTGGTTGTGAATTTGGTGACATCCTCCTTGGTGGTGTTCTGCACAGGAGCGGGCGGCGCGGTATCGGCCTCCGCACTCTCACCGTTGTCCACAGGGCACTTCTCGAAATTCTGTCCAAAGAGCTCAATCTCGCGCACCAGCTTGTCAGCGCAGGCCTTGATAGGCATGCCGGTGCAGTGGAAACCCTGCGGGTAGAGAGCTCGCTTGCCTTGCATGCGCGCCCAACCCACCGCGAACTCGAGCTTACTGGCCGTGAAAGCGTGGCCGGAATGCGGAGTGCCATTGACATAGGGGTAGGCCATGGTGGCCATGTACTTGGGGTGTTTCTGACGCAGCTCCGAGGGCGATATGGCGTGGAAGGGCACATCTTGCAGAGACGGAGCGTCCTGCTCGAACACCTTGCTGTCCTGCCATTGCTTTTGGTATTTCTTCTCGCTGGCGATGAGCGTATCGCGTTTGTCCGTGTTCTCGATTTTCAACGTGCCCTTGGCCGGCTGAGTGCTGGCCTGCACGGCTGCCATTTTGATAGGTGTTCGGGTTGGCAGCGGTAGACGACGCAGCCCCCGCAGCTGCGAAGACAGGCGATGGAGAGCGAGCGACGTCGTGAGATGGGAGGAGGGAGTGGTGGGGGAAGTGGAGGGGCAGATCGAGCGGCGAGGGCGGCAGTATCTTTGTGACTCGGAGCATGCTTGCAACAAATTCCAGAGGCCGACGCGCGAGGTCGGACACAGCAACTCAGCCGAGCATCTTCAACAACACCATCTCCCAGCGATCATCTTCCCATCGCCCATGGACTGAACTCTCCCGCCATGACATCCCTCTTCGCAGGTCTCTTCAGCAAGGCTCCATCAGTGCCAGAGAATACGCCCTTCTTCCCACACTCCATCGAGGACAACCCGTATCGGTGCAAGAAAACATGGCCACCCGAATTCGCCAAGCTCTCCCAGAAGCATCAATTCCGACTCGAGCGCCGTTATAGACGCCGCGCACAGCTGAAGTGGGCACGGCCGAACTGGACGAAAGGCGTCAAGCTCGCGCAATGGGGCAGCATCGTCTTCGTTTGCGTCTACGGCGTTCTCTACCTTGATGTCGGGGATGGCAAGACCCCCTTCGATGGTGTATGCTGTCCTCTGCCCGCTGAACGTCTAGCATCAGGCTGACACATGTCTCAGATACGTCAAGCATACAAGGAGCAGTTCGGAGCTCATACTCCTGCTGCTGACAACAGCCCGCAACGGCCATCTTGAGACACAGCGAAACCTACATGCTCAATACCACTTTCCTCCTCCAGATCTGGACATCGGCCACTGCTCGGTGCCAGCCGGAGCCCCAGCACCGCTTCGTCATGAAGCGACTCAAGGTCGGGCGAGAATGAAGGTGAAGCGAGAGCCTCTCGTGTTTACCAATGTCTGCACAGCGAGGTCTGATCTCGTTGGCGCGTGATTACCACGTTCGACAATCAAGCCCGAACAAACGTGTGACCTCGCGCGCCTAATACGCATGATACACAGGAGTATCGCGACCAGAACCTGGAACAGTATGAAATGTAATACGTTGCATTAGTACGCTTTACGCGTTCCCTTCTCGAGATAGACGCGCTAGAGTTGCCCTCCCTGCGCTCGAACTATTCGTTTTGCCAATCTGAGCAGTTATCCAACTTCCGATCCTGCTCAACTCTTCGAGATCAAGCCCAGTATTCGCTCCAAGACTATGTAGGCAATATACGAGATCCTCGGTTGCTACATTACCTGTAGCTCCGGGACTGTATGGGCATCCACCGAGTCCACCGACTGCCGAATCGAAAGTCCTGACGCCGTGGTCAAGCGACACCATGGTGTTGATGAGCGCTTGTCCAAACGTGTCATGGAAATGCATCGCAATATCCTCGTTTTGTACACCCGCCTCTTTCAAAGTCTGAAGCAGCTTCTTGGTCGCAGGAGCTGTTCCCATGCCTGTGGTATCTGCTACGCTGATCTCGTCTGCTCCTAGTTCAAGAAGTGAGGCTGCCAACTCTGCCACGCGATGCGGATCTACATTGGGTCCCTCGAACGGACAGCCCAAAGCGACTGAGATATATGCACGTACGGGATAGCCCGCCTTGCTGCTCTCCGCAATCAATGGAGCGAATCGATCCAATGACTCCTGTATACTGCAATTCGTATTCTTCTTAGAGAAAGATTCGGTCGCTGCCATGAATATTGAAACTTCGTGCCTCTGGCCCCCAGTCTTTGCTTTTGACATTGCCTCCACTCCCGAGGTCGCAGATGGCATAGCGTTTGGATCTTGGCTCGACGTGTTCAAGGCAGGGCCGTCGTCGGTACTGGTCGGTGATGGTGGAGGTGTAGGATACCCGTCAGGAGCTGAGGATGAGGTATTCATCACTTTGAAGTAGTTGTCTAAGCCCTTCATGTTGGGGAGCAGCCACTGGTAGGTGACATCGCCTGGCGGTGGTGCTGACAGGATCGAGGAGAGGACTTTGTCGGACGCTGCCATCTAGGACTGTTCAATGCCTGTGCCATCCACGTAGCTAAGGACATTCGCTGCATACCTGTGGCACCCATTTTGGATGCACGAATGACCCGGCCTCGATCGTTCTTAAGCCTGTCTTCGCCAGCCTATGGACCAGTTCGATCTTGGTCTCGGGCGCAATACTAGTCTTCTCGTTCTGCAGCCCATCTCTGGGACCTACTTCAACTATTCTCACATAATCTGCCAGCGCTCGACGTGATGTTGCAAAGGTGCGTTTGGAGCTCTGGCTGCCGAGCTGTTGCGCGAGACATCGCAATGGCGTCGGAGACATGATGGAGGTTCGGCAGCAGGTGAATGGGACGAAGAGTGGCAACTGCTCGCCTACATGAATTGGGTAAGGGTGAGTTCTCGAGTTGTTTGTTATACTGCAAGCAAGACAGCTGCCGCGAGAAGCAATGAGCTGTGGCAATGGTGCATGGAGCTGGTGACAGCTCGGCACCAACACTGTGACGAGGTACTTAAGCCGAGCACCAGTGGGCGCGACATCGGGACCCCACATCAGGCTTAAAATCAGGCATCCACGTTCCCTGTGCTCTCGGTCCACGATCTGTGGTAACAGCGCCTGTCTGTGCTTAAACCGCTCGAATTGCTTTTCACGCTTGACTTGCACATGTCGACTATTGTTGACTTGCCGCCAGCTCCGTGAGCATCTCTCGCGCTGCTGCCACTGATTGAGTATCGGAGTAGAGGGCGGCAACGAGGGATGAATCTATGCGCGGGAATTCTGCTGACAACTGAGCTACATCCCGGTCTGCCTGTGACTCTGGCTTCGTATTGTTCATCTCGAATTGCTCCTGCGAGGTCATCAATATGGGAGATGCCATCGGGTGCATGGCGAATAGCTACCAGGGCTTCGCGTTGCTCGCCCCTCTGGTCCTCCGGTACGAAAGTTTCCTCATTGAAAGTGTTGCCACGCGGTGGCGGGCCTGGAGGTGGCTCGTAGCCAGACGGTCTCTGTTGTGCTTGCTGCTGCTGTTGCTGCTGCTGATTCGTGGATTGCGGCACTTGATCTGCCCACGGGTTCGTCGACGGGAAGCCGTCTTGGGGTGCGTTGTAGGCAGAGCCGTATCCTTGACCTGACGACATGTTGGCAGATGTGAGTTGTGCTTGGGTGCTGTCCAATTGGCGAAGCTATATGCCCGTGGTTGCGGCTGCCTGGTATATGTATAGTACCTTGAATACTTGCGTCAGCAGTCAGCAGATCCAGGATCGGCGCGGAAGAACCAATATTCCGCCAAAGTGTAGTGAGCAGGAGCTGGAGCTGCAGCTGCCTCCTCGACAATACAATACTGCGCTGGATCACAGGACGCCGCGCAGTACACTGAGAAGAGCAGATCTGGCAGGTGCCCAATGGCTATGAAGACGGTCTGCATCGTGGGCGCTGGTCCTTCAGGTAAGGCTGTTGGTTGGACGGCTTCGTGGCGGCGCTGAGCCTGTGAGATGTTCAGGTCTCGCCAGTGCCAAAGTCCTGCTCCAATCCAAGTCTTTTCATGTTACCATTTTCGAAAAGAAGGACAGAATAGGCGGTATTTGGGCCATTGACCGGATGTCGCCACATGAAGGCTATCTACACCCGGACACCCCTACGAATCTCTCGCGATTCACTGTTGCGTTCTCAGACCTGGATTGGAATGCCATTGGTCTTGACTCAGTGCCTATGTTTCCCAAGGCCTGGCAGGTCAATCAGTATCTCGAGGCATATCGGACGAAGAATATTCCTAGCGACTGTTTCCGTTTTCGCCATCATATCACAAAGACGGAGAAGACAGCAACAAGCTGGCGAGTGACTGCCCTTGACGGAGAAGGCCGTGAACACGTCCAGGATTTCAATTATCTGCTCATCGGCTCAGGCTTCTTCTCTCAGCCTCGACCTATCAAGGACAACGTGCCAAATGTCGCGACAGCCTTGAAGGTGAAGACCATGCACAGCTCCGAGTTTCGGACGCTTGACGATCTCTTCGCGAATCGTTCCGATGTTGCTGACCAGAAGATCTTGATGATAGGCGGGGGTAATTCTGCTGGTATGATACTTTCACCCGAGCACAGTTGCTTTACTGATCTACCACAGGCGAGGCCGCTGCTGCAGTGGCTCAGCAATTGTCCGATGCATCGTGGTCACCAGGAAAGGGCAGGAAAGAACAGTACAAATCTTGCAAGATCGTACACATCACACCCCGGCCACTTTATGCCCTGCCACCATATAATCCCACTGACACATCGAACGTCTCGTTGTTGCCGCTAGATCTGAAGCTGTACGAACTGTCTAAGCGTCCTCCTGGTCCCATTGTCGCCAACGCAGGTCAGTTAACACAAGCTGTGAAAGACATGATTCACAACGCTCTGCAGGCACAGATTGGCGGCGACCAGTCAGATTTGGGTTCCTCAGCTCTTGTGATACCGCCCTCAGAACCACGTTCTGCAGTGTACGTGGCGCTATCGGAGACGTACCCAGAATTTGTGAGGAGCGGATTGATCGAGGTCCACTCCGGGAGAGTTGTTGAGATATCGAACGCAGAAGACGGGACGTGCGTGACCCAAGTACAAGGCGCAGATGGAACTTTCACGATAGAGAATGTGGGTGCGGTGATATATGCAACAGGTTACTCGCCCATCACAGCCATCGACTTTCTTCCTCTGGATGTTTCGGAAAAGCTGCAAATCTGCCCCAGCAGCATGAGGCTTCCACTAATTCTGTCGGGTTGGCAAACCATGTCAGAAGCTATGCCAGAGATGGCGTTCATCGGGTTTTATGAAGGTGAGTAAGAAAGGAATTTCGCAGGCATGTAGTGCAACGTTGATTGATGATTAGGACCCTACTGGCCCATGATCGAAATGCAGGCGCGCTTCACTGCACAGCGTTGGCTTGCCGAACAACACGACTGCCCCGTACCTCGGTATGAGGAGCCTGCGGCGTTGCTGAAACTGAGGGAAGCGATGCGCAATCGCAGCCAATTCGTGCCGCAATACTGGTATGTGCTGTGCCTGCCTGCTCACGCGGAGTTTCACTGACAATCACCAGGTTCGGAGACTATCTCGGTTACGTCGAAGAGCTTGCTGCACATCTCCAATTGGCAAGGAACGACGGCGCATTTGCTGAACGTGAGGGACCAATATCACCTGCAAGGTACTTGTCAGCGGGTGATGATGAAGCCCAAGCAAAAGCGATTGTACAAGACCTTCACTACACATGGCTCTCTTGCACAACGCATGGCAAATATGTGGCTCGCGCTACCTTTCGAGCTCTGCAGGGCAAATGGCGACTCAATCGCAATATCGACAGCAGACTGTCGAGCTTTCCTTCGGGCGTATTGGAAGGCGAGGCTTCTTTCCATCCTCGATCACCAACCCCAGACAAAAGTGGCGAGGCATTCGACCTCGAGTATCTCTACCAAGAGACTGGGGTGCTCCGGCTCCAGATTGGTGCAGCCATGACAGCGAGACGAAGCTATGTATACCGATACTCCGAAGCGAAGGATCAGCTTAGCATCTGGTTCGTGAAACCAGAGAGCGACCTGGAGGTGGATTATCTGTTCCACAATCTGCAGTTCGCATATCCGAGTGAGGCTAAAGCTCAAGGTGCCTGCTCGGCGAGCGCGGATCATCTCTGTGTTGAAGACATGTACTGGACGAAGTACAGCTTTCCTTTCAGTGGTATCTCGTTGCGCTCTTTCACCACCACCCACACAGTCAAGGGTCCGAGCAAAGACTATACGATGGTGACTCAATTTAGCAGACCGACTCCCGCGACTGTGTCCATATAACATAGAACTGGAAGGTCGACAATCCTCAATCGAGCAGCTCGAGGCTAGTAAAAGGAAAGGAATCCAGTGTCAGCCACAGATTCGGATCGAGGGCGAAATCGCTGCTGTATGTATCCAGCGACGCAACAGGCATCGTAGCCTCGACCGACTGCAGTACTCGGTCCACATCGGCAAGGCTGTTCGGGTCTGCCATTGAACCTCCGAAGTGGCTGGTCAGAGCTGGGTTCTGCTGTGATGGGATAGATGCCGGCGGTGTTTGTCTGTGTTCAGCCACTGGGCGTTGCGCCTCTTGCTGCAATTCTTCGAGCACGATGTTGTAGCGGAGGCTGGGAGCATTGGATTTGGTTGCTTCTGCCAAATGCTGCTGAACGGACTGGGCAAGCTCGAAGAGTTGGGACTCCTTGAGTGGTGTGCTCAACGGCGGCAAGCGCCCGTGTTTGCGCTGCACAAACCAGACATAGATGATCGATATGGCATTGAATGACACAAATTGTGTGTGCCTGCAATTTCGAGATTAGTGCAAAATTTGAAAGTCTGAATTGGAGTACTAACCAGAATGCTTGGAAGATGTGCTTGGTAAACGATGTTGTTAGAACAGTGTCCAACGCCTTCTCAGCTGCCTGGAGACTTAATTGGACTTGAGCGTCTCTCAGTGTGGACCGGGATGAATCGACGAGCAAAGATGGTCGGTTAATGAGCATCTGCGCATGAGCGTGTGCAAGTGTTATCACAGTCAGCTGCCGACGAAATGTGGCAACCAAACTGGATGGGTGTATTGCGCCCGAGAGCACGGCAGGCAGCGACGATTGCCAAGCATCCACTTCAGCGTTGTATCTTGCGGCAGTTTCCAGATCATATGCACCGCGTTTCCGTTCCTTTAGATACTGTTCGCGGGCGGCTCTCTTCACGATACGCATGATCCAGGCATGCGAAATCGATGCCTGAATGATACTATCTCTTCTGTTTTGATCAAAAGTCACACCCGTCGCAGCAAGGCAACCATCGTCTATCGCCTCTGGTAGCACCTGGTCGACTTCTTCTAAATTGATGAGAGCCGGAACTCCCATGATGACCGAAAGGTAGGTGTCGAGGGTAGAACAGGCCCAGAAGGCGCGTTTGCGACACTCTCGAATAATTGCATCTGACTTGCTGTTGTCAGACCTGTGGAGACCCAGACTGAATAGCAGCTGTACTGTCGTCCCTAGCATATACCACTTGCATCGCACTTTTGGTTAGCCAGCACCTTGAGTGGAAAAAATCGATATATATGACACACTCACTGCCTGGTCTGGACATATGTTGTTAGCACTTCCTCATGTTCAACACTCAGCGAGGAATTGAGATACTGACTTGGTCGGGAGGTTTGCAACAGGTACAAACAAGAGGCAAGCCGAGCTTGAACACTCTCTAGCTTGCAACGACCCGTTTCTGATTGCAGCCTTCTCTGCGCCATCTGGTACAGATGCTCAGCTTCGTGCCAAGAAGTCTCATCAGCGTCGAGAATTTCTTTGCCGCCATCCACGTTCAACAGGCGAGCTGTAGCTATGACCACAAGTACTACAGCTTCGCGGGCGGGATATCGCTGGCCAGCGCTTCCGCCTCTGGATTCCGCATCGTGATAGGCATCCAGCCAAGTTTCAACTGTACCGCGATGTAGAAATCTTATTGTGGGCATTGAAAGATCGAAATAATGTTGGAGGAGGGTCGATGTGGACTGGTAAGACGGCAGTGTCGATGCACTATGATCCACTGCAGGTGCCGGTCTATCTCCGTGTGCAAAGATGGACATAGATGTAGACGATCCGTCGAGAGCGGGCGTCGAATTGACGCCAGCTTCATCGTCCTGGAGTCTTTGCAACGTCCGTCGCAGAAACACGTGAGGACTGATGGTGCCTGCATAGTGGCCAACGGAAGTGTTCGTCACCTCGGGAGAAGCTTGATGAGATGAACTCGGGGTGCCTAGGAAGTTCCCTGGTGGTTCGCTGTGTGTCTGACCAAAGGCGATATCCGCGTTGCCCTGCTGCTGATGCGTGGGGGTCAACGTGATATTGCTTGAACTGCTTCCGCGGTAATTAGCTGGCTGAGGAGCAACCAGTCGGCCACGAGTATATCGGGAACGATAGGTACATTGAGCTCCGTTCGCATGGCACGTATAACAAGGCAGCTCTCCAGTGCATCTTCTTTTGCGAGACTTGCAGTTGTCACACGCTAAATCCGCCGATCAGAGAGGACGCGCGGGAGCAGTCTCAAGGTGCCCATCAGGAAAGCTTACCTCGAGTGACCTTCTGCCGCTTCGTGTCTCGCGCTTCCGAAGAGCGATGCTGCTGCACCGGAGAGGCGTCACCGAACACTGTAGGAGATGCCATGGGAGCGGGTGAAGTGAAGTGAGGGCTCGGATAAAAGTCCGAAAGTATATCCGCTTCGGGAGACCTGCCGCCAATACCCTCCGTTGACATTTCCCTCCACCTCTCCACACACATCCACATGACCTGCATGCAGAATGTCACGCTTCGTAGCTGCTGGCGCTGATGGAGAGCCGACTGAACAAGATGAGAAATGGCTTGCGGCGCAGCAAGCTATCGAGGCCACACGCCGTAAGCCGAAGGTAGAGCCTGGTCAGCAAGAGGGCGGAAAATCACTCTATGAAACCCTTCAAGCCAACAAAGGTATTTTCGCGCATTCATCATCTCCCTTTCCACGCTATTGTAGTTTTGCAATCAGACTGACGAGTCAGGATGAACGGTAAGCCGCCAAGCAAGAAGCATTCGAGCAATCCATCCGCCTGGGCAACCAGTTTCAATCACTTGATGAAGACGATGTGGAATTTCTCGACTCAGTCCTCGAATCTACACGCGCACAGGAAGCTGCTGTGAAGCGTGAGACTAAGGAGCAACTGTAAGTGTGCCTTCAGGAGGGATATGATCATGCCAAGTTCTCTGGTTGCGAGAAGTGACTGGGGCTTCCCACTTCGTCTAAGAAGTGTGAGGTTCTAGATCAGGCACAGGCTAACATACTATTGCAAATTTCAGCGACGCTTTTCGGCAACGGCAACTCGAAGCCGAGCGAAGACTTGCAAAGAGTGGTAGCGTCACTAGTCCTGGGCCTGGAATTGATGCTGCAGAGCAGACAGAGTGGACCGTGGGCAGAAAACGCAAGAAAAATTACAGAGATGTCTTGGGAGGCGTCAAACTTCGGAAACAATCTTCCACCGAAGACAAGAAGCCCGTGATAGCAGAGAAACGTGCCCAAACACCGGACTCGCTGCGAAAGTCGGAGGGAAGCCCAAGAGAAGAGGATCCTGCGGGCGCTGTTGTGCCACCGAAGCCAGACGCCGAGCAGGACCGCGCACCTTCCAAAGCAGCGACCACCTCTGTGCCTTCGACTGGAGGCCTTGGCCTGGGAGCCTATTCGTCTGATGAAGACGACTGAAGATAGTTTCTGGCACAAGTCTACTTCCCTTCCCTACGCTTTGATAGGTTGATATGCTGGGCGCACATAGGAGGAGATCTTTTAGCTTGAATGGACATTTCAGCCCATGGGGACGTAGACTTCGGTTGCCGGGTAGCTGATACAGCGAAGCATTAGGCTGCGGCCTCGAAGCTTGCGGGAAAGCTTTACCGCATATCAAACCACGTTCTTTGGAGCACTCCCTTGCACGAGAGCATGGCCGGTTCAGCACCAAGCAGGGTCTTTAGCATGAGACATTATACACAAATAGCCTCTTCGTCGGCAACATGAGGTGGAGACATCTCGCATCTTTGCATGCAGGTCGCCTTAGCTCACTTGGGAGAGCGTATGTTTCCGCCATCAATCGATGCTGGTCTTTAGACAAGATATCTGACAACAGCGCAGGCCAGACTGAAGTTCACTACAGTCATCCCACTCTGTGCGGTATCTGGAGGTACTGTGGTATGTGTTCCAATGTGGTCGTTGCGTAATCAGAATGTGGGTCTAACATGAGTACTAGTTCGATCCACAGAGGCGACAAGAATTTTTTTTTGGTCTCTGGGAACACGATTGTGTGACTTTGTTTTTGGTCTTCCAGTTGCCATAGAATGGTAGAAGACCGTCCATTACTCATAAAGAGCAATATGCCCCATGTAGCCTTGTCGATGTGAATATTGTTCATACATGTATGCAGTGAGGCGCGTTGGAGAGATGGTGTTGGAGAATTGGGGAACTGGCGTCGGACCCGAAACCGTGCGCCACATCCAGATCCACATCCGACGTGATGTTGGCAAGCTGCGATCCTTCATTGTCTGCCGGACGTCTTTCTCCCCGTCACTCATGGCTGCTGCTGCTGCATCGCCCGACCCCTCAATCGCGGCCTTGTCCCTCGGCGGAAGCACGGTGGTCGCCGCGCCCACGCCCACCGCCAGCGACGGCGCCGAGTTCCGCTTTCCCAGCTATGCTTCGTTCCCGCCCTTCTACACCCTCCAGCCCAACCTGACGACACGCGCGCGTCAGCTCGAGCTGTGGTCTAGCCTCGTCACGTCGTACTGTGCACACCACCGCCTGTTCCGCCTGGCCATCTCCTCACCGCCGCCCGACCTGTTCGCCAACACCGCCCTCCCGCGTAGTCTCAAGCCGGCCGATGTGCGCGCGGTGCTCGATTATATGAGCCAGCCCGCCAACGGGCCCCGGGCTGAGTGGATTGCACCTACCGCGCGCGGAGAGACAAGTAGCGTCTGTTATATATACTGGAAGACGCCCGCCGAGTGGGCTGACCTGCTCTACGCCTTTGTTGAGGACACAGGCCAGAAGGGCGCCGTGCTGACCATCTACGAGCTACGCGAAGGTGATGCCAGCCGTGGGAAAGAGTGGAGTGACATCGACGAGGCTGTGCTGCGAAAGGCGCTGAACGTGCTCGCGAAGCGCGGCAAGGCACAAATATTTGGTCAAGAGGACAGCGCCGGCGTCAAATTCTTCTGAGACGTCACCAACACATGGCCACTCTTCCGGTGCGTGGTGTGGTGCCGGCGTCTCCGTCTCCCCATGCTGGGAAGCGTCGCAGTAGGAAATCGACTGTTGGAGAGACAGAAAAGCCTCAGACCAAGCGTCCTCGACCTCGGAGCGCCCCAGCCACAAGCCCGCGTCGCCGCAGTATGAACACCTCGCCTGCAGAACCAAGCAAACTCCGCGTGAACCTCTATGATGCCGTTGCCGGCAGGGTAGGTTACGAAGGTCTCCTGCTCGATCGAGCTGGTCAGCCACTGCCACCTGATCAAGTCCTCTACAATCGAGCTGGAGCGCCGATTCGCTACGCAGAGACTGATCCCTACTTCGCGCACCGGCATCTACCTACAGACCGACGCCTTCCAGAGTCTGATATGCTCAAAGCTATTCACGCCTATGCCTCGGACTTCTACGCATCTGGAGTCCTGGGCGATTGTCGAGCTGACTTCAAGAGCTTGGACGAGACAGCGCTCATCGCTCTAGGGATCCTGCTCGAGGAAGCCGCCGCACAGTCGCTCGAGCAGACTGGTGACTTGGCATTCGTGGAAGGCCTGGAACGACAAGAGGGGCTGTGATCATGTGTGGCGATCCACAAGTTCCCTGATGGGAAACAGCAGCTCAGATCCTCATGTATCGGGTCCGAGAATCATCACGGTGCAGACCGCCATCCCGTGACAGCGTGCAGAGAACAGTAATCAGTCCATTCTATTTAGTCTGTACGCGAATACGTAGACCATGGACATTAATTAGCTTTAGCGATTTAGAGACGCTTTGAATCGATGAGCAATTTGCAGAACCTCCTGTCGAATTTTGGATGCACCCACTTTGCAATAGAAGCAGATGATACGGGTGCATGTCTGCAGTGGACGAAAGTCAATGCCCGAATTATTTCCGATCTGTTCCCACCAGGTGCTTGATGGGCGTCTGATCAACAAGTTCAAGGTGACAAAGGTGAACGTTATTCCGTTATGCAGGCCACGCCGGCCGGGACACAAGAGCTGTGTTCGATAGTACTGTTATGATTGGCAGCAAGCTGTATCAAAGAGATCCTGTCCATATGCTCTCGCAAGGGTGCAACCGAGTTGTGGGAGCAGTAACACGCAAGGTCAGATCGCAGTCGATGAGCGGCAGTGGAGGGAGCAATGGTGTGGCCATGACCTTTGGGCTATCGCCATTCTCACGGGCGGGGAATAGTACAATGGACATGAAGGAATTGGAAGAACTGGGGCTCTTTTGGCTGTTCTACCAGTTAAGGCGAACAGCGCTAAACTATCAACGAAGATAGATACACCCTCAGAGTAGCCTTCCAAGCTCTAGATCGGCTATGACACAGACTGAGCATTACCTTACGAGAAGGAATGCGTCTAGTACAGGCGCTTTGGTGGGGACATGCTGGCCTTGATGACCAAGCTGCCCACGTTCTGCCAGCCCTTCTTCAGCAGAGAGACGAGGTAGTTGATGGCCAACATGATGTTGCCGATCAGCTCGTCCTCGGTCATGTCCACGTTGCCGACAGCGACACCCATGCACAACACCTTCTTCAGTTGGAACTTGATGGTCGACTTGACCTCGTTGATCTTTCCGGAAAGGTCATCGGCGTGAGAGACTGGGGTTGGGAACTTGCCGGCTGTACAAAGTGTCAGTGCGTTCCAGAGTACGTAATATCGTGGTGGTGCTTACCCTTGGAGAGACCTGGACCCAACAGACGAGGAATCTGCTTGATGAGGGAGTCGGAAGCGATGAAGGCATCGTACTTGCGAGCGAGCTTCTTGATCAACTTCTTGTTCTTGTTGAGCTTCTTGAGATCCTCTACGGACATGGCGTCGACACCTCCGTGCTTGGCACGATCGATATCGTGCTGGTCACCGAGAATGCTGCAGAATAGTTAGCGCCATGCCCCAAACGCACGCAATTGCGAAACAGTCGGGCCATACCAGATGCTCATGTTTGGGCGTGGGATCTTTGGCAGCTTGATGGTGCCGCTGAAACGCTTGTCACGCTGTGGGTCATAGTTCTTGAGGCCGATCTGGAGCTCGACGGTCTCGAGGAAGTTGCGCTTCTTCTCCTCATTGGAGTACTTGAGCAGCTCTTGCACGTTGGTACGCACACCAGCGACCGTAATCTTCGACATGATTGCTGTGGTCTTCCAATAACGCTCCGAGAGTGGTTATTGGTGCGGCTTCGCGTATCTTCGTGGTCGTTACTGATATGGCGGGGTGCTTGAAGCAGAGAGAAAACTGTGAGATGATGTGGCGACGGGAATTGTAGGTGTGAGCCAAGAGTTTGCTCCACACTCGGCGCGTGCCGATCCAATCAACCGCACGTGACCCTGCATCTGCATGTCTTGGGTGCCTACTGCACATGGCCGACAGACTCAGAGAATGTGCAACACAGTAGATCATTTTTCGCGGGCAGCATGACGAGCTCAGTGGTGCTCAAAAAGGACCGGCGACCTCGCCGGTTCCTGCCTACTCTGCTCATCCTTCGCTCCGGGCACTTGACATTCCTATGGAGCAGTTAAGCAACCGCGATACAGCACCCTCGAATGCTCAAGAATACTACTCGTCGATCGCGGACGTCGACGTCCATCACGCATTTCGCTGCCTTGACGATGCACAAAATCTGGACGACCTCTTGGAAGACGCTCGTTCCACAGACAGTCGCAACTTTGTCGTCGACTTCAGCGATGACACAGCCTGGGCTACTTTTGACCTGGCTCCCAAAGGCATCGCTGCACTAATAGATACCGAGAGGCCGGACTGTCTCAATACGAGATGGATCAACGTGTGGCATCCTTTTGAGCAGACGAAAATGCTTGAAGCATTAGCTCAACGATATGACTTCTCGCCTCGTCTTCTCGGATTAATGTGCTCAGATCCTAAACAACCTCGCAAGCCCACACTGTCCCCAAGCTTGAAACAGTCAGTGCATAAGAGAGGGCCAAGGAAACGCAAGGCTGTGTCTTTTGAGACAAGTGTGTCGTACGAAGAAGCAGACGAGCTCTCGATCCATTCATCCACATCTTCCATGAGCAGCGCCATGAGTGGCAACCACTACAAGATCGCCTCGGAACTGTGGCATTACACATCAGTTGACATGGGTCGCAACTACCTGTGCGTGGGCTACAACTCCCTATATGGCACGAAGCCAGCAGATCGCAGCACCGATTCGCAATCCAACAGCGACAATCTCCCACACTGCACGCGTGTGTGGACTTGGCTGGTTGTTACCTCTGACAACACCATCATCACCGTGCATGAGGATCCTTTCCCGCTTGTGCAAGGTCCATACTCTCCGTTGGAGAGACGTATACTGGCCGAGCTTCGTCGGAACCTCATCAGCGTGTTTCGCTCACTGAGCACAGTCCATGCCGATTCCTTACTTGAACGCAATCCTTTAACTCTGCTGCCGCTTCGAAACCGCTTCGGCACGACCCCAGAAGAAACAGCTCATCGCAGCTCAGATGCGCCGGGACTATTGTTCTACGTAAGCAGTATGATGGCGATCAGACGGCCGATCAAGCTGACATGTAAACAGTACCTGTTTGAGAATTGGAGCAACTCTTTCACATTGGTCACACGAAAAGACAGTCGCTATGGAATTGAACTTGCTGCGCTGCGTGCTGCAATGTTTGAGCAGCCTACACTAGAGCATATCGACCGCCTTGACACGATTGGGAAGGAGCTCGGCGTGCTTCGTCGGCACTACGAGGCATACATCCGAATTATCGACCGACTTCTCGAGCCACAAGGTCCAACGATGGCCAGCCTACAAAACAGTCAAATCGTTGGCTCTGACGACAGCGCCTCTGTGTCGACCATCAGACCCCGGGTCAATGGCCCAGTGGTGCGCGAGAAGGAAAGCATATTGGGAGTCAGCCTGTCCTCGGCAGCACGAATCAGATTTCGACGCTTCCGAGATCAAATCGATCTCTATGCACTCAAAGAGGTGGAGGAGTACAGCAAGCAAAAAGAGAGCCTTGTTTCTCTGGCAAGTACATTCCTGCTCACATTCCCCGAACGTCAAGAGGAGGCTGAGCTGATACCTTATGGAATGATAGAACTTTAGTTTGATCGCCATCAAGCAGTCAATCGACGTAGATAGACTCACTCGAATCGGACTGTTGCTCACGAAAGCGGCCACTCTCTTTTTGCCAGTGTCATTGTAAGTACTCTCCTTCATGTATGCGAGGAATGGAAGCTGATTCATCATAGCATGGCGGGCTATTTCTCTATGCCTCTGGACAACATTCAATATAGCGTCCGCACGTTCTGGATTTCGTTTGCGGTGGTTCTCAGCCTCTCATATCTCGCGCTCTTCGCATTTGGAGTGATGAACGGCAATCTGCAAACGCCAAATCTAGTCTACGGTGTGGCGGATGGCATGTGGAAGAGTGTCGGGTATAGTTGGTCGGCAGTCGTAGCCATTAAGAGAAAGGTCAAAAAGAGGCGGTCGTGAGCAGGTGTGCGTAGCGCTAGGAGCCACGTACGGTAACTGTGGATTGTAATGCAGCGTCTATACACCATTAAACGCTGTTTGCTCTGATCGCTCGAAAAATAGCCCCGCAATACTCTCGTATGGCTCGTCCACTGGACATTGCATACAGCAGCCGCTCTGTGACCTCATTGCTGAACACGATGCTCATGAGATCATGTTGTCGCTTTTGCCCACTCTTAACGGCTCGCATGGGTGACACCGACTTGGGCATGAAGCGCGCCATATTCCGTAGTACCAACGCCGCCCGCAATGATAAAGATGTGGCATCCCCCTTCTCGTCTTCCAGCATGGCAATCCTGGTGATCTCTCCGTTCCGCGGTGCCACGTCGCTATCTGGTCGCAAGTTGTGCTTGGAGCGAGCAGCATCTGTCTCTGGCAAATGCGTTTCGATGTGCCTTGCTAGGAGAAAGGGTTTGGAAATTTGTGCGCCTTCGGGCGTCGCCGCGGTGTGCTCGCAGTCCGACCATTTGCATTTCGACGAGATTTTGTCGCTGTCGCTGAAATCGAACTTCGCCTTCCATGACTTTTCAGTGACACCATTACTCAGGCCATTAGCGGTTGCTGGTGGCGACAGCGCAGATGTTGAGTCTATCTCCATCTTGTCTGCATCCACAGCCGCGCTTTTCGTCGGTATTTGCAGGTGCTGGGTCAGGATATGCTCAAGGATTTCCTCTCCTGTGCGGAACCACTCGGCGCATTCGACTTCCCGTGTCGTTGGACCCGAAACAAGTCCAGTGATTGCATCCCGTGCTCCTTCAACGGGATATGTGACATGCCAATGGCAGCGGATCAGCTCTTTGTCCTTATCCGCAGCGTTTGAGCCGGCGAGCATCCCAGTGTCGACCGGAGCGGCCCTCGACCGGATACCTTTGATCACGTATTTGTTGGCTGCCGCAACCTGAGCTGTTGCACCCTGGAAAGTGCTGCTGACGTTCTTAATGAAGTCTCCAGCAATCAGATGAGGGTGTGTTGCTTGGTGTGGCGCGAAGGTGCCCTGATATGCTTGCCACAGAGAGATCTGCGTCATATCCGCGGTCGGGTCGGACACGAAACACATGCGCAGCCATTCAGACGATCGTTCAGGCTCATCGAGTTTCAGCAGGTCCTGGACGATCGCTCTCGATAGACGTGGAACAGGCGGAATGGTCTCTTTGGCCTCGCGTGGCTTCGTGGGCCGGGACTCCGTGTATTCCTTGGCCGTGTACAGGACCAGGCGACTCAGAACTCGGCCCAGTGCCTCCGCGTCCACTGCAGAGACGAGACTCTCCACGTTGTCTGCGAATGATGTGTACTGGCCTAGGAAATCCAAACATGCAGATCGTAGCTCTTCGTCTTCCACCAATAGATAATCATGTACGCGATGTAATAAAGACACAGGAACATCATCCAGTCGTTTCGGCAGCGGATGGGTCATGGCTATCCTGCTTACGGCTCGTAGCGCGGTAGTGATGGCTCCTCGGTCCGGAGAGAGGGCATGCTGTATGAGGCCTTGATACACTGCATCGTGGGGACTGATGTCGACATATTTCACCACTTGCTCGCACAAATCGAGGATGTGATGTCGAAGCTCGACCAAGCTTGGATGTTCCGGCAGGTTGAGCACAACTGCGATCAAATCTTGGACGAGCGGGAGTCGCGAGAGATATGCTGCATTCTCGTCTTGGAGGCTCATGTTGCGTAGGACGAGACCCGCTTCAGTGACTCGATTCAGTCGCGTGAGGAAATTCGAATCCAGAGTGGAGTCTTCCGAGATGATTGGAATCCTGGATCTCAGCTTCTGCAGAATGTCTGGCGTCCCGTCCAAGCCGTTGAGGGTCTCGTCATCTCCTGCAAAAAACTCCTCGTCGTACATTACATCCCAATCGATGTCGTAGAACAGGCTCGTCACTTGCAAGGTCTTCTTGATCAGAGCATCGGCAAGACCAGGGAATTGGTCAAAGCGGTACTTATCACCCCGCTCATGACTGATCTTAACAAGGTGATGCAGAGCGTACTGCTCCTCTTCTGGCAAGCCACTCTGCAAAGCAAGCTGGGCTCGCACGTAGATGTTAGGTCCAATGAAGCCTGTGCCCGGGAGCATGATATTCTTATACTTCTTTGCGAGAGGCCCAGCTTCACTCTCGAGCTTGCGCTTCCGCTCATTGCGGTACCAATCAGGCTGGCTAGCGGGAGTCGCGACGGCCTTCAGGGAGAGCGGATATGCTTGCGGGGGTTCGTAAGATGCCAGAGTCGAAGAAGTGCCGTTGGCGAGCGACGATGAATGGGTCATGCCGTGCACCGAAGCACCCGGGGTGGGAGAAGCTCCAGGAGGATGGGCTTGCCCACGTGTCTGGCGTGTTGGAGGGGCATCGGGCTGAAAAAGGACGCGTTGCGGAGGCTGCTGTCTCAGGCCCCTAGTCGATCGTCCTGTCGCGCTGCCCGGCTCGTCAGCGAGCTCGGATTTGACGTCCTTGGGAGTGCGCTGCTCCGGACTGCCTTCGCTGCCCTCGCCGTTCTGCATGCCCTCTCCGTCGCGACCTTTTGGACGCTCGTAATTCTCCAACGTCCGAGTCATGACGTTGCCGCCTTTCGCCGTGACGTCCTCCAGAATCTCCTTGGGCGGTGGCTCCTTGCCCCAATGTGTGCTGATCTCGTACGCGCAAAGATTCTTGTAGTACACGTTCTTAATCTGAAAAGCCTGCGCGGCAGTGTACTGATTCTTGCCGATGAATTCCTCTGCCAGCCGCCGCCACATCAATGGCTTTGCTTTCGTATCTGAGCAAAGGTCATAGCCACCCTCCTCGACAACGCGTGTGTAAAGTTTGAAGAGGTCGACGTGTCGCACGCCAATTTTCGGTTCGGCCTCGAGTGTGGTTCTGGCAGCGAATGCGCATTAGTGAACGTCGTGGTGTGGGTGTGACGAGGGTATGCGAACGTACCCGCGCTGCTGATGATACTCTTCCAACTTGCGCATGAAGTCCTCGCGCTCGTCGGTGCGCTCGATGCTCAGTCCCCTTTTGGGCGCCATGGCGGGCGGTGATTGGCAGGCGCAATCAGCACACACCGCGCTCGACCAAGTCACTGGACGCGCAAACAGCGACGGTGCATGCAGCAAGGGCGTTTGAACGACGATGCGCTCTCTCGACACGACCGACCCCAGTGGACGAGACGAGGCGCCAGAACGCGCACAGTTGCCAGGATCGGCGACAGCTCCGCGCCGCGGCGCCTCCCGCGCTCGCTTGTCGATCTCTCCTGCCTGCTCTACGACACGCGCGCACGAGACGAGTGCTCGAGGTAGGAGCAGTAGGACGCGCGTGAGGAAAGAACCATGCATCGCTCCAACGTGGATGATGTCTGCGCTCGGTGCGCCGAGACCTTGCGCTGTTCACTACTCTTCGAGGACGAACACCACAGAATTACACACAACGCTCTACACCTACCATCAAGATGAGCACGGCGACCATTGATCTGTGTCTACCGCTGGCCAAGTATTCCTACGCAGAGAGTGAGACGGTCCACAGCTCAGTTCAATGGACACACTACAGCGCAGCAGGCCTGTGTCTGCTAGTGCAAGGCACTGCGGGCGGTCATGGCGAGCTCTCGTTGCACATCGTAGAGCGAACTACCGTCATGGTGCGGGCCCCTCAGATTCGGGCGGAGCGTCTGTTCTACATTGTGTGCACCACTGACTGGCATACCAGGAGAGTTTGGACATTGCGCGCTACGTCGACCGCGCCAGCGACATGCGGCATTATGCTCGACAAGCCGGTTCCGTCCTGAGGACCGATCAGTTGCCCATCTTCGCTATCGCTAAGCAGCCTAATGTCGCCTTGCGGCTCCAATTGCAGACTGGCAGGGTGCGTAGATCCGACCTATGCTCGAGGAAATATCACTCACGCGAAGCTAGACTCGACGCATACAGCTCGGACTGTCGAGTGCGGTGCACCATCAGCAGGTCGTTGAAGCACTCAGCCATCGAGGCGTCGAGTTTCAGGAGGCACGTCCCGCAACCAGTGCTCAGAATGCCGCTTCAGCGATCCGTCCAGTGGCAAGGAATAATCATCGAGATATCCCACTGCAAGCCCCAGCTGCGGCGAATCACCAACAACCCACGCCGAGTCCTTTCCATCCTCCAAGCGTGCGCATTGGCAGCCTGGGCCAGCATCCACAACAAGCGTCAGCTGGGCACAGGGAGGCACGAATGGTGGCTCCACGATTGATTAGACCCTTATCGGCTGCGAATCATGGTACTGCTGGGAGCACAATAACATCGCGGCCTCTCTCAGTGGCGGCAATGAATCCTGTTCCCGCCACTCGGGATGGAAGGGAGCGAAGCAGGAGTCCCGAACGTGTTACCGCTTCTTCATCTTCTGGCGCCTCTCAGCCTGGAGTATCGTCGCTGCGGCCAGGTTTAGGTCATTCTTCGTGTCCTACATCAGCTCCCCTCGCCCAAGGAAGTGACCAGTCACCACCTTCTACCTCTCATGAAATGACACACGGCGCAACACGAAGCAGCTCACGCCCAAGCTCTGCACTAGACTTGCCACCACTACGGATGCCTAGGCTAGTAGAATCACGGCCAAACACGGCAGCGAACATTGCAACATCAGACACAACAGCTCGACCAAGCATGGATCGTTCCAATGTCTACTCTGAACAATCTGTCGCCAAAGACGCCACTTTGGTGGCACCGAAGCTCGCAGGCGGCATGTCAGACATCCAGTTCCGATCGCCCCTGCCGCCCGCCAACCACAACCACAAAAGCCAGCCCACACCCGCCGAGACAAGCCTCAACGTTCATGCTAGCAAAGGCATTGCCCGTCTGAGCAGTCTGATGGATGCGCCTCACGAGATCGAGGAACCTCTGGAATCATCGGTCGTGCCGCAGCATGCAGAATTGCCTGTAGTCCGTGCAAGTGGGCAACCGCGGGGTCAAGAACTCTCCCTGGCCACGTACGAGGCACAGTGCGTGCAAGATCGACAAGCCGCTCTCGACCAATTCATGATGGACGTTCTCGATGATCCCAAGTTCGAAACGCTTTGTGCAGACGTGGAGAATTGCTGGCGCAGGAGCATTCTGGGTCTTTAGTGTTGCATGGAACTTCCGAGTACGTTCACTTCTGATGTATCTCGACGAGGAAATCTTGCTGCACACTTTCTTGATCTGTTCGACGTGTAGGGAGGAACTATAGCTCATGTTCATAGACTGTGAAGCCATGCTTTCTCTTCCTCTTTTCAATTTTCGCTCTCGTCGGAGATGCTTGGCGACGGCAGCTCGGCGACCACTACATTGATCTCAGGACGAGACATTCCAATCGCGCCGCCTGGATGATTTTTCAAAAACACCTCACTGGTGTTGCCTTGATGTAAAGCCTCTGCTACTGTCAATGCCAGCATGTCGCTAATGGCGAGTGCCACTGTCGTGGAGGTCGTAGGTGCTTTCACGCCGAAAGACGCTTCCTCACTTTCGTGAATCGGGGCCGGAAGTAGAATCCCATTCTCGATGCCCTCCAGCAGCTGGCAGTCTCGTGGGTGTCGCTGGGCACTCATCGCCATGACTTGAACTTCCGGGGATATATGTGGCAGAACATTCAGCAATTCTATTGTCTTTCCGCTGAACGATACGAAGAGAAGGACGTCGTTGTCTCGCACATCTCCGATATCGCCGTGGACGGCTTCACAAGCGTGAAGAAAGCTGGCGCGGATTCCCAAACTTTTGCAGGTGGCCACCAGCTTTTGTGCGATGAATCCGCTCTTTCCCACACCACAGACAACCAGTTTGCCCTGACTGGACTGCGACTGGATGATCGCCTGCTGGGCTGCCGACAGGCCGTGCTGAGCGACCTTGTCGGTCGAGTACAGAGCCGCAACGCGGGCAAGGGCCTCGGCTTCCACTCTTAACACGTTGACTGCGCGCTCGAGCACAAAGGAGCGGTCCTCTGTGCTGCTCAGATGCTCTTCGCGCACCGGTGATGGCGGTGTCAACGGTGTCGAAAGCCGTCGACGCTTGCACGGCCTCGAGAGATCCATGGAATTGTAATTCGGAGGAGAAAACACGCGTATCGACGCGACGTGGGACCTTGAGGATAAGATTGACAACAAGACAATGCAGGACAGAACAGATCTCAGAACAAAGAACAGTTGTGCTGAATAGATGTTATCTCGCCCGGTGACAAATCGTAGTATTAAGTCATGGAAATCATCCCGCAGGCTGGGTCGTAGTAATAACTCCCCGCGACGAACGGAGCGGCCGTACGCTTAAAATCAGGCAGTCAAACAAACGCCCGATCAGCATGTGAAAACGTGCTCGTCATAGATTAGGTGCAAGGACTTGGAGCCACACCTAAAATGGACTGTAATCGGGGATTTGCTGAACAATCCAGTTCCCGGGTACAAAAGATTTCGAGCTCCCGAGCTAAAGCAGGAGCTCTTGCGTGACGACCGCTGCGCTGCATGTACCTGCCGAGTGTTGAGCGCATTAGTGGGAATAGCTCTCAAGTTAGCCCCGGCTAGGTTCATGTCGAACTCTGTCCTATTTTGGAGCTACAAAACCGTGCACGCAGCGTTCGATCGAAGTTGCATAACTTGACACATTACGCGGGGCTGCATTTGCAGGCTGACCACGACTTAGTCAGTTGGTAGAGATAACGTGAACAGCATGGTATGTTGCTTGTAGCAAGTCAGCCTGTCCCATCAGTGTCACTACAAAACGTTTTTGGGATTCGATGATGCGTTCAGTTTGGCGAGCTGATGGTGTTCACGCCACTGGGCGTCTACAACGGCTTCACGCCCTTGTGGATTGCAGCGATGCCTAGGCTGAGATCCTCCCATCCTGATTCTGTGATGGTGCCGTCACTCTTTTGTCCTGGGATCAAGAACCCAGCGTCCTGTATCATCGTAGCCCATTCGCGCTGCGAGGGAAAGCGCTCAATGCTCTCCACCAGATACTGATAACTGTCCCTATCAGCAGCAACAACCTGCCCAATCAGCGGGATCGCGCTAAATGACCACCTCTTGTATATCCCGTTGAGCAATGGGTTGGCCAGCTGTGGTGCAAATTCCAGACATGCGAAAACGCCGCCAGGCTTCAAGACACGGAACGCTTCTTTCAGCGCCTTGTCTTTGTGCGTGAAATTGCGAATCCCAAATGCCACAGTGTACAGGTCTATGCTATTGCTCTCCACCGTGTGTAGGTCCTCTGCATTCGCCTCCAGATAATCGACTCGACCCGCTGCGTGATACGGCGTGGTAGATAGGCGCTTACGGCCTTCGTTCAGCATGTCCGGGTTGATGTCTGATATCGTGACATGGGTCGCATGATCGTGGTTGACATTCGTCGCGTGATCGAGCATGCGAATTGCTATGTCACCGCTGCCGCCCGCGATGTCCAGGATCTTCTGCCCTTGGCCCTTCTCATGTAGCGATGCGTATCGAACACCCGGGTTCAGACCACGAACAAAGTTATCCTTCCACACTCGATGTATGCCTAAGGACATAAGGTCGTTCATGGTATCATAGTTGCTCGCCACGGAGGAGAAGACGGCGCCGACTACGAAAATGCATTAGCTTGGGGACAGTCTGCTCGAGAGGGTCGATATTGTCCACCTTGAGAAGCCTTGAGAGACTCGGCGACCGTCTCAAAGCCAAAATGCGTCGTCTTGCCATTGGAGCTGGACGACTCCGGCGGCGGTGGCTGTTGAAGGCGGGTTGATGAGGCAAAGGCACGCCGACATGATGTGCACACGGTAGCGGAAGTGGTGGTGGAAAGGCTCAAGCGCAGCCGCTTCGCCGCTCGAGGAGCACTGACAGACATGATGGCGATGGGCAATCCAGCAAGAGACAGACTGGCGTACGGCGTGCTGGCCAGCAGCAGCATCCCCGAGCCGCCTCATCGCCATGTGCAGCATCGGAGGCTTGGCAGCCGCGGCCGCGGAGATGGTTGGTGCCTTACTTACTGCCTGACAATGGCTGAGGGTCAAGACATGCGGCTTTCACTGAACTCTGGTGCAAGGGCCGACGGTAGCCGTAGGCACAATGGGATCGTACACAACATGCCATATTCCCAGCACTGTCCTGAACGTCCGCGTTGTAGTCACGTATCAACATGAAGCGCTGTCTGCCTCTTGCAGGGCGCCATACTTGCCAACGACAAGCATCGCGACTTCGCGTTGCGTCGCCCTACACTCCAGCCTGTAGACCACCGCCACCATCCCCACAATCGCAACAGCAGCGATGGAGTTCCGTATCGCAGAAGCCGGGGTCTGATCGGTATGCCCACGAGGAGTTGGTGCGATTCCACTGCTAATTCGAACACAGAGTGCACTTTCCAGGAGCCGTCAACTCCAGATTCACCACTTCATTGGACTTTGCTCGCGCTACCGAGGACGATGCCATGCCAACATTCCGCATCCTGGACCAGGAAGGCCGCGTGCTGGACAAGTCTCAGGAGCTAGACATCAGTGACGAAGAAGTGATTCGATTGTACACCGACATGGTCAGCGTGTCGATTATGGATCTCATCATGTTCGATGCTCAGCGCCAAGGCCGGATCAGCTTCTACATGGTGTCGGCGGGCGAGGAGGGTATAGCGGTAGGGAGTGCCAACGCCCTACATCCCAATGATCCCATCTTTGCACAGTACAGAGAGACTGGCATTTTTCAACATCGCGGCTTTACCTTCGACGACTTCATGGCACAGCTTTTCGCCACAAAGGACGATGCTGGCCTAGGGCGAAATATGCCCGTGCATTATGGTAGCACCAAGTATAAAATCCACACGATCAGCAGTCCTCTCGCCACACAAATTCCTCATGCTTCCGGTGCCGCGTATGCGGTCAAGATGCAGAATCAACAGAATCCCAAGGATGACCCTCGTGTAGTGGCATGCTATTTTGGAGAGGGAGCGGCCTCAGAGGGCGATTTCCACGCCGCTTTGAACATCGCGGCAACGAGAGCCTGCCCTGTCTTGTTCATTTGCCGCAATAATGGATACGCCATCAGTACTCCGACGCTGGAGCAGTACCGAGGTGATGGTATAGCGTCGCGAGGTGTGGGTTACGGCATTGATACCATCCGAGTCGATGGAAATGACATCTTCGCCGTTCGAAAGGTAACGCAAATGGCCCGTGAGCTGGCGCTTCAAGATGGTGGCAGGCCAGTCTTGATAGAAGCAATGAGCTACCGAGTTTCACATCACAGCACTTCGGATGACTCCTTTGCTTATCGCGCAAAAGTGGAAGTGGAGGATTGGAAGCGACGAGACAATCCGATCACCCGGCTGCGAAAGTGGATGGAAGGTAAAGGCATCTGGGACGAGGAGAAAGAGAAAGAGTTGCGTACCGCAACGAGGAAAAATGTTTTGACCGCCTATCGCAAAGCAGAAAAGGAGAAGAAGCCTGCACTTGGCTCACTTCTCAGCGATGTGTATGCGGAGCCCACAGCGGAATTGAAGGAACAGGCGGCATCGTTGAAGCGAGTGATTGAAAAGTACCCCAACGAGTATGATGTGTCTGAGTACGACGGCGGCCTTGAAGGCTTGAAATTAGAGCGGACAAAATAATCAGAGATCATCAAAGCCAAGCTGGCCAACAGTGCCCAAGAAACCTCCTGTACCCGTCTGCTCAGCATCCTGTTGATGAAGTAATGCGTCCACGTCGACGTTTCCCGATGTCAAATACTTTTCACTCACGCCGACATTGACTCGTTGCTTGAGAAGAGCTTTCAATTCCGCCTTCATAGCACCCATCTCGGCTCTTGACATTTGCGATGCTTCCTTTTCCTTCTTCTTGCGCCCAGCTCCACGACCGTGTCGACCAGGAGCTTCCCTTTCGAGCTCCTCACTGTCGTAGTCCACGCCAAGATCTTCAGCCGCCTCACGCATGAAGTCGTCTTCCTTGTGCGCTTTCTCCTTCGCTATCGTCGCATCGGCGATCTTCTTCGCAAGAGTCAGTCTATCCTTCAAGCGAGACACAATCCGGCGATCGATGTCGAGTGTGCGAATGTAGTATCCTTGCTTCGCTGCATCCGATCCATTCTTCTCAGCAGCAATAGCTGAATGCGCATGGACTTTGGCAATCAGCCTTCGCACACCTGCGACTTCCTCGGGGCCACAGATGAGCACTGATGAGCCTTGCTGGCCAGCACGAGCTGTTCTTCCCGATCGGTGGACGTATGTGTCTGCTGCGCGCGGCAGGTGGTAGTGAACGACCAGATCAATGCTTGGAATATCTAATCCGCGTGCAGCGACATCTGTCGCAATCAGAATTGCGGGAGAGGTCCTACCCGCAGCGTTCTTGCCACTGAAGCGTTCGACAGAGCGCAATCGAGCCTTTTGTGCCATGCCAGAATGTAGCGCTATGGCGTTGAGGTTTAGATTCTGTAGCAGCGGCGTTATGCGACGGACTGCACTGATGGAGTTTGTGAAGACGATTGTGCGTTGCGTTGAGTACAACAGGAGCAGAGCGTAAAGATAGAGATCCTTCTCGGTGCCAGAGCATTCGATCAAGCCCTCCTTTAGACCTGTAGCCAGCTGATTGACGGGGTTCATGTCGATGAACTTGGGCGCTTCTTCTCGGAAGTTGAGTTTCGAGAGCAGATATTCCATAGACTGTGCGTTGCTTAGAAGGCTGTCATTGTGACTGACCTTGCCAACGAGCTTTCTCTGTAAGGCACGATCAAATGTTGCAGAGAAAACGAGGGTTTGGCGCTGCACAGCCTTCTTCGTGCTCGGCTTCGTCTTCACTGCCGTAGCTTCGTCTGTTTCGTCTTCTTCGTCTCGATCTTCCTCGCGATCAAGAGTGTTCAGAATCTCCTCGACCTCTTTGAAATGGCCCTCGCTGAGCAGTCTGTCCGCTTCATCGATGACCAAGAAGTCGATTTTCTGCAAGGCTGCGGCAACTCCTTGACCGTCGCTGATTACCTCCCACAGGCGTCCAGGAGTACCGATTACCACATGTGCATCTTTGAGCAATCGTTGCTGCTTATGCACCGATAGACCTCCCGTCAATGTGGCAAGGCGCGGTTTGTCGCTCGATAGGCCATCAAAGAGAGCGCTGAGGTGGTTATTGAGCTGATGTGCCAGTTCTCGAGTTGGTGAGAGAATCAATGCTAGAGGTGTTGAACTGCCCCTATTCGACTTGCGTTGCTGAGCTGTCTCGAGAAATCTCTCCAAGATTGGGATGCCAAAGGCCAGCGTCTTTCCCGACCCCGTTGAAGCTTTTCCAACTACGTCGTGGCCCGCGAGGATCTCTGGGATAACACCTTCTTGAATGGCGGTGGGTTTTCCGAAGCCCAACTTTGATAGCGAGGCCATAGTGTCTGGGGACAATTTCAGCTTTCTCCATTGCGACACATCTGTCGTTGCCTCTTCTCCGTCTTCGGGCAGACTCGCGAATGTAGCACTTATGGCAGAATCAGCAACCGGTGCTGGCGTCACTTTGCTCTTAGGCGCCGCCTTTTTCGTTGCCTTGGCAGCAGGCGCCTTTGCTTCGGTCTTGGCAGCAGGCTGCTCTTCATCTTCGAAGCCAGCCCAGGATTCCGCACCATCGCTATCGTCGTTCCCATGCTCTGAATCCGCGTTGGCCGTAGATAGGAAAGCCAGTGTGCCGGTGGTCCCGTCTCTAGTGACCTCGACATCTTCGATTTCTTCGAGGCCAAAAAATCCTTCGTAGTCGTCCATGCGATCCGGAAGTGACACGGGCTTCCATTTTAGGGAGTCCAGAGTGACCTTTCGTTTTGTTGCGGCTGCAGGTTTCTTCTGAATTTGCGACGTGGCGGCCTTGTCCTCGGTAGAAAGCTTCTGTCTTTTTCGCGCCTTCATGGCTGCGACCTTTGGCGGCAGAGGACGCTTCGTTTCGGCCATGTTGTCGTGCCTGCAGATTTTCAAGGTTTTCGCCGCAAGATGAAGATGTTGCGGAGTGGCACTGAATTGATTCGAGCCCATCAAATTACGTCAAATTTTCGACGCGCGTTGCCACCGCGCACCAGCCTGCCTGGCAAGTTGCGCTTCCCTCACGACCTCGCTCAAGTTCAACTTCGCTGGCAGGTGTGAAGAAGTCATGAGGTCGTCCGGTCAGCGCGTGCAGGCACCAGATGCGCGCCGAGCGTGAGCCATCGGTGCGCGCTCTGTACTTTGCTACTTCATCGCGTCCGTCAGGCAGAACTGACACTGTTCACGTCCGCCACCACCATGACTTCTCACCCCAACGAGCATCCCAGCGTGCAAGGCGTCGAGGCTGCGCGAGAGCTCATATCGCGGTGAGCCTGACGTGCTCGTAGGTGGCTCGCTGCAGCTAATCCTGACTGTGTCGCAGGTATGAAGCACAGTTGCTGACCGGCTGCGGCTATGAGCGCTGCACTGAGATTCTCTGCCACACCGGGAGTTTAAATACAAGCGCGCAGCCGATACGCAAGTATACCGCACGATCGGCCAAAGCAATTGCCATGGCAGTCTGCTCTGGCCCCAAACCGCGTGCTCATCTATGTCCTCACTACATGTCCACCACGAGTGGGAAGCAGCCTGCCGCAGCGCAACCACGCGATCCATCGGCATTGATGCAATTGATGGCTGACACTAATGCCCGTACTTCCATGAATGCCAGCTCAAGAACTGGTAGAGGGGATTTGTCGACGTTGCATCGACAATTGGATCCCTTGATCTCCGGGGCCTCTGTGGGCAGTGACGACGAGTTTATGGACAAGCTGCTGCCGTGCATAGACAATCTACTCAACTTGATTCCGGCGCACAGAACGGCCCTATGGGAGATGATCGATCGCGAAATTGTGAGTAAAGGATTTTCGTGTCCTGTCAGGAAGGAGACAAAGCCGGCCGATGAGAACTGGAATGCATGGGTTGCCATTCTGGACTTCCTAGACAACGAAGCACATCTGAGACTCTTGCGACGGACGCTTCTAGCCATTGGCCACAGATTACGTTCAAGCTATGCGCTGAAAGAGAGCCAGTCGTGCAACGACAGCGTCTTCATCCCCAAATTCACAGTCTTGCTGATGGACAAGATCCAAGAACACGCATCTTCGCCGCTGAGTGTGATAGTATGGTTAAAGAGCATGTTCGCGCGAGCATGGGACGGTTCGCAACTCCTATCTTCTGGCTCCGTGGCTCACGCAATACTGGAGATCCTGGACAGATTGAACATTTATTGCGCAAATGTCTCTCGAGACGTATTCCAGATGCCATTCGTGTGCATGCGTGTTCCAGAGCTGGATATGGCAGAGTCATTCCGTTCTCACGCTCCAGATGCTGGGCAGCATATACTCTACTACCAGTATCTCTTCTCGCCCTCTCAACTCATCTTATGCTTCCGAGCGGTCAATCTGCTGGCAATGAGGTAATTGTGACTTGGACTCTGAGTTGAACCCTGCTGAGCAATCATAGCCGGGCCAATGCTCAAGTGGCGCAATCGAGCGACTTCCGACGGCGTTATAGCAGGAACCGTAGCCTTGAATTGGACAGCCAATCAGCACAGCTTCAACACCAGGAAGAACGCTATCTGCTGCTCTATATCAGCCGTGAGGATATGATTAAGGATACGTTCAATCAGTTATGGCAACGAAGGACGGATGAGATGCAACGGCCCTTGCGAGTCAGAATGGGAGCTGATGAGCTCGACATTGGGCATGATCTTGGGTATGGTTGTTCGTTGTTTTGTATCGTGCCATTGAGCTGACACGTGGGAAGGGGCGTACAGATTGAGTTCTTCAATATGATTTGCAAGCACATTTTTGCTGAAGAAGCACGTAGGTGCTCGTGGTATACATTCGAAGCACGGAATCTGCTGATTTTGATTAGAGATGTTCACCACCGACCCTCAGACGGGATTGAGTTTCTTCAGGGCTGGTGGTCTTCAGCCTACATACATGTTCGAGTTGTTTGGACTGCTGATGGCTTTGGCGATCTACAATGGCATCACGCTGCCCGTGCGACTACCTTCAATGTTTTACAACACTTTGTGTGGCAGCGAACACGACCTCATGCTGGCACACGATCCGTTGATCATGATTCAAGACGCATGGCCGACGGTTGCTCGATCCTTGCGGAGTCTGCGGACAGAATACGTCGAAGATCTGGAATTTATATTCCCCTTGGAGGCCAACGGCATACGGCTGTCCTGCCTGCCTCTCACACGCGAGCCGAGATCATCTTTGCAAGATCGATTGGAATTGAGAGTCGTGAGCTCTTCACTTTCGTCCAGTAGTTCAGCGAGACCACCTGTCGACATGAGCCAGCTAAGAGATGCATGGCCAGGTTGGGATATTGTAGAGTCTGAGGAAAACCCTGAGCCTGTCACGCCGGAAAACATTGAGCGATACCTGGCTGCATACTCGACCTGGTTGTGCTATCACTCAGTTCGACCTCAGGTCCAAGCATTCGCGCACGGCTTTCGAACGAGTCAACTCCTCAATCGCAGTACTCTGTCGATATTAGGCCCTTCGCTGCTTAAGTCATACGTGGAAGGCACAGACGTATTAGACATCGCAGACCTTAAGGCAGCCGCGCGCTACGATGGATACGACGAGAGACTGAAATACATACAAGCATTCTGGCGCATTGTCGCCGCTTGGCCACAGGAGAAGCAGAAGCTGCTGCTGAAGTTTGTCACGGCAGCCGAGAGGATACCAATTGGTGGAGCTGGTCATTTGACTTTCATCATCAAAAGATCGCAACCCAATGACCCAAATGCTCTACCAACCAGTTCAACTTGCTTCGGAACATTGATGTTGCCACGCTATCAGAGCCACGAGATCTTAGCAACAAAATTGGATATCGCACTCAAGTTTGGGGCAGAAGGGTTCGGGACAGGATAATGTCGAACTTTCACATATTAACCATATCGGTCGCAGTGGCGTACGTACTTCTAGGTCTGTCAGAGCTGTGTTGCCCGCGAATACCTGGGTCACTATGGGCATGATCCCCTACATGGTTCGAGCGGGCTGCACCTTTGGACTGTCACCTGTGTAGCTATACCGACATTTCCAAGATATCAGAAGACAGTAGCACCACCTGAAGGAACAGTCAGCATCAGCTATGAGTAACGGGGCAAGTACTATCAAATAAATTGTACGCACCGTCAATGATGTGGTCAGAACCATTGATATAAGTACCTGCGCGACTGGAGTGCGAAATCGTCAGCACAGCTCAAATATCGATCAAGAAATCTGGGTCGTGAGAAATTTACCTTGCAAGCAGGACACACATTCCGTCAAGCTCTCCCACCGCTCCCATTCTTCCCATGGGATTACGGCTTGCCCAGGTGGCTCTCGCTTCAGCAATGTTGCCGCCACCAGCATTGAGAATGGTGTCCATGTATCCCTGGTACACGGAGGATCAGCCTCTCGCCGGCGCTGACACTCGATGGTGAAATGTTGCAATAGCACTCACCGGAGATATACTGTTGACTCGGATGCCATCGACTGCCCACTCTGCTGCCAAGGATTTGACCATTGCGACGACGGCAGCTTTCGATACGTTCTGGAATTATCGAATATAATGTTAGCGTCTGCCTCAGCGCAGAGTTTGTAGCGATAGCAGAGATGTCTCTGTGCTTGACGCCGACTCCACTTACATAGGACACCTGCGGTTGTGGAAAGTTGACCCGATGTGCGGAAATTGAAGCTGTGAGTGTAATCGATCCCCCGGACTTCTGAGCTTTCATCTGTCTCGCTGCCGCTTGAGCAACGAGGAACGAACCAGTGGTGTTGATGTCAATGGTCTTGCGCCATTGGTCAGGTGTCATTTCGGTGGCGTGGTAGCAGCCTGGCAGGCAGGAAGGTGGAGAACATCAGCTTTATTCTCTTGTCAGAATCGTGGAGCTTCGATCGAAACATACCCACGATGCCAGCAAAGCAGAAAACATGGTCGATAGAACCTAGATTCTGCACGACAGTTGCAGCAGCTTCAGCAATGGCTTCTTCATCTGTTACATCCACTGCGATGCCGAATACTCTTTGCTTGGGAAAGTCGTTGGCCAGAGTCGAGATCGCTTGTTGAGAGCTGCGGAGGGTTGATTCTAGATCCCAAAGACAGCAACCTGATGCGCCATGCTCGAGGAGAGCTCGAGCGGCAGAGAGGCCTAGTGTGCCGGCGCCTCCAGTTACTAAAAGAGAGTCAGCTATAGATCAGGCATTCACATCACCTGCAGTTTTCATCCTCACTTATTAGATTGCCCTGCACATTCGAACAAATGTTGTCTCAGCATATTTCAAGTCTTCATTCAATGACGCGGCGATTGATTGAGTGCACGCACCTCGACTGCGAAGCGTGCCAGTGCTCGTCCTTCGGCGTTCAAATAATGTGGCAGTGGAGGTGGTGGTCCTGCTAAAGAGGACTCAGAACCATCCGACAAGGTCATGAAAGGAAGAGTGCGCGAAGTCAACGCATCTCTGTCGGTCATGGTGATGGTGATGGGCCTTGTCGTGAATGCAGCTGTAATAGTGAAGTCCGATTCGATTCTGAGTGTAATGTATCGCTTGACGTGCAACAGCAAGATGTGATGCACCAGTACTTAATATCCACATTTGTAGGGCGACAATCGCCCTCTGCAGTTGACAGCCCGCAAGGCTGCGGAAGCCATCAAGGAGGGCAGGTTGGCCGAGTGGTAGCCGACGCTCGTGTTGTGCTGACTGTCACGGCCTAATGTCGCCCCACGAGAACTTCAAAGAAGTTGCACTGCTGAACTGAGGGGGATCTCACTGGCTTGGGTAACGCAAACACATTTTCGGCGCCGTGCGGAGATAAGTGGGGGTGTAAACTTTCTGAATGTGTTTGTATCTGTATGTACAGAGGTATTCCTACAGCCATTGAACCACGTTTCAGACGCTTCATTTCTTCTTCTCTTCCTCCTTGGGCGGTTCCGGCTTTGGTGTAGGTAATTTGAACTGCGCGTCATTAGTTTGCCTTCGACGATGGACTTGAATTCAGCGTCAAGACTCACCGTATCGGGTTTTCGTTCGTGACCGGGTCCAACCTATGCATGTCAGCTATTGCAGCACATTGGATATATACATAATGCCTCACCTGCTCCCATGCTGATGAACCTCCCTCAAAATTGCGGAACGCCTGGGTGAGCTCCAAAGGCTCGACCACTATTCGCTTCTTCTCCTCGTCGTATCTGATCTCAGTGTAGCCGGTCAAGGGGAAATCTTTGCGCAGCGGATGTCCATCAAAGCCGTAGTCGGTCAAAATGCGGCGGAGATCGGGGTGGTCGACGAAGAACACACCAAACAGATCGTAGACCTCACGCTCGTACCAGTTGGCACCGTCGTAGAGGCTGGTGATGGAGGGTACTGGGGTCGCTTCGTCGGCATAGGTCTTGACGCGAATGCGGGCGTTGTGGCGAACCGACAGTAGGTTGTACACAACCTCGAAGCGCTGGTCGCGAGTTGGGTAGTCGACGGCGGTGATATCGGCGATGCAGGTGAACTCGGCGGCGGTGTGATTTTTGAGGAAGGTGAAGGTGGGAATGACGCCGGAAGGTGGGATGTAGATGGTGAGCTCGTCCTTCCACACCGAGAACTGCTGGATGTACTTGGGCAGGCACGAGATGAGGTACTGTCCGTACGCGTGCAGGCTCTCTGCCTTGGCCTGGTACTTGTCCGCCGGGTTGACAATGGGCGCGTGCAGCGTTTCTGCGCTTGGTCGTTGGGCATGGCGCATGTTCGGGAGGTCGCCAATGTTGCCCGCCAGCTCCTTGGTCCTGCTCGCCGACGTCGCGAAGAGCCGGCGGGCGGCGGTGGAGGTGGTGCTCGTGACGGCGGCGGTGGCATTAGCGGACTGCACCGCGCTCCGCGCGGAGCGGACAATGCTCGCTCGGGCGGCCATGGTGGGACGGACGAGAGGGCAACGAGATATCGCTGTGTCTGCGGATGGAGCACTTGCTCGACGTCAAGTCTGCTTGGTGCA